CCTTCGTAGATGAGGCCAGCCATTGCACGGATCACATGACTGGCTGCCTTTTGAACTGTTACCACAAGGTCCGAGTCGCCTTTCAGACAAGGATTTGCCACTTAGGCACAGATTTCTAGTTTAGACCTAACTATGTTTGTAAGATGATGAACATATTTCGACTATTTTTATAAACGTTCTGCTTAATGCCCAAGGTGTCCTAAAACTCTGAGCTGTGACCAGTCGGGAGTGTGCTGTGGTTTTAAAATCATAACTCACTGTGACTCCTAGGTAGCTGTGGGTCAGTACTGACGCTAGAGGAGTCCCACCAATGTTGTGGGTGTTTCTCTACTCTTCTGCTCCTCATTTTTGATTGAGTCAGCAAGAAGCAAATCTTTGTACACAAATGTTCTGGTTTCTTAAAGTCTGCGAGCGTTCTTCAGAATACGATCCCTCTCTATTGTGTATGCAAACATGAATTTAAGTAACCGCGACCTGTTTACTGCAGGAACTTTCTCTTTTTCTCCCAGCCTATAAATCTTTAATAGAATGATCTCTGATATATTTTTTAGTAACAGCTTGTTTACCAAACTTTGTACCTTACCAAGGTCATGTTCAAAACGGTTACTTGGTTCCGAGTCGCTACCGTGCTCCACTCTTTGAAGGATTACAGAGCTTTCAAGGAACCCTACTTTATCTTTTCTCTTTGTAGTGTTAACAGTTGGTTCTGTGACCGTTACTGACTTTTTGCCGTGTCGTTTAGTCTTAATTACTTACCGTTTCTCAGAGTCAGGTGTGGAAGGCTTACTAAGGCCTATTCCAGTGACCGTAACACTGACAGCCCCAAAGCGAATTTCCATCCTCTTATGTACACTTGTTGTCACTGATTCGGTCACTGAACTGGGTAGGACTTGCAGCCTTGATGGTTCTTTATCTAACATTTAAACTGATCCACCCCATTTGTTTTGTCGCAAGCTGACTTGGTCTTACGGTCAGCAGTTTTCAGAATAAGTGCTGGCTTTGCGGATGTGAGAACCTGATGATACTCATTTCACCCTAGTTTGTGTAGCGTTTTCTAAGTCACCGTCAGTGAACCTCACAGGTGGTATACACTCCTAACTTTCAATCTTAAAATTCTTCACAGAGATCAGTGTATCAACGGATGCTGTGTCATTATCGCTACCACAGTTATCAACTTTCCCTTTGGATACCAGCTTGTTCATGATCGCATTTAGAAGTTCTTTCGCTTCTTCATCCAGCTCGCGAATATCCGAGCAGCACGACAAACAAAGCTTTTATATACTTAAGACGTAAGGATTGAAGTAAAAATGAACATACTTTATATTTCAATCGACTTGCTAACCTGAATAGACTATGAATTAGATAGGAAATAATTAAATATAGAGATTAATCGTCATGCTTTCCAACATACGGCTGTTTCTACAGTTGATTGTAGGCGATAACACCTTATATTCATAGGGTTATCTTACTGGTATTCACTCTGTCAAACATTTCATTGACATGCTTATAGGGTTGATATTATAATCGAAAACTATGGTGGCTTAAGACGAAGTAGATAATCCTTTGTGTTCTTGGCTGCCTTTCTTGTCTTGAATAAATAAACACATATTGTCGCTAGTCTCCTTAAAGTGTTGATTTTTTTTCCAAACCATGAATTGAAGGGAAAAACTGAATAGACTTTCATTTATTGAGTTTGTCAGATAGTTGATAATTTGCGTGATAATGCGTATATTTACACCCACTGGTACCTATGTGAAACGTCATGTTTGGATCCTTTTTTGATCAGTTCATTGACTAACCATCAGGCTATTTGAGTGGATAATTGATTTCCCTTTCACAAATTGTATAAAATTTCAACTTTAATCAGTTCCTAATTAAAACTGAATTGACCAATTATGCTGGTAGACTGACCTATGACTTTAGTTTCTGTTTTAATCAGTCCGTTTGATATTTTCCTTATTGATTATGTATCTTAAGTTTCCCTGCAATGTGTAATAAGTGGACTTTTTCAAAGCTGTTCTTATAAACTTGCAACAAAATGTATGTGAAAGTTCCCTAACTGAAAGCTTTCTTTCTATTGGGATACTTTATCCATTTCGTAAATTTGGAAAACTAGGACCAGTGGAGTGTAAATCACTTTCATGTAAACGTTTGGATGTTGATATTTTTCCCAGAAGTTTGGTCAAAACATAGACCAAGTTTATTAGTAAAGTCTTCAACAGAAAATTGTTTATTCAAAAGATATTTTCTTATACAGATTTTCCTTTGATTCAATTGTCTGTGGACTCATGTTATTAAATAATGTAACTAATGCCCATTAAATTGCTTTTTGAGAATACTTTGGGACCTTAATAATGGTGTTACTTTCCAAACAGTGGGGACAGGCAATGATGTTGTACGCCAAGACAGAAACGAAACTTGGTTAATAAAGTTCTATCGAATCAGAAGCAGTTAAACTGAGGTTGTTCTTTTAGCATGGTAATAATAATAATAATGATAGTAGTGATAATCACTTTATTGCAAAGAATTTTCGGTACAATTCGGAATTCTGAGCATGGTATATTACAAAGACAACCAAATATACATAAATATAAAATCCTTTGCAACATTTTGAATAGTGTTATTATAAAAATTTAAGTATGTAAAGGATATTAGTAGCAAGAAAGTTTTACATTGTTAATTAAATTATTGAAATGAGATTGTTAATAGTTACAAATTGGTATGAGAGTTTTGTTTAAACTCATTTTTTCTCACATAATATGCGTGCTAGTGAAAGTGTAGTAGAATTCGTGTACTTAGCTGGACGAAGGTACAGTCTGACATAATTTTTTCTTGTCCTCCGTGAGGAGATACAAGGAGGGAGCAGTGAATGAAATAGATGCTCAGTGTCAGTTAAAATTACTGTAGCTAGTTGCTTGTTAGAATTTAAATGTCTATCAACTATAGCATAGCACTTATCCTGCTGACGGCTTTCAAAGCCCTACACAATATAAAAAAGTTCTTTTTTAGATGAAGAAGCATCAACGAGGAACAATAAAGGATAATAGATAAAATACAGGGATCAATGTATGGTAAATGTGAAAGTTGAGCTATACTATAGAGTCTCAGTTTCTTTATGTAATACCTTGAACAAAAGATTTTCTTAGTCGTCAACAAGATATGAGACGACCAACAAAGACCAGAAGTAAAACTCAATCCAAGATAGTTAACACTTGATTTACCATGAATGCAGGATATTTAAGAGATCAAATCAACACCTAAAGTTTATTCTAAATGATTAAACTAAGAACCCTAAGGCAATGTGTTTATGAGGTGTTATGGTTATCGTATATTCAGTGAATATAATGTTGATAAACTAGTAGCAGTGCATAACCTTAGTTGGTAGTGAGTGCATACGATACAAGATTTCAGGGATTGATAACAGTGACAATACTCCCTTAATGTGTCTAATCTCTGTGAACAAGATCTATCTGTCCCAGCATTTATAACAACAACAATAATAATAACTAAAACATGTTAAGATGAGTTATCAAATTACTACAAGTTGCTTTTAGTAATGTAACATTTCACTGGAATATATGAGTATGAGTAAAGCTAACTGAGATTAAGATAGAGCGTAAGAGATCAGAGATGAAAGGGAGATTTATTTATGAGAGTCTATCACTTTCAAAGTAATAGTGAATTGATATAAGCGGATTTCACTGATAGACAGGATGAAGGTAGACAATGTATATGATTTAAATGTATCTGACTATCATTTATTTTCCTGTAGATTGTTTACTCTCTATTCGTTTAGGAACTTATAATCATTGTGTTGGTTTTTATTTTATTTTGTTGTTTAGACCGCGGTCACGTTAAGATGTAGCGCATCGAGATCAGGCTTTAGTTTCTTACTGTTAGTTAACTTTTCTGTGTTTTCTTTTTTACTATTGCAATAATAATCACATATTGTGCTTATATCAGCGGGTGAAGCATTTATAGAGCATAAAAATAGGGAGTGTCCAATGGAAATAGACACTGCTTTTACTTATAACAGGTAACTACTAATTCCACTTCTTTTTTAAGAACGAAAGTGTCCTGTTAGTGTCACTGAAGATATTCGTAGATTATGGCAAAGCTAACTTAAAGTAAAGAATGCAGCTGTATACCTTCAAAATATTCTCTTTTATTATCCAAATGAGATGGTATTCATCACTGACTGACATCAGATGGAAGACCAATGAAGACCTGGAGGCGCTGGATAGATATTTTGTCCTAACGTGGTACTCCTCCACGGTACGCACCCACGACCCGGTTAGGGATTGAACTCATGACCTGGTTTCACACCAAACACCTCACTCGTCGAGCCATGGGGTAGGAGTTCATTGGTTCATAATTTCCAACTCTTGTCAATTCCCAATATAGCGCGACCATCACCTAAATTTTCGGTTGGCATCCACTTCCCGTTCAAGTGGTTAACCTGACAGGTCATGGCTTCTTATTAGAACATCGTGATATTCATCTGAAAGCATGCTACTAATGAGCACTATACAGTAATGTATTTTGAAGTAAATGGGGACTTTAATTTTAAGACAGCATTCATCACAGACTGACTTCAGTTGGAGACCACTAAAAATCTGAAAGCAATGAACAACTGTTTCGTCCCAATATGAGACTCCTCAGCAGTACGCACCCATGACCCGGTTAGGGATTGAACTTAGGACCTTCAGGCTTCACAAGTTGTGGGTGCATATTGCTGAGGAGTCCCATATTAGGACGAAACAGCTGTCCTTTACTCCTAGGTTTTCAATGATTCCCCAGTTGATATCAGTCGGTGATGAATACTACCTCGAAACTGAAATTCCCATTCACCTCAAAATAATATTTATATTGTTTGTTATATTAGGCTAATCAAAACAAAGTTTGATTTGGTTTTAATTCTTTCTATATTGATCTCCTTTTTTGATCTATCAAGGAAAAAACATGATTTTTGATTGTTATTTGCGAAAAAGCCTAAAAATATGAATGAGCCTATTTCACAGGATCAAGAAATTTGTAAAGCCCTCAGTAATTTAAAGTAAATACTTTTATTACATTTTATAACTTTCACATTGTAGAATTACGATTTTTAACACCTTGATGAATGATGAAATGTGGAATAAAGTTGCTCATGATATTCTTAAAACACCATCACTTAACTTCAGTTTAAATAAAGAAAATAATACTGATATTGTGTCAATGATAAAATTGTTACCAAGGTTTGTTATATGGTTTAAATTACATTAATTTGAATGGTCCTAATGTTAATAATGGTTAAGAGTTTAAATCATAAAAGCAAATCATTGTACTAGTGTCATATGTGTATAGTTGTTTTTTTAAAGTCTATAGGCAAACAGTTATTGGTAAATACAGATACACAACTTGACCTACTAACCTACCTGTTTCACCTAGCGGTGTGTTTATGGTAAACACTCTTCATTGTGTAGTTCAGTTATACTCAAAGACTGTTATAAAGGTAAACTTGAGGACATGAAATCCCCTTTGCATTGCTGGACTTGAACAAATAAGTTTATAATCCCTTCATTATAAAGAAAGTTAATAATTAAGTGAAAGAAGGATTCTAATTGCACTCAGCTACCTTATGCACATTCTTGCAGTAGGCAGTGAACCCCACCTATTGTGTTAAGGTTAATGATACTACCTGGCTGCTCAAACTTCAGTTGATGAAGCAAGGTTACAACCCTTTGCCCTTTGGTTGAAAATCATCTCTCTAAAGCAATGAACCACAGCTCCGCCCTAACTAAATGAGTAATAATTAATGCTCGAAACATCATCAAGTAAATAATACCAGATCATTGTGTGTTATAAATCAAGTAAACAAATCTAATATGGAATTGAATTCTACCACAGTGCCCAAGTTTTACACCCATATTAATGAGTAATAACTAGTTTCAAAGAAAAGTATTGTAAGGAAGATAGCGATGATAGTTAATTTGGCCACTGGAATCTACGTTTAATACACTAAATTGGATATACTTAATTCACTGATCACTCATTGACAAAGTGGCTTGCTAAAATTCTTGAACCCGTGAAATTAAATCTGTGTAAATATAGTCTTCTCAACACATTTGGTTTTATTCACTGCACTGAAGAAATCAACGTAACGGGTAAGCATATGATATCGTTTGATGTTTCTTTGTTTATGTACAAATGTTCTACTTGTTGAAACAGTTTTTTTTAATCTATGCGAGTACATTGATTTTGATAATATTAACACTGGATTACCTACGAGCTACTTAATAGAAGTGATATTAAGATGTACGTTTAGTGTACAGTTAAGATTTAATGATGTGATTTATAATCAGACAGATGAAGTCTCAATGAGGTCTCTACTAGACCCCGTCCTGGCTGATATCTTTATGATGTAGCTCGAAAATGGGGCCACTTAACGAAATAATATCGGAACTTTATTTGTATAAAAGGTACATCGACGATACTTTTGTTATTTATGACGAAATATGTTCAGTAGACGAGCTGCTAAGACGTTTCAATAATCGTCAGTCATCCATTAAATTCAACCTTCCACTTTGTAGATGTAAAATTAAAGAGAAGAGATGATGGCTAATTTCAAAGGTTAGTCTATCGAAAACCAACATGGAACTGGTTAGTTCACTAACTTTAATAGTTGGTATCCCTTATTTGTAACAGAAATCTCATTCACTCGCTGTGTTCTCGAATCTATAAAATCTCTTCAGAAAACATGGTAGATATTGGAATTGAAACTCTTAGAACAACACTATCGAACAACGGATACCCTAAAAAATTTATTGAGAACCTGAAGAAACGAATCACCCCTCTCTCCATTACAGTTCCTAAGAAGATTTTAATCATGAATCCGGAATTCAAAGGGTAAACCACAGAAATGCTGAAAGGCCATCTGCCAAAGTGTATCAATAGTACCTTTTATACTGTTAGGATGTGATTGATTTCCTTCAGGCGTCGTCTGATTCGATAATGTGTGGACCATATGCTACATCTATGGCACATCAATATGTGTATCTACAATTTCACATACTCCTGTGGAGTTGATTATATTAGATGTTGTGAGCGGGCCCTCCGAAAACGCGTTGCTGAACATTAACCGTTTTGGCTTACAAAAGATGAGCGAAGAAAAACCACTTCATTCATATATGAACACCTAGTAGAGTTAGGTCATTCAGATACATCTTTTAAGGTAATTTACAAAGTTAAATTAAACTAAACCAAAGGTCTACGTTTCCACTAATAACGCCTAGCTGAAGCATTAGCTATACATAGACAGAAACCGAAACTTTGGATTCAAAAACATTTTGTGAAACCAATTTCTCTACCACTTTCTCGTTCACTGCTTAATATCAATTCGTTCCTTATTCAGTGACCCATTTTCCAATTCTTTTACATAAACAAATCCCACCACCAACACTAATTGTATATTTTGTATATTGACTGAGCAACTCCTTTTAGTACAATTATCTGTCATTTTACTGATTATAAATACGACTGTACAGCTTGATAATGAAGTCATTGAAAAGAAATATTTCTTCGTTCATATATGTCTTGTTGTTATTCATAAATTGGTAAAGGCTAAGAACGGAATGAATTTACAGATACCCAGTGCATTTTATCAAGGAAGACATTTCCTTTCAATGTTATTTTAACATTTGTCACCCAAGACAAAACCAGTCACGACAATGTCACAACACCACCTAGTGATCATGCTGTAAGTACAGTGTGTAGATTTTTGTCAGTAGACAAAACTTAGCAATTATTTCAGTTATAAGGAATAACACCAAGAACTTGAAATTATTACTTTTTAACTATACTAACCTCGAGTTTGCTTACGAAGCATAAAGAAGTGAAAGATTCTATTCTACTGGTGTTTAACAAATAGTATAGACTCTTTCCATAATAAAATCGATAAGGGCATTCTAAAGAAAAGTCTGATCGGAAACAGATATCCTCCATGGTTCATAGATACAAATATCAAACCGAAACCAACAAAAAGTGATACAGTTTCCTATCGAAAAAGATACTATATATAAAACTTGACTTTAAAGTTGGTCTGATATCCCAAAGAGACGGATTTCAAGTTCCCTGAGGAGAACTTTCTTTGTAGTGACTTTTAGATTATTGTCCTTCAAGCACCCTTCACTCAGTAAAAGCCTGATAGACAAGATCCCGCATCTGGTCACCTCTGTGTATGTATTGGTTCACCGCCTTCTGTGGAGCTGAGCACAAAGATCGTTCGATACTGGTCTTGTCCAGAAGAGTTCAAGAATATCAAACTGCGTGGCTAAAAACAGGTAACAGTGGATTTGTAAGAAGTGAGATAATGGGACACCTGCTAGAGATTGGTCATTCACTTTTACCTTTTGCCTTTTACAAAGTTATTTACAGTGACAACAAATTTGCCAATGTCAGTGCACGTCCGTCTCCTTCGTATTGCTAAAGCAATAACAATACTCCCTTGTCTTAGCAACGCTACATTTTATGTTATGACAATTTAACTGTGCTTGCTACTGTGCCTTTTGATTACTTTTCAATATCCGTAAATACCTTGACTACTTAAGAATGTACATCATATTTCCATTATATATATATATATATATATATATATATATATATATATATATATATATATATATAACCTTATTACCGTGTCTTACAAACCGCTTTCATACACAAAACGAATTGTAAATTCTCACGAAAAAAATATTTTAAATGGAAATCAGCATGAAACTTCAACACATACAACTGTTGCATCAAATAGCCTGTATATGTTTAGTCAGTAGTCGGGTCTTGTAGCTCAGTTGGTACAGCGCCAGGCCGGAAACCTAGTGGTCACTAGTTTGAATCCTGCTGCGGCCCAAATTTCCATTTCCTCTTCATTCATTACCCAGTACCTATATATATATATATATATATATATATATATATATATATATATATATATATATATTATATATTATAGTAAGCAACACGTTTTGTTTCTGTTTGAATTGGTATCCATCATGAACCAAAATACGGTAGAAACCAAGGGAAAACAAAAAACATTAGAGAGATGTTTTCGTCCAATACGATATTCTCAGTACTATGTACTGCTGAGAACTACAAAGGCGTTTGTACACCTTGCTCGGAAGGCAGTTTTCCTGCCAAATTGGCGCAGTTTAATAATTTTGACTTCGCAACTCAAGCTTTTTCACAGGATAATGCTGTGGCTACTCTATATCATATCTGGATGCTCCTCCTCACTCATAATTTGACTACCGCATACACGTAATGGCTTCTCGTTAGAGTTTTCTCGAATTTATTTATTTTTCCAAACTCCCCCCAAACCCTATTGTGCAGACCAAAGGATGCAACAACCAAAGACAAACCGAACATCATTTACAAAATCAACTGTAATAACTGTAGTCAATACCTTTTTGGACAGATTGGTAGCCCTCTTCGCCTTCGTTTACATGGACACCAAGTGGTTATTAAATATCACTTCATACTGAAGTTAGTGATGATGATGTCGTCTAGTAAGACAATGAAAGCTCCGCGATTAAACAACCCAGCTGATAGAACACAATACAACCAAGTCCATCGACTTGAGCCACTGATATTCTCCACCGTCTCAGCTGATGACGTATTTGGAAAAATGCATAAATTCGAGAAAACTCTAATGAGAAGTCATTCCGTGTATGAGGTAGTCGAATTATTAATGAGGAGGACTATCTAGAGATGATTAAGAGTGGCAGATCATTTTGTATTGAAGTTAGTATTGATGATGTCATCTAGATAGACGATGAAAGCTTCACTATTAAGCAATATCCAACTCAGAGAACACAGTACATTCAAGTCATCACCTGTTATTTCTGGTTCTGTGAAGAAATGAATATTTAGTAAATTTAGGTCACCATCAAAAGTTCACCTGGTATTATTGCACAACTTTCCAAGTTACCATACTTTTTATCATCAGTAGTCGTAAAAATTCGTCGACAGAGATTACAAGGAGGTAGAACAAGTAAGAAAATGTTCGGTGATGACTAACATTAAGATGGAGCTAATGCTGGATACATCTGCGCCACTGTCATAGGTTTCTGTCCATCTCCCTAGGAGTCTGCAACCATGAATATTGGTTGTCACGCAAACCCCGATCAGAAAGTCTTCATTTCCCTGCATGCGTCATATGAATAGCCAGAGACTCACTTTATAAACTGGTGCAGCGTTTGAGTCTGGCTGCTTTTAATCTTTTTCCAGTATAAGCCTACTTCAGGTGACATCTCGCGTATGAGTAGAAGGTAATTAAGCATATGTAACATATTTTCTAACTTCAGGTTGGTATTCATAGTGAACTGACATCAGTTGGAGGAACATTGGAGACCTGAGAACACTGGACAGCTGTTTCGTCTGAGTATGGGACTCCTCAGCAGTGCACACCCGTGACCCGACCAGAGACTGAACCTAAGACCTTCAACTGATGCCAGTCCATCAAAAATACCAACCTGAAATCAATAAAATCCTCACGAGCTTCCAAACTGAATATAATTCAACCACCTGAGTCGGTCAAGGTCTTACAACCTCATCAAATGATTTACCTCTTTTACTTAACAATATGCGCTTAAATTGTAGGTCGTTAATGTGGTGATTTCACGATAAACGGGTTATACTGTGAAGACAAAGTTAGTTGAACACCCAAAACATTCTCATATCTTTGCAGTATGTGTAACTCTTAGTGGTATTACTGGCGAAGTCAAGCCATAGACAAACAACTTCCTAAGCTTAACTGATTTTCAATGAAAAATTAGTTTGTATGAATCTATCCTCTCAGGCAACTAATCTATTTTTTTTGCCCTTGACTACTTTTAAATGAACATTTCTAAACCTTTATAAAAAGTTTTTTTCTCTATCTAGTTATGAAAAACTATTAACAAGTTTTAAAGAAAAGATACAACAGGCGATCGATTCTTGTCAACCTAAAGATTACGAAGATCTGTTAATATCATTATTACACCAGTGCGAGCGTGATAAAGGCTCGTTGGATGAATATCCTGGTCCCTTATTACCATCCACATCATCATCATCTAAAGGTTTTCCTGTGCTGTTTAATAAACCGACAAGAGAATCAATTGAGTTACAAGATAATCTACAGGATATTTCCTGTAATAATAATGGTTATTTTTTAAATGACGTGAATTTGTTAAAATCCTTTCATCGATGCTCCTCATGTTCTAGTACATCATCTGTATGTTTATCATCCCATTCATCATCATCGTCTACAGGACATAGTTCATTAACTTTGTGTGCAATATCATCACCTAAATTGTCAACATCATCATCAACATCTCCACAAAAGAGAAAACAAAAGAAAAAAGTGAAATGTAGAGTTATGCAATCTACAGAGAAGAAATTAAATAGATTCTCCAATGAAAATTGTCTGATGCATAGTAATACAGAAGAGTTTCAACGTTCAACCAGTCCTTCAAATATGCATAATTCAGTTTATTCATTCAGTGATGCTGATTCGTCTATCTCCGGTTGTTTTAATAATGTAAGGATTTTAGAAGAACCAAATTGTTTTAAAACGTAGTATATATATAGACTTTACGACAGATTCGGGCTTTTGAAGGTTGATAAACTCATTGGTTTGAGATTGTGAACAGTAGAAATTACAATAAATTACAACTGATGGTTTCTAAGGTAGTCTGACGAGAGGTGGAAATCATATAATCATGGATTTAGGAATCGCAGCACCGTGTGAGGCTTGGACAGCTCTCACACAATAAATGTAGCTCATTGCCTACTGCACTAATGTACGTTAGGTTGTTGAGTGGATTTCTCTTTTGATCAGGCTGACGATGAGTAGAATTTGTCTTAAGAGTAATGCTTTAAAGATGTATTGTTTTCATTTTACCAAGAAAGATGTTTATTTTTGAGTAAAAGTTACTTGAAAACCTGTTTTTTGCTTACTATATATGTACAGGATCGCTCCATATTCGCCCAAAATTAGCATTATTGTCTGAGGATACTATTCATTGGTGATACAGCCAGCTGAAGAAGAAATCTGTGATGAATGAAAATCATCCAACAAAATTTCGTTGAAAAATGATAGATTTTAATCACATGGAACAAATGCGAAATTTCTAGCTGTCTTCTGTCATATGCACTTAACACAAAGAGACCATGTAGGACATTCTTGAAAAGGTGTATGACAGCTGTTGAAAACTAGTGACTATCAATAAAATTAACCAGCCTGTCTGACAACTGTAACCAAATCTGTAAGCTGGATAGATATTGGAAAACACCTAACTGCTGGTTACAAAATATGACATAGAAGTACATCACTCTAAATGGCTATCCGTAGAGAAATTTAAGAGTCTGAAATGATAAAAAATAATTTATGAGAAATTTGTGTGAATTTATGGTCAAAACGACTAATAGCTGTCTACGATTTAGAGTGGAATAGATAGTGGATGAATCTGTTTTACTAGCAAAAGTTTTTTAAGGTGTACAGTAGCTAGCGATAACAGGAGACTTTCCCTTTTATTTTATTCTGTTCAATTATATATTCCTGTTATTATCAATTTAGCTGTCTGATATAACCATAGTTTGGTAGACTTGCATCAATACTGTATGATGATGGGAAGAAAACTGCAAACGTAAGTCGCATAATAATTCGAACCAGTGAGTGAAATGAATTGGTTAGGGGAAATAGGCAGGGATGTAGTGATAGTTCTGGAATCCAGAAAGCATATCTTTTCATCTCCCAGACATATCAGCTGTATGGACTTGTTTCCCAATCAATAATGATATTACCAATGAGATCTAAACTTATCGTTTATTGCTTCAAACAACAGACTCTTATCTGTTAGGTAATTGGGACAGTTTCTTATTTTATTTTTGATCTGAGTGAGACTTTATAGGTCTGGGTGTCATCGAAACAAGCAGTTGACTTTCTATCAATAGGTCACAGGTCCGAATCCTGTTATACCAATTGAGATCCATGAAACCATGTGGTATGCATCGTGCATGAATGTACACAATATTACTGAGTTACACTGTACTATTACGGTTTTTGTGAATCTTTAATAGTTATTTGCTTTCCTAATCTATCTCTTTTTTAGGTTGGACTAACTGTAATGAATCAAGACCAGTTAATTAGTCTAGCTAGCGCTTTAGACAGCCGTTCAAGTCGTTTGGATTGTCGTCAAAAAGCTTTGAAACAACTAGTACATTTACCTATAATTGATGTACAAGCCTGTGAAGTTTGGACGTATTTAAATGTGAATGCATCATCATCACCATCATCATCAATGGTAACGGTGACGACAATGAAAACCGCACCGTCATCATCATCTTCATTAATTTCTTCAGTTAAAAACATCAATTCAACACACAATAGTTTGGCTACTTCTAATTCTATAGGTAGTAATGTTGGTGTATTAGATAATCGTATGTCAAGTAAAGTATCATTATCATCAAAATTAAAAAACTACAACATTGGCCATCGATTCAGATCACCTGAAGGAAATCATTTAGTTCGTGGTCAAACTAGTGATAATATTGAAAATATTCATAGAAAACCAATTCATCCTACAAGTAACAATGATAATCGTTTAAGAATGATTACAGCTGGAGGTTTAAGAAGTGGTTTAGCTGATGCACTAAATGATGAAGATGATGTTCTGTGGGTAAGTACATCTGGCTTATTATCATATGAAATTTGATGAACTTATAAAAGTATACAGTCACTTTGTGGAAACAGTGATCATCCTGTTTAGTTTACTGGATATATTCAGTATCAGAAGTGCAAATTATAGACGTTTAACAACCTGACAATATTGTAAATGTTTGATTTCGGAGTAGAACTCAACTGTTTCTAGCCTCAGATAAGATGTTTCATCTTAAAATTGAGATTGAAAAACAGTATTATTATTATTTTCCCTTGGGTTCCTAGTGGAACATAGGGCTTCAGTAGTACGCCTCCATTGCACTCTGTTTTCTGCAGTCTTTCCAACCTGGATCTACGACTGCTCACAACCTTTCATTTCTTCCTCAGACGATCTCCTCCATGTCACTCTCAGCTGGGACCCTCAACTCGTCGTTTCCCCTTTGAATTCCACTCGAGGGCCTGGCACGATGTCCCCAATTGGTCTTCTCAGGGTATGCCTAATCCATCTCCAGTTTCTTCTGCATATTTGTTGAGTGATAGGTTCTTGGTTGGTTCGTTCCTAGAGTGCCTTGTTTTCTTCTTCTTATTATTCTGGCCAACTGATCTTCAGTGTCAGTATGAAGTGAGCGTAGGTGGCATCTGTTGATGAATGTCTGTAGTTTGTTGAAAATGCTTTTCGTGACACGCCAAGCTTCTGAAGCATATAGCAACACTGACTTGACATTGATGTTAAAAATCTGGATCTTGTTTTTTTGTGCTGAGTACAGTAGATCTCCACAGTGATTTCAGATTAATGAAATCCCGGTTTTGACATCCTCGTCTTTGCCGCCTGTAGTTGAAACGATGCTTCCTAGGTAGGTGAAAGTGACTACTTTCTTTAGGTTTCTCCCATTAATGATGAATAACAGTAGTACTTTTTAGTATTTTTAATTACAATATACTTTATGTGTTTCGTAATATAACTGAGCAACTTGCCAACTAAACAGTGAAATCATGATAATAACTTTGAAAACAGCGTTACATAACTACTTAGTGGAGTTGCTAAGCTGTAGAAGAGTCTGGAGAATGAAAATCAACAATAACAATATCTATAAGAAAGGATACCTTCATTATTCATCTAAGTATAGAGACACAGTTGTTCCTTCAATGCTGATGCAAGAAATCTGGCATCAAAATGATGTAGAAGATAAATAACTCAAGTGTAGCTCATTCGTTTTCAAAACATTTCCGCCCTACCACATGTGATTTATAGCCAACACATTACAAAGCTATTCGTCAAGTGTATTTAATAATTTATCCTACAGAAAAGGTTTACATTACATTATTTTAAGGGTTTAGTTAATAACATAGATGGAGTTGAAACCTCCATCATGTATGGAATAAAAAACTTTTCATTTACTTATCTTGCCACAATTCACTACTTGAATTATTGAACTCAGTGTGATCTTTTGGTTTCCTGCTTTGAAGTTATACACTAATTTATCATCCTCAGCGTGATTAAAAGCTTTTTTACTTAACATTGTACTAGTTTTAAATTTCGAACCTCATTCTTGTTACCACAATTACTTGTTCAAACTCAAGTTCTTAATAGAGCTTGCATAGCTTTCTTTCACACATTACAATTCACAACCAGTGACCAGTATGAACAATATCGACGCTATCTAACAAAAAATGTAGACACAAACCATAATTTTTTGTGGATGTATAGCTTCTGAGAGGAAGATTGCTGGCAGCCAATAAAGTGAAATTACTCCTGATGAGTGAGTCACCTAGGGCGCGCAACCAAAACTTTAATATATATATATATATATATATATATATATATTATATTTATATATATATATATGCGTGTTAACCTATCGTGTGTGGCATACGTCCACACACTCGTCAGCCGACCAATCAGGTTAAGCCCAGGCAAAGTTTGACTTTATAAATATTCATGTACAACCAGTTGCCCGGCTTCATTGTACGTCTATGATAGTGATGATGTCGAGCAAGACAGTGAAACGTCTACCAGCTAAAACGGATCAGAAAAAAACTTTGCAAATCTATACCCTGGGCTAGAAATGTTCACCATCACAAGATTATCTCTCTGCGTTAGAGGGAAAACGTAAGGTGGCAAACTCCTTAAATTGATGTAGATATATCTAAAAGAGCAAGGACAATCATTGCAACAGAATAATATGGATTGAATTCATTATTTTTGCGCTTGTCTTCACCTGCTTACAACCCGGAACAATCACAACAACGAAATACAATGGAACATTAACATACTTTAATTTAGTGGAACCAGTCAAATGGGATATTGACATACTGAAGTAAGGATATTGTCCGAATTTAAATAACGTCAGTGTCATATGTTGGTGTCATAAATATATATCCTATTCAGATGAAAATCCTCATGAAAATCAGGTGAGGATAGAAGATCAAATATTGTGGAATTTCGTGAGTCAGTGTACAGGCAAGTTAGTAGTAATCAGAGAACAAACTTGACAGAACATAATAAGTAGGACTTGGTTGATTAAGATTGAAGTTTATAGTTAACTAAGAGTTTAATGACAGGAGGATGATGTTATCAAATGAACAAAAGATCAAGAAATGAGGTTATCTAGGTAGTTGAAGACTGGTGATAGATTCCTTTTGATTATATAAATCTGGTTTCAGATGTTTAATCGTAGTAGCTTCATCGAAGCGGAAAAGATTTAAATTATTCTGTTTGTTGATTACTTTGAACGATTCCAAAGCATCCACTTGTTTTCCTGTGTTTAATAACTGCTTAGTAATTGCATCACTGAGAATACCATTTCTGTCAACCGTAGGCTCTTCGAAACATGTTCGAAATATCGGAGATGAACTTTTTTTCTGTTCTTCCAATGTAACTTCTCGAGTAAAGATAAACATGAGTTAATACAAACATTTGGAGGTAACATATGAAGGATATCTGTTAATTTTCGATTGCACACGCAACCAAGAAGTGCGACAGGGCTCTGTTGCATGATATATCTTGGCCAGTGCAGTAAATAGTTTGCGGTTTATCATCATTGCAGTATCACCACCTTTGAAGTCAAGGTGAGTGGAAATCGGCTTCTTACTGACTGCCATTTTTGAAATCTTACTACATTCTCTTCCATCGTATTTGCTTATGAAGCTATGTGGGTATCCGTTTTCTTTAAGATACTTCTCAAAATGAAATAATCCCTATTCCGTTTTGTTTGGTGAGCATATTCTTCATACTCTACAAAACAGCATCATAACCAGTGCTCCTTTGTGGTTGCCTGGATAGAAACTGTTGAAATTAAGGCTATTACCATTCCATTTGCCTTTGTGATGAATCAATCTTTGAAGTTTTCTATCAGTTGAAGGTTGAATGTTCGTGTCCGAGAGGCTGAATTTACCACTGTGTTCATGTTCCAATGTGAAGTTAGTGTTTTTGTATGAACTACTGAAGATTTCAAGTAGATATGATGCTCAGTGTAAATTCTTACATATAATTAGCGTATCGTCAACATATCTATGAGTGGGATGTTATTTCATCAGTTTCATGTTTGGGTTTTCTCAAGTCAAGATAACCATGAAGATATCTGCTGATATAATGCCTAATGAACTGCCTATTGCCACTCCTCAGCCTGGTGACACAGGATATTGATGAACTGAAACTGAAACCTTTTAAAGTTTAAAGCGTATATATCTACTTGCGACAGTTATTATGTGGATATAAAAACAAGCTTGATAGACGTCAGACCAGTAACTACTTGATATTCATTTTCGAATGCGTGGCTCATTAGTTTAGGTATTTGACTCAAACTGCGAGTCACGGGTTTGAGCGTCGCTCCATCTATCAAGGTTTGGGCAGCCAGGTAGTATCATCGCCAACTTTTAGTTGATTTATTAGGTGTATCACACAGTGGAACAGTACTATTTACTGGTTTGCGTTTCGAACATAATTTATTGTCCATAGTCGTATCAAGACATCTACAAATCTTTGAGACAGCTAATATATATATATACACATATATATATATATCCACTTATTCTTTGAATGCTGCCGTGAATTGTAGCATTTCTGTGCGAAATTCCACCCTGACTTACCTCATCCATGACATTTATTTCTTATCGTATCCCCCTATTTTTAACAATTTTACGATAAGATTTTTCATATTGAAATTAGAAATTTAGTTTTACTTTATTTCTTATCAGAAAGAATGATATTATCATCCTACTCAAGATTGATTTTCTCATGATTCTTTTTATTACTCGCCTCTATTGATTTATAGAGTCTTTCATTACGGTATATTAGTAAAGGACTTTCCACTACACCATCAAATATTCGTGAAACTTACAGTCTATTAGGTAAGTTGAATACATTCTCCTTTGTATTAATTTATTAACATAAAGTATTTTCATTACCATCTATTGACATGTTATTCTCCATTGTTTTGTTGGATCGAATTGTTCGACCTGTATTGGCATATGGGCTGGTATGCGGATGCCTCGATATTGCCTGAATGTTAATTATGATAATTTGGTTGGTTGGAAGTCGAACAATTGGATCCATCAAAACAAAAAACAGCGAATAACAAGTATGTCAATAAATAGTAATAACTACTACCTGTTGTACAAGAGGTGACTATCGTTCGTCCACGGCATAGTGGATAACACCTTGGCTTTTGAAGCGATTGGTACGAGGTCCGAGTCTCAGGGAGAAGGACATCACTGACTGGGGTGCATATACACCCAGCCGATGAGTCCTGAATAGGACGAAACACGCGTCCTGGATTCTTCCGCTAGCTACAACCAACCAAATTATCACAAAGTACTTTCATTGATGATGGTTCTAGCCAGTCGATAACAAGATCAGTGATGTTCTGTTTATTATGTAGTTGCATTAGTGTAAAAGAGTGGTGTAAGCAGTAAGCCAGGTATTCTAATGGATTCATTGTTGAAAGTGTTCAAATATTAGAGAAGGTTCGAACTATGAGTTTCATATCTGAAACAAGTAGTCTCTTTAATAAATTTCGATAATGTTATTAGAAGACGAAGATTATCTGAAAAATGTGATGTATCTTCCGTAATAATCTTTATCTGACTATATTACCTAGACTAGTTTCGTGACCTTATATATATCTTGGTCACTAGCAGAGGAATGCAGGATGCGTGTTTCGTCCTGTTTGGGACTCGTCAGCTGTCGCTACCTATTCATATTCGCTATATTTGACCTTTAATATTTCCTCTCATTTCCATATATAAAGTAACTTGACAAGCAAATGTGTGGTCAGACTGTTCGAAATATATTACGCAAATACGTCACATTTTTCAGATAATCTTCGCCTTCCAATAATGTTTCATATCTACAAGTATTCATCGGTAGGGTGAATTTACTATCTTGAAGAAAATTATACTTCTGTGATGACTGTTGACACCAGCATAAAGCCTTGACCAGTTGCAGGAAGATTCTTGCTTTGTCTCCTTATCGTACTCAAAAATTGTATCGAGTATTATTATTATCATTATTATTATTTAGACCTCGTGTTAACGATCAACATTCAGGAGAAACTGGAATCTACTGTTCTTCTTTAAATTTCTCCACCTGGCAAGCCATTTGTACACCTTATGGTTGAAAGTGATTTCATTATTATTAATGAGCCTGCTGACAATTATTCATTTGTTTCATACAGTTATACAGTTATCTGTCACCATTAAAAGTAATCTGTTTGACGGTGGAAGTATCACTCATTTGCGATAGCAGTATCTTGCAGGTAATACTTAGATGGGAGAGGGTACATGAATAAGTTAATATAGTTGTAGGAACGTATTACCTAAGATTTTTGTGAGTATTTTTTCATTTTCTAAAGAATGTCTAGTTGGTAAGGTTGTCGATTGCTGGTTGAAGTCATTAGCGGCCTTTAAGCCTTCTGGATAGTGTAAACAGAAAGGCGAAATATAGTTTCAGGTAGATTAGCAGATAATTCATTATGTCAGTTCGTGTAAGGGCGGAGTAACTGACTGTCTAGTCCTAAGTGCTGACTGAATTCTGTCGATCATTTTGCAACATGGTATCAGTTCCGTCGAGGTTGTAGATACGCCTTGCTGACGAGTGCCAACAAGCACGATACCTAGGTCCAGGGCCTCCTGCTGATCTCATCCATCTAACTACCGTCTATCCAAGTGCATCACGATACTGACCTGCCACACTGCCACACTACAAAGTTAGTTACTCTTCAGTGACCAACCAGTGTATGTGAAGCAGTTCTATAGGAGGTCACTGACGGCCTGATTAGCTAAATGGTAACGCCGTTGACTACAACATTGGGTGACATGGATACGAGTCCCAGTGGGACACCAATTACGTTGAGGTTGCAGATACACCTTGCTAACGAGTGCTAACAAGTACAAAGCCAAGATCTAGGGCTTCCTGCCGATTACCACCAACCAAATTGCATAGATTAAAGTATACCGCACTGGTATGCTTCTTGGCCTGATAATCGCGTCACAAAATGGTCAGCAGACCTCGGTTAGAACTTAGGACTTGGACAATATGAAACTGGTTATTTTTCAATGATCAAACAAAAAGTTTCCTACAAGATTTTAAAAATATTTTACAGCTGTTTCTACGACAAATGATTTCCAAGTTATTATTCCCGCTTTTCTTCTGTTTCATCCATGTCATTTTAAAGTAGGGGGCAGATGATCAAGGCTTTCACTAGCTAAATGGTTCATTAGTTTCATGACACTGTACGTCTTTTTATGAAGACATTGGATTATTTCCCAGACTTATTTACTGATAAATAGTGTGTGGCAATAAAAGCTTATAGTTACTCCCCACTATCCTGAAGTAATATGTGTACGCTACTGTAGTTCGCAACCTTATGGCCTCATATAAGAGTTTGACCTACTAGTCAAGAGGAAGATATCTATATTTTGAGATGTTGTGAGCATCAGAATGTCACATTTGACTGTATTTCCAGGTTATATTCATCTTGGTGACTAGCAGTAGAATCCACAGTATGCATTTCTTCCTATTTGAGTCTCGTCAGCTGGGTGTGCTTACACCCCAGTGAGTGATGTTGTTCCTACTGAAATTGGAACCCTGCAGCTATCCTTTCAAGTGCCAAGGTATCATCCATTAGGCCATTGGGGCAAAAAGCCACCTTATGTGTAGCGGGTATCAGTTGTTATTTTGATACTCGTGATTCCCCCTTGCTATACTGGATCAAATGGCTTGACATCTGTTGGCAGATAGGCTCCTATGCGGATTCCTCGACACTATCTGATATTTATGATGTTGTATTGATCTTGGTGGCTGGCAGTGAAATCCAGGATGCGTTATTGTATATTCACTGTCTATGCAAATCCATTTATGTTCTGACTAAAGAGTAAACTTATGACCTGCGTTTTATAGTAGTAATATTATCAAAGGATTTTAGTTAGAGCTTGCGGTTTCGACGCCTGATCGAAACTTAATGACCTGAGATGATCACATATTTCGGATCATAGATGTCTTAAGCGCATCACTTTTATGTAGTAGGACTTTAGTGTGCGTAGTTTTAAAGTTGAACGGTGAGGTCAAGAAAAGGATAGGATGTCGGATGATGGTTCTTTAAACTTTTATGGACTAAGATGTCCAGGACATATGTTGAGTATGTTAAGCTATGGTCTTCCTTTACTTTATTTCAGTGTTAAATGGAATAAGATTAGACTGAAAAAAGTTGAGGGTGACCAGAACAAAGGGCAACACCGATCAACAAATTCACTGAGTGTTGCTATGAGTTATATCGAGAAGTGTAGACATATTCGCTGAGGATCTCTGAGATGTCGGGAGTTAATATTATATTAAAACTTGAAATTCTTGGTGTCTCAATCATTCTATTTGGTTTTTTGTTTCTTCATATAAACTTTTTGTAAAGGTTTTGCAGTGTCTTTGAAAGAGTTTTTTTTCAAATGAATTTGTACAGCTAATTCAATGTTATTTATCAGTTTCATAATTTAGGGGAGCTAACAAGATTTTTATGGAATTGTACAGGTAGATGTATTCAATAGAAACTTCTTTAAGTTTAGAGATGATTCAAAAGTGAACTTGGTATTGATGTCCAATGAAGTAGCCTCACATTACTGTATAAAACAGAACAAACTATTAACGAGAACATAATTCCGTAACGGAAGTTGACTGACGAAACATAAAAAGACTAGTTTAGATTTTCAACCATTTTCGAATAAAAGTGTAAAAAGAATCATGTTTTAGAAATGGTGGACAATATTTGTAGCTCAGGTGGATGGACTTGGTTGCATTGTGTTCTCTCAGCTGAGTTGGTTAATCGTGCAGCTTTCATCGTCTTTCTAGACGACATCATCATCACTAACTTCAGTATGAAGTGAGCTGTCACTATCTCTCCGTGACTTGACGAACTGGTTTGTGATTAGTTGTTTCCTTTGATTGTTGTGTCATTGACTGTATGGATTTTCGTGTTGGCTGTTCCTCTGCTTGACCCCTGACCTTCCTGTCGTTTACCAGTTTTCTCATTGGTTGATGGTTCGAGTCTACGTCTATACATCTGTTGATTGCTGACTGACTGACTGACTGACTTGAATGTCAAGCTTCTAGTAATTCTCTGATATTCTTTGTGCTTTCTTTGTCCATTCAAAATTTCTACATTGTCAGAATTGAATTCATGTCCATAAATATCCATATGCATTGAAGTGAGTGATGAGATGTCGTGACATTTAATAACCGCTTGGTATTCATGTAAAGGAAGGCGAAGAGGGCAACCACTTTGTCCAAAGTAGTGTTGACTACAGTGATTACAGTTGATTTTGCAAATGATTTTCGATTTTTCTTGTCTGTTGCATCCTTTGGTCTGCATAACAGGGTTTTAGAGGGAACTTGTAGGTGCATGAGCCACAATAATTTCAAGTGGTCTCAGTAATCTTGTCGTGATTTATGATTTTTGACCTTTGTCTGACAACATACTTCAAATTCAGTGGCAAGATATACAAGTGGCTGAAAGGAACTCGAATGGAATCACCGATATCCAAACGCGTGGACAGTTATGGCCGTGAATTCAATTCTGACAATGTAGAAATTTTGAATGGACAAAGAAAGCACAAAGAATATCAGAGAATTACTAGAAGCTTGACATTCAAGTCAGTCAGTCAGTCAGTCAGCAATCAACAGATGTATAGACGTAGACTCGAACCATCAACCAATGAGAAAACTGGTAAACGACAGGAAGGTCAGGGGTCAAGCAGAGGAACAGCCAACACGAAAATCCATACAGTCAATGACACAACAATCAAAGGAAACAACTAATCACAAACCAGTTCGTCAAGTCACGGAGAGATAGTGACAGCTCACTTCATACTGAAGTTAGTGATGATGATGTCGTCTAGAAAGACGATGAAAGCTGCACGATTAACCAACTCAGCTGAGAGAACACAATACAACCAAAGTCATGTTTTAAGTCATTATTATTAGTCCCTTGGGTTCCTAGTGGAACATAGGGCTTCGGTAGCACGCCTCCAGTGACCTCTGTTCTCTGAGATCTTTTGAACCTGGTCCCACGACAGCCCAGAAGCTCTCATTTCCTCCTCGCATGACCTCCTCCATGTCACCCTCGGCACCGACGTCCAACTCGTCGCTTCCCATGGGGATTCCACTCGAGGGCCTGACGCGTGATGTCCTCAGTCGGCCTTCTCAGTGCATGGCCAATCCATCTCCACTTCTTCCTGCATATTTGTTGCGTGATAGGTTCTTGGTTGGTTCGTTCCCAGAGTTCCTTGTTGCTTATTCTTTCTGGCCATCTGATCTTCAGAGCGAGCCAGCGTAAGCAGTTGTTGATGAATGTCTGTAGTTTATTGGAAATGCCTTTCGTGACGCGCCAAGTCTCTGAACCATACAGAAGCACTGACTTGACGTTGGTGTTGAAAATCCGTATCTTGTTCCGCATGCTGAGTGCAGAAGATCTCCACACTGGTTTCAGGCTAATGAACGCCTGTCTTGCTGTTTTCCGATTCTGACTTTGACGTCCTCGTCCGTCCCGCCTGTAGTTGAAACAGTGCTTCCTAGATAAGTGAAGGAGGTTACTTCCTTCAAGTTTCTCCCGTTGACGGTGATTGGAGTTTGTTGTTGTTGTTGTTGATGGTGGTGGTGCGGTATCTTCATCACTTCTGTCTTCTCTATATTCACCTGAAGTCCCGTCTTGGCTGCCTCTTCTGTCAACTTGTTAGTTTTTGCCTGCAGATCTTCAAGTTTATGTGACATTAGGCATAAGTCATCGGCGAAATCCAAGTCTTCTAGGTTCTTTTCCGCCGTCCAGCGTATCCCCCTCTTCTCGCTGCCTACTGTTTGCTGCATGATCCAGTCCACCACAATCAGGAATATCATGGGGGATAGTAGGCAACCTTGTTTCACTCCTGTCTTCACTTCAAAAGCATCACTGAGCTTCCCATTGTGGATTACTTGGCATGTGGCATCTTCATATAGTTGTTGAATGAGGCGGATAAAGGTTTGCGGTACTCCGTAGTATTGAAGCAGTTTCCAAATTACTTCTCGGTCGACGCTGTCAAAGGCCTTCTCAAAGTCGATGAAGTTGAGGTGTAGAGCTGATTGCCATTCTATGCTCTGTTCTATGATGATGCGAAGCGTTGCAATTTGGTCTGCACATGATTTGTACTTCCTGAAGCCTGCCTGTTCCGGTCGCAGTTTTGAATCCAGTGCATCTTTAAGCCTCTCCAGGATGATGCGGCTTAATATTTTGCTTGGGGTGGACAGGAGAGTGATTCCGCGCCAGTTCTTGCAAGCACTGAGGTCTCCTTCTTCGGCAGTTTGACAAGGTAACCCTTCTTCCAATCGTCAGGTACCTTCTCTTCCTTCCACACCTTCTGCAATAGTGGTGTGAGCATGTCCGCTGTTGTCTCTGCGTCTGTTCTCAGTGCTTCTGGCGGTATTCCATCTGGTCCTGCTGCTTTCCCACATTTCAGTAGCTTTATGGCGTTCAGGACTTCCATTTTCGTTGGGGGATTTATGTTCACTTGTAATTCAGCGGCTGCAGGTGGTATTTCTGGACGAAGTGCAGGTGGTGGTGGTCGATTCAAGAGCTTCTTGAAGTGGTCGGCCCATCGTTTCCTCTGTTTCTCTTCTTTTGTAATTAAATTTCCTTCTTCATCTTTTATTGGTTTCATCTGTGTTGGTCTCTTCCCTGATAGCAACCTGGTTATTTGATACAATGTCGTCAGGTCTCTCTTACCTGCAGCCTGTTCTGCTTCACTTGCCAGTGTTTCGTAGAAGTGTCTTTTGTCTTTGCGTGCACTCTTCTTCACTTCTTTATCCAGTGTTTTATACATTGTGCTCAGTTCCTCTTGTCGTTGAGCATCCTTGCACTGGTTTATCTTCTGCTTCACCATCCTCCTCTCCTCTATCAGCTTCCAGGTATCCGTCGAGATCCATTCCTTGTCTTCCTTCTTCCTTCCTAATACTGTTGTGCAGGTTTCTTTCCACATAGCTTTCAAAGACTTCCAGTGTTCTTCCACACAGGTTTCTTCAGGGATGTCCCTCGATGTCTCCCATTTTGTCTTGATGGCTGCTTGAAGATCTCCTTTGTAGTTTCATCCTTCAGTTTCCTAGTGTTGTACTTGAATTGAGGTCTATCACCAGCTTCCTTGAAGGCTTTTAACTTGATTTGGAAGGTTCCTTGCACTAGATAGTGGTGTGAACCTACATCTGCTCCTCTTCTTGACCTTGTGTTAAGTAGACTGCGTCTCCATTTTCTTGAGATTGAGATAAAGTCGATTTGATTTTTAGTGTGTCCATCTGGTGAAATCCATGTCGCTTTGTGGATATCTTTGTGCCTGAACACACTGCCTCCAATCACCAAATCGTTGAATGCGCAGAATTCTGCAAACAATTCTCCATTCTCATTCATTTCACCTAGCGCCTCTCGACCCATGGTTAGTTCTCTTCCTGTGTTGTCCCTCCCAGTTTGGCATTCATGTCGCCCATTAGAATTTTGATATCGCCAACTGAGGTCTTGTCCAGTGTTGATTGAAGTTGTCTGTAGAATTCCTCCTTTTTCTCTTGCTCTGCATTATTTGTAGGTGCATGGCATAGTATGATTGTGACCTTCCTTCCTTTTGAGTTGAACCTCTCTGTCATGATCTGGAGGAGATTGGTTCCCACTGCATGAGAGCCTTCGATGCTCTTGAGGACATCATGATAGCCACTCGATAACTCAGTGTGCTCGTGGTTGTCGTCTGGGTGACCGGAGTAGATTATTGATTCTCCAGTTGACAGTTTGGAGAGTCCACTCCCATTCCATCTGCTTTCGCAAATCCCAAGCACTTCGATGTGATACCTTCTCATCTCCTTTGCAATCTGGGCAGCCTTGCTGGGTTCAAACATGGTGCGGACATTCCATGTCCCCACGTTTACTTTCGCTTTCATCGAGAGAAGACACACAGGTGAATTGGCTTCCCGAAGGCTTTCACCAACTGGCGTCATTTCGCCTCTCCGATTCCAGCGGGGAATAAGTTTGTTTTCATTTTTTATATTTTGTTTGTGCTTTGAAGTTTGTTTAGCGGTTAGATTTGTTTTACGGGGTAGGGTTGCTAGCCGTATGCCCAACCTTCCCTCTTTACCCGGGCTTAGGACCAGCTAGTAACTAGTAAACTAGTTAACCAGGCGAGGTTATGTTTTAAGTCAGATAGGATCTAAACTGATTTATTTGGAGAAGTACTGTCTGGTTTCGTGAAACTTCATAGAGTAAGATGTTTTGAAACATTTTAGTACAGTGCTTAATGTTGGCTACTTGTTTATAGACAGAAATAAGTGATTTATCATGAGGTAAATAAGTAACTGACTGACAAAATCAACCTAGAGGGTCGCACACAGGTGCATCAACTCAGTTTACCATACTTCATAGTAGCACAAAAAGAACGGACTGATTAAATTACTGATATCAAAGTAGATAAAGAGATCTGAGAGAATAAGCAATCCTAAGATAAAGGTTGGTGAAGATATTCAAGCTTTAGAAAATGTCAAGGAGTAAATATATCTTGTGCCATTGTGACCGATTCTCAGAGATCTCATCAAGACTCTTCAGTCACTGATTTCTTTTTTTTGAAGACCCCAGCCAGGCAGTTTACATCTTCCCGCACCGCTCATACAAAGTGTAAGAGACTCCATTTACTGACACCGCACCTTGGTCTGACCACCTTGAACCCTATCCCAACCTAATGTAACTTCTAGCATGGGACACTGAGATAGGTGATGGCTCAGCATGCAAAGTACATGTCTAAGCCATCTCAGTCGGTTGAGGTTCACAACCAAATCACTGGACTTGTTTTTGTGCTTAGTATCCTTCGCCTGATGTCAACATTGCTCACACTGTGATTCCACCAAACATGAGCAATGCTACAAAGGCATTTGTGATCAAAATTCAATGATCTCTTATTGTCTTCTACTTTCAACGGTCATGTCTCACAGTCATATCACTGGATAGAACGGACTGCAGCGCACTGTAATCATCCGTTGATAGATGGTTTGATATTTCGCCGTTTGGCGCTACAGGTGACGGAAGTTGGCAAATGCCAAACAGGCCTTTGTATCGGAGCTGAATTTTGTTAGCAAACAACTTGCTCGGGTTTATGCAACTTCTCACGTAAGTGAAATGGTCGATGTATTGCACCACTTCACTCTCTATCATTAAACTAAGAGTCGCTGCAGACCAGTCTTGGATTATCGTCTTACATTTTAGAGGTGCGAAACGTATGCCAAAAATAGCGTTTCTGCTACACGCATCCAGAAGAAGTAACAGTTTTTATGAGTGTTTTCTTACGCATTTGATTAACACTGTTTGATGTTTTGTCATCTGTTCTTGTTATTTTCACAGTTGAATATCTTCAGCTACAGTTCACTAAAAATGCACATCATTACCCACTTCTTGCTGATGGTGTCGACTTCCATTCCAATCGTAACAACCGAGTTTTAAGAGCAGTGAGTTTTGATATCATTTATTATCAATATTGAATAGGTTAAAGAAGTAGGAAGGAGTATATCAAGAAGTTGAAGAATCAGTTAATGAAATAAATGTTTTGTATAAAATGTTGATCACGGTTGAAACGTCAAGCTAGGGGGTCATCTGATTGTGGCCAATATAGCTTTTAAAACTCGTTCCAGGTGAGTATTCATCACGAACTAACATCAGCTGACAAACAACTAAAGACTTAGCGAAACTGGACATCTATCTCCTCTTAGTATTTGACGCATCAGCAGTGAACATCCATGACAGTCAGGTTTCCGGCCGAACATTTTAACACTCGGTCACTGGAATGGAATTTAGCGGTTCAAATTTTCATGCTTCTATCAAACTGCAATATAGCGCAACAGTCTTCCAATACCTTCAAAGATTATTCTTCCTCACATATGACTTGAATGACTTTACAGACTACGGTTTCTTTTTAGGGATTCAGAAGGTCCATCTTGAAGCATGTCAGAAACTTCCGAATTAAATTGCTGTTTAGCGCTCATTAGTGACTTTCTTCAAGATGAGACTCTTGAAGTTCTAGTGAAAAATCATGAACGATGGGGTAAACCAAACTCACTTAGTGCTACATTTGGACACATATCTTTAGTGACAGATTTTACCACCAGTAGAAGGCAGCGATAAATAAATTTTTTTTAGTTCGAGGAGTCAATTTTGTAAAACAAAGTGCAAGTAAAGAGTGGTTGACTAAGATTACTAAGTTCACCTGGATTACAATCTAAGAATATGGTTTGGAATTATGTCGTAAATTGAAAATTAATACATTGTATGTCCAGATAATGCAATTATTCAAAGTACTAATCTAGTTTTACTGTTGACTATTGTTTGTACCAAGGAGCTTGCTTTTTTGTAGAGAGGGATTAACTTCCCTGCAGGATTTTTTGCTGTTCAACCCGATTTTCAGCCTTCAATTACTTCTTACAAAGACATCATCACCTTTAAATTTGAGTTCACTAAAAACAAGCAAGTCTCTTGCTTAATACAACTTGCTTAAATTTACTGTTTTCAGATTTTCTATATTTATTCATAAACTTTTGTGGTACAATCAAATGTTGACAGGTTCCTTTCCCATGTTACTTCTAATTGTATATACTATCTGCGGTATCACTTACATCAGCAGAACAGAGGAAAAAGCATACTTTAGACTATAAGTGCTTTCAGTAGTGCTGTCACTTCATGTCTAGTCGATACGGCATGAATCCTTCAACGTGATCAATAGTCGACTTAATTTTAGCCTTCTCATGTACTCTGTTGTCATGGTGATGAAATAACTGATACCGGAATTGTGTGTCGGTGGTAATTCTTTATTTTCCTGACAAACTAATATTTTACTCCTCCTCTTATTTGATGACATCGTCTTTTGACTTAACCTTCTATTCTTTCCGTATATAATCTTAATGATCGTCCTACCATCTGAGTTCAAATCATTTTACGATTACGTAGCTTGTGTGTTGTTTATAATCAACTAGTCGAATTTCTAATCTTCCTACATAATCTTTTATAGTTATTCAGATTATTTTCTCGAAACTTCTTAACTTGTCTTGTTAACTTCATCTAGATGTTTGAATTTTTTATTAAACCACGTCGTTCCCTGGTAACTAACTTTATTCAACTGCAGGGAAGTATGTTATAATCCCTTAATGGTATGATATTTGAATACTTTAAGGTGGTGAGCAGCTGACGGCCAACTAGTGAAATGAAATGATACCAAGTATTACTCTACTCCGATCATTGTTCTTTCTCTATTCCATTTGATAAACCGGGAATATTTACATCAAATTTCTGAAAAGTTTGATTTTATTAGATCATATTTGATCGCTTTGTTGATAGATTTGATCTGGTACCAAGTGATTCACGAGAAATTGTTACTGAAATCGACTTTTATTCTAAAATATTTGAGGAAATGCAGAATGTTTGAATAGTGTTTTTCAGGTGGTAGAAATCAGTGCTTGAGCCCTTTCATTGATATCATTCGAAGTTGATGACAATAGTTTTCTTGATTTCTTCTCTATGTTGTTACAAAATGTGATAGCTTGAATTACTACACGTTTATATGAAGCTCTAGCTTAGTTTGGCTGCATGTGTTTCGTTATAATTAGTAAAATTTCATCAATATACTTATACAGGTAATGTTTTACTAGAAATTACTAGTTTTTAGAAAGCCTGGAAACCGTGCTTCATAACTTGGTAGTACTTTTTGAATCTGAAGACTGTCAAATAATCTTTTTCATTTATTTCTGTTATTGCAAGAAAGATAAATATTAACTTTACAGTTTGTAATTTCCCGTTGTTGATTATACCAAATTTATGTACCACTGTTGACATGTGCGCTTCTCAGCGGATGTCGTGACACTGGCCCTAATTTAAGTTTGATACTAATGATGGATAGTGGCTGGTGGCGGAGTCCAGTACGGGTATTTCATCCATTCTGGTAGTCATCAGATCGGCGTACCTACGTTGATCTACCGATTATATACTTTACTCCGAGGTGAAACGCTGATTTAGTATGATCGAATTCGGGTATGAGTAAAAAATATTAAAAGCCTTCATCAAAGTACCTTCAAAGCGTTTATGGTTTAATTTCTCCTCTTAAACTGTATGCCAGACCCTGGGATTTGTAGCGGTCAGACTAAATAACCCGTTTATAGGGTGTCTTTTCTGTTGGAAACTAGAGTCTTTTAAATGAAGCCGTCCTCACTGTGGCTTGTGATTTCATCATTCTTTATAACAACAGATAACTGAAATGGGTGACCGAAAATAGAATACTCTGATGTCCTGAGCTGAATCAGTTTCCACATATTTTAATAACCCCTGCAATTCAACCACTTCAATCTGGTATGCTTTTTCCTCAGTATAAAAAATGGCCATCGTGAGACTTGAAAGTCATGAACCCAATCCCTCATAGAGTCGTGGGTGTGTACTTCTGACAATCAGTACACAAAAGTACAACAGCTATCCAGTGCTCCCTGGTTTTCTATGTTTCGTCAACTGATGCCAGTTCGTCAAAACAATAATTCCCCACAAACTACCGATTAAATTACTCCCAGTACTGTTCGGTGACATTCCTTGATATGGTTTCACGACGTTCTAATGAGAAAGTCGTTACCTGTGGGGTCGACCTATTTCAGTGTAAGCATGAATACTCGCCGATGCCATTGGATGATTGTTGCGATACACAGCAATGTGACAGAATTAGGAAAATATGGGCTCTTGAATTCCTATTCAGCTGTTAGGTTGCGACGCGCTTGTCATGAAACCTGATAACCTTTAACTTGATCTCTCAATATGTCGTGGATGCACACTTGCGAGCAGTTTCAAATGAGAGCAATAGAACTGTCTAGCGTTCATTGGTTTTCGTAGTTCTCCAACTGATCTCATTCTGTGGTGAATGTTACGTTGAATAAAATCAATACCAACAACCCCCTGGGGTTGGTTGGTTTAAATTAAGTTTTTTTAGACACAGCTCAAACATTAAATTTTGAGCTTAAAATATCCGTATTATAATGACAACAATTATAATTCATAGTCATAATTTGCATTATTTGAATATTGCTTGTTAGTATCATTTTTTGATTTCCGCAGTGCTACTTAATGAATAGATTTCATCAAATGATTCCTTCTTATTGGATTCGTTACTCAGAACAGTAAGTGGTTATGCGTAAATAATGCATTATATTCCTTTTGCAACTTTCATTTCTTATCCTTTCTACTTTTCTAGATTTAAAGTCATGCTATTTATAAGTAGTATTATACACCTTCAGGTTCCGTGGCCCAGTGGCTCAACGGTAACGTGCTGACCACAGGGCCTGAAGGTGGCGGGTTCGAGCCCTGGAAGGCGGGGTCGTGGGTGCCCACTTCTAAGGAGTCATATATTAGGACGATACAGCTGTCCAGTGCTCCCAGGTTTCCTTTGTTCCTTCAACTGATGTCAGTCTACGATGAATAATATTGTAACCGATTGATCACTAGACCTACTGTTGGATGGTAAAAAAGAATGAGCGGGACAGATGATATACAAAACGAAAGATTACTGGAAGAAATGAGGTTTAATTAAGTGATTATCACCAAATACATATACGTCATCCAGCTGTTTCTAGATTATACAGAAAACAAACAGTAAACACTATTTCAGTGCGACATGAAACGTATAGTCATAAGACCTATCCGTGTCATTCGAAATAATAAATGTGCACAGTTGCATCAGTTAATTAGCCTATTATTCACCAACCAATGTGTTTAGGTTCATTCTATTCTTTACTGACTCCATCACAAGTAAGTGATACTTTGAAAAGGTTTCAAAAAAATTTTTTGGTAAAAAAAATGAGAATTAACTGTCGTATAGACTGGTTATGAAGAATCAATTTGTGTATGATAAGTAAAAAAATCCCGAGGTCCTCTATGACACTTCGAAATATCGTATGATCTATGCAGTTCTTCTCACTCGTTCATTTTTTGAAGTGGTCAAATGAATGGTGTGAGTAAAAATGATTTCAAATATCGGAAAGACTAACTGTTCCACTGAAACCAACATTCATATTATTAACAAGTTAGTGTAACATATTCTAGAATAGTTATTCTGTATCACTTAATTAAGACAGTACTGTTGTATCTTAGTTGAAGACAATACTTTCACCCTCGATGATAACGATATTTTCTCTTAAATTACAGATTTGTGAATGAAATTATTGAAAAGTGTCTAACTATCTTATCGATAGGCTGTGAAGCGTATAATAGTGGTCAAAGTTGTGATCAACTTCGTTTAATGCCTATTCATTTATTTAGTCTTGTGGATTGTGAAGCAAAATGGTGTACGCAATCTACTGTGAGTTTTAAAAATTCCTTTTTTCTCGCCAGCAATACTAATAAACACCTTTTTTGATTCCTAAATATAAGGGAAAAAATCGTTATAGTGTCCAATAAGATTGCCAGAATCTTCATAGGTAGCCCTAAATCCCTGAAGTTCTTCACAACCAATCGTATTACCTCGAAGTTACGCGAAGCGCGTGGACCACCGTGTGAATATCAGATTGGTTGGAGAGGTAAAATCAATAGAATATATTTGGTATCGAACCTTTGTGAACCACAGAGAAGTACGAGGTTGAACCTTCCAGACAGTTCACACTCACGAATGTGAAAAACAACAGATCGAAATTACTGGGCTGAAATCCAAGAGTTTACACTTTTCAATGTTCGTCAATTTATGTTATAGTTCAAACGTCATTGGGCATACGTCTCCAATCATGACTTCGTTAACCTAGCAAACCATGGGTTCTCACTAGAACTTCAAATGAGAAGTATTTTGGCAGTGTTTGATTGTGAAAGTGTGCCCAGCAAATGTAATATGCTTATCAAGGCTGGCAACTTGAACTTTTGAAGCGGTTTAGGTGCTCACTGAGAGTTATCACTTGAAGTAGCGATAACTAATGGTGTCCATCAAGAATATCTATTGTTACCATAGGTATCTGACTTTGTAAAGGATGAGCGTCATAGATAAATAACCTTCTGAAACTCTGACTAGTTAGGGTCTGACTCACTCTTCAGACGACACCTGGCCGACTCTGATCAGGTAATACCACAGTCCAGTTAAGCCACAAGACGTAGCCCTTGTTAGAAGGAGATACAAAAGGGCTACAGGTTTTCCACCATAATGTCTTTGTAGCAATGCTTACATGTCATGGAGTCACTTTATGAGAAATGTTTGGTTGGCCGTGGAGTTCTAGGCAAGAAAGGTACCTTAGTATATGCGGTTGTTAAACTTCTCCGACTCAGGTGGCTTGAATGCATGTTGTGCACGCCAAGCCATCTTCTGTCTCGACGTGCAATGTTAATTGGAGAAGAAGATCGAGTTGTAAGAGGGCTGAGGGCAACCAGATCCAGATGTTATATTAATCTATGAAGTCATTGGCCCTCGATCTGATCTGTGTAGAAAGGTGAAGGCTGTCTGATTACGGTCCTCGAGAATATAAACATTAGAAGCTTGAAACTCTTTTTGATATGGCTGGAAATCGGCTACAGTATTGCAGTGTGTACATTCTTTGTTTGTTTCGTAGTCTCGAATGTTTTCATTAACCTCCATCTACTTATTCTTTTTCTTTATCTTTAATGCCACTCTTGTTCTCTTCGCTTCTTCTGTGCATGTGAAGTGATGCACTTCTGTGGCAAGTCCTACTTTGACCTATCTATCTGTCTGTTCAAAGTGACATTAAATTATCATTCACTGGGATCGTCTATAGGGAATCGATAAATGCAACCTAGTTCTCATCATGGAAGATGTGATTAATATGTTCAGTCAAATTTGCAGCGATTGTCTGCCAACGTTATTGTATAATGATCCATCATATCTTAAATTGACTGCAGTAGGGAAAATGGTCACACTGTCATTGCAAGAAGTAGTGATCATATGTTTGCTTCCTTGTAGGTTCTAGTACCTACACTGCTAAAGCTTTTCAGGCTAGAAAGTCACAGCTATTATCCAGCTAGCTTTTATTTAAAACAACAACCCTCCATTAACCATCAAGTTTAATAGATTGAATGTAGTTGTCGTGGCATAATATTTGATAGTTTCTGGTTTCTGTTCTATTTTAAGTTCGTCGGTTAGATGTGCATATTTACTTTGTTTGAGAAGGATATGATCAAATGAATCAATAATCCTACACAATTTTACTTTAACAAAAACTGTTTACCTACATGACTCAATTCAAGGTCAAAATAGTGAAAGATGCAGCTACTCAACATACAATAGGACTATATTCAGGGTTCAAAAAACACTAGTAAGCTTATGATTTGAATTTTGAGCATAACTCATCCATATATGAAGGGAAGGTTGATGATATCATAATGCCTGGTTAGAGAACATCTATGAGAAAATATCATATCATTGAGGACATTAAACTGTTATTGTCCTCATTTGAGCTCCAAATCTTTCCTATTCTATAGTTATCGATTCCTTTTAATGCGATCACATATCATCGATACCGATATTTTGACATAATTACGTACTGCGTTACTCATTCTCAATCTTTTTTTTCTCTTCTCAATGTGTTTAGCATGGGGCATACTGTTGTACTGCTTTTATTACCCAGTTGAAGAAAAATCGTGAACTTGTAAGTTTTATTTATTCCTATGCTGTTGTTCTTCACAATAAAGTCCGGTTTTTATGTTGATTATGCCAACGCCTATGAGATATTGTTGTGGAAGTGAAACATATGGTTATCATCACTATTCGATCATGATTATTGTTGTTGGTGGTGCTTGTGTGTAGTTGAATCCTAAAATGACCAATGTTTACTTTGAATCTAAACTTCTGGGCAAGGATTGTAAGTTGTTTGGTAATGCTGCGAATCCGCACTAACTAAACTGTCTAGGTTATGTGTTAAGGTTACTGAGCCGACCTCTTCCTCGACTTTATTGCAATGTTAACTGGAATAAGATAAGGTTAGATAAGTTAAGGTTAACCAAATCAAAACTCACTACTTATTCATGAAGTCATTAGGGATTGTTTTGAGTCATATTGGGTAGTGTAGACCACTTTCTGGTTCTGAGTTTTCTAGATGTTATTAACCAGTGTATTTTTGTGATTTTTGACAATATAACTCAAATTGATCATAATGGATAGATCAACTTACTTTCTAGTGCAGGTGCACTTTTCATGACATCTGATGATCTGAAATCCAAAACAGGCAACAATTAGGTCTAGCAGCTCGATTGGTAGAGCACTAGGCCAGTAATGTGTAGGTCAGAGTGGCGCTGTGACTTAGGTTTTAGCCACATATTCAATCATCATGTTTTTACTAGTAGTTAACAATCCTTATCTCTCACTCTTTTTGGAAAAACTGTATTTGCTGAAATCTTTGCTTTCATCATAATGAATAATTTGGTTAACGGACCACAGCATCCCTCAAAAAAATGTTTTCCATTCCTTTCGTCTTTACTTCATGATATAAGAGACTTTAAATCTTCGTTTATAAGTTTACTAAGGAAAATATATCAATGTTTTGCCTTGTATTTCTGTAATCTGTAAGTTTTGTATTCATTATTTGTCTTACCAAAAGCGAATGCACTTCGAAATATTCGTCTTTGACAAATTGATGCATACTAACCATGTAAATTGAGAGTAGTACGGATTGGTGTGTAACCATACGTTAACTTGGCCTTTTTCAAAATTGGTCAATAAAAAGTGGTGGAAATAAGTCGTTATTAGTAACAGCTGTTATCATTAAATAACTTAAGCCTTCATTGCACATCTTTCACAACACTAGAGAGCAGCCAATTGGAAAAAGATTCGGTCAACACTAAAGAATAGACAACATGAAATTGATTAGTCTCCAGTTACCAATTAATGTATCCAATCCAGTCCTACAGGAAGTGAATCACAGCTCAAATAACTGACCGCAGCACTTAGTGGTTGTTGTTGTTAAAATAATACAATCTCTTGAAGTTGTAGACGTCAATTACAGTATGCGTAATACTTCTGTGAAGTTTCTGGTATTTCCTAGCTATGAATGCTAGCCTCGATATATGTCTTCCTCTTGTTGATGCTTGAGAAAGTCAACGTTAGAATAGGATATTCGATGAAACTGTTAGATAACTTAGATAGATGGAGGCAGTCGACAGGAACTCCTGGACCCAGGTTTCATGGATTTTGGCACTCAGCAAGCTCATCCGCGACCACGACGAAACTGACGTCCGGCTACATGTAGAGACCTTACAGCTGAGCTATTTGGGTCATAATTGGCCTTCTGTAAAATTTGATTAGGAACATCGATTAGCCTGTAGGGTGGGTTTTGTTATGTCACTATCGCCTAACACTTGACCAGCCTTACAAAAATCAATGTGCCCAATACCCAACTATTCAGCACCTTACCTACATGTAAATATTGATAACAAGAGAAAAATTGGGAAACACATGCGGTAAAAGTACTCTTACAAACAGCTTGTTTATTGGTCAGACTTTGAGAAAGAATGTTGACCTATCTATCTATCAGTGGCTAAGCTGGGAACCAGCTAGGTGCCATCGACTAGAACAAAGAAGACACAAAACTGGCGAACGTCAACATGCAGATAACTTCACACTAAACCAAACTTAGATAACTAAAGTCACTTGTTGATGAAGTAGAAGATTTTTGAGTAATATTATTATTATTTGTCCCTGGGTTTCCTAGTGAAACATAGGGCTTCAGTAGCACGTCGCCATTTCACTCTATTCTCTGCAGTCTTTTCAACCTGGCTCCAACACTGCCCACAACCTTTCATTTCCTCCTCACATCATCTCCTCCATGTCACCCTCAGCTGGGACCCCCAAACCATCATTTCCCCTCTGAATTCCACTCAATGCCTGGTACGTGATGTCCCCAATCGATCTTATCAATGCATGTACAATCCATCTCCATTTACTTCTGCATATCTGTTGGGTGATGGGTTCTTGGTTGGTTCGTGAACTAGTGAACTAGTTACCTTGGAGAGTTCATTATTTAAGTATGATTCATATATTTTATATGTTTATTTATTTATTTTAGGCCATGCATTATTTTGGTGCCAAGAAGGTGCACTACAAGCCACTGGAGGGAAAACAACCTCATACAGTCTAGTCGTGACTGCTGATAAAATTCAATGGATCATTTTGAAATGTGATCATCAGGCTAGGCAACTTACCATCCTGATGCACTGAAACAAATGTTATTTGGTTAGAGGGGATGGCAGGTAGCCTTAGACCTAGGTTTTGTGCTTGTCAACTCTTGACAGAACTTTGCTTTGGTCTTGTATAACTTTGATTTTTAACTGAGAATGGGAACTATAGCAAATATTTATCCAAAGTATACCACACCTAAATGTAATGGATTTCATCTTCTTAATTTTGTAAGAAATTTACTGTTGGCCTAAGGTAAGTCTGTTGAGACTAATCGTCCCTTTTTATTTTGTTTTTCAGTTTGAATATAGTGTACGTATGTGTTTAATTTACATGAATACACAGGATGATCTGGATTTACATTCGTGTAAGTAAGAGCATTTTGACGTTATCCTATTTAAATAGGCCTTTTCGTTATTTTCATATACAGTTGTATCTCTTTGCCTCAGTTACTCTACTTTTGATTATTGAGTTAGGAGTTCAAATTCTGCTTCACCTAGCAAAGTTTTGGCTAGTGTATGAAATCATCAGCCCTCATGTCAAAAAGGTGGTTCACAGCAATTTCAGCTCACATGTGTTTGTCGTATTTTCCTTCATTTTTCATCTTGTTATAATATATATTTATCTGTGCAGGTATTTTGTTGGGTTTTCAAGAGAACACTTGTCATGAATGTCGAAAAAAATATTTGACTGCTGATACAAATTAAAGAATTTCGATAATTTCGCAGTACATGGTTGTTCAATGAAACTGTCTGTTATTTGTCTATCTGTGAATTCGAAGCGGTTGATATTTCATTGACTGTTCTAGCTTTGTTGATTTGAGTATCCGAAACAGCTGTGGCTCTGCTAACTGGTTGTATTACTGATTTGGGGTGAGGATTAAGGGTAAAATGATGACATAGTTTGCAGTAAGTTCTTAATCACCATTCTTTTTTAGGCATAAACGTATTTTGATAAATCTTCAGTGAAACAGTACTAGTTTTAGACTGTGCATCTGTATAGCATTGTGAGCAAGCAACGATTAATCACAAGATCTTCCCAAAGAAAGGATCAGAAAAGAACCAGTGTGACCTGTTACTTTTATAAGTAATTTCGGCATTTGCTGGAATTAACCCTTTGAATAAATGATTTGATATACAAATAGACAAATTCGACTTAGAATGTTGCACTAAAGTGCGTCGTTTCAAGTTGCCGCACTTCACAACAGCATGCAAGGAACAACTGGAAAAAAATAATGATATCAGAGCAGAGAAAAGTGTAAGCGAGGCGAAAGAAGAAATAAGTGATGCCTGATGAAAGTGTTTCAACTGAAGAAAACGTCATCTGAGTCATTACGACTGATTTTAACCATATTACCGAGAGCTTTCAGCCATTCCATGTCATCAACTACCGAGGTAGAAGGTTCAAATCTCAACCACATTTCATGTTACTGTATGCGAAAGAAAAACCTCATTGAACAGTTTTCTCCTTCAACTAACCAATCAAAATAAGTATCCAACTTCTGAACTACCACCTTCACATTATAAGAAAAGGCTGCATGTATATGATGTGTATTTGATCACATTAGGTTGTCTTCCTTACAGTCACAGACTGTTCCTTGTCTTCCGATTTTCGCAGTTAAGTGAAGAATCAGGTCTGAGAGAGGACAGTCACGGCTTGTATCCAGTCGAAGTGTTTCATTGTGTGATTCGTGTTTCTCTTATTTCGTAGTATCCAGTCAATCATTTCCACTAGTTCACTTTGGGCTAGTTACCACGGTTGAAGAGTGACAGATAAAGAGATATAAATTGTTTCGTATAATTCTTTGGGCTTCCTAGTCCTTCACAAGTGAATAAGCAGCTCTTTGTGTCCAGCTGCTTGTACTAACTGTAGTATTGTGTTGTTATGTTTATGAAAAACAACGTCACTTAACATAATATGTGGTGTTTGAACTGAATATCCCAGCTTACTGTAGCTGAAAAATAAGTTTACTCTATGTCTTATCTGTTGATCAGTGAACTTTCTTCTTGTTATTGTAATTTACTAATCTCTCTTTTAAGAGGGTGTGACGATAGGTCAAACCATTTCGTGGAATTACTGACTGACAAAACCAACATAGAACCTCGCACACAGGTACGTCGAATCAAGTTGCCACGCTTCACAGTAGTTAACAAACAGCAGGTTGATAGTAAATGAGTGACATCAAGGTATATAAAGTAACGTGGGCGAATAAACAGTCTGAAGATAGAGGTTGGGGTGAATATTCAGGCTTTTAAAAATGTCAAGGAGTGAATACATCTGTGCTATTGTGACCAATTTCCAGCTATTTTGCCAAGAGTCCTCAACCACTTATTCTTTTTTGTCTCAGAGACCCCAACCAAATAGTCTACATCTCCAAACATCGCTCAGACGAAGATTGAACGACTTCATCGACGGTCTCACATCTTAGTCTGGGTACCTTGAACCCTCTTCCAACCTAATCCAACTTCACCTTACATGGCAATTCGAGGTAGTTGGTCGCTCAGTATGTGCACTACGTGTCCAAGTCATTTCAGTCGCCTGAGGTTCACGACCTCATCAATCGAGTTGCCTGTCTTGTTTAGCACCCTTTGCCTGACCTCAACATTGCTCACACTGTGGTTGTATCAAACATGAGCAATGCCAAAAAGATATGTGTGTTCAAAACCATGTAGCTGTTTCACGTTTTCGACAATCAACGGCCATGTCTCACATTCATATAACATCAGAGAACGGACCGCAGCGAAGTGTAATTGTCTTCTGTCAGGTAGTTGGATATCTCCTTGGTTATTGCCACAGGTGGTGGGCCCTCTGCATCTGAGCTGAGATTTCGTCAGCTACGAATTATCATCACGGGACAATAATCTCTTCCTGTTCTACTACATTATCCAGAGGCATATGCCTTTCGTTATGATGAGTTCAACGTATGACTGCTGATGTTTTCTTGATTACCTTTTTTAAATGAATGGCGCTTTTTTAAAGGCTTGGCTACCATAGTTTGAATTATCAAGGAGAGATGACAAAGTAATTGGTTGGAGATACCGTTTGAAGCGATGTTTTTATACGTCAGTCTATACGTGGTTTACGGTGTTAGAAATGGGTTTAGTAAGCATGACAGTGAATAATTTATGTTAAGCAAAGGTTTCTGCCAACATTGCATATCGGTTGTACTTCTCAGAAACTTATCTAACCGTTAATAATGCATTATTTGAATTGTATTTCATAACTGGTTAATTTCACTGAATATCTCTACTATATTTGATTCTTCATAGCCAATGGTGTGAATTTATCGAATTTACATACAAACAGTTATCACTACACATCTGCAGACTTGGTTTACGCATCATTTCTTCATTCTATGCAGTTAGTAGGTCGTATTCTCTGCTTTTCTCATGGGCGTAATTTATTTCCTATCGAAATTAAATGGAAAAATATTGCCTCAGTGATAAACAGTAGGTTTTTAAATTGTTTTAACCAAGAATTGTTTTAAATTGTATTTATATGTATGTGTCGAAATTTATCTTTCTTTTCTGCGTATTCAAGCCTATGGGAAACATCTTGTGATAACCTCAAGACCGTGTAGATAAAAAACAATTTTTTTAAAAGCCGACTGTAATATACTACTGATTGATATGAGTAGTTTCAGATCACTCATACCGGTTAGGAGTGCTCGTTTGTCAGATCAAGGTGCTTTAAACACCGGATGGCCTTGATCTGGCTTGAAACGATTGCTTGTTAGTGTGAATTACCTAGAACTACTCATATCAATCAGTAAAATATTACACTTGACTTCGTAAAGTCATTTGGTTTTTAACTTTTTCATCTAGAGGTGATTACAAGATAATTCTCGGTGGTTTGCTTGAATCTTCGACTACCGAACGTTTTCACCGAGCATACATATATATCAAATATTTTCCCTTTAATTCGTTTTAATCATTTAAATGTCCTCTGAATGTATTATGTACTCTTGAATATTTTTAAAATGCTTACAACTCGCCGTTTCTCGAGTAAATAAGAAAATAGAGAAAAAAATGTCACTTTTTATGGAAGTGGGCTTTCCATTATGCAAATGTAAATCCTATTTTTATCCTTCAGATACTTAGCGTGAATTGCAGATCATTGTAGTGGCTGAATGAATCGCCACCATCAAACTCGCGTTTCTGTTGATTCTTCATTATGGAACGGAAGTTAATCCGAAACCAGCTGGTTGTTTCACATTACTGCATTGAATACTGTTATTATTAATATCGTTGAGGTGGATTTTGTCTGAAAATATTGTTTAGGAGTGACTGTTGGAAAATTATGTGCCAAGAACTCCACACCGTATCATATACATGGTTGGGAATAAAGCGATTATTATTATTATTGTCATTATATCAGTCAGTAGTATGTCACATTCAGCTTCATGTTGGCATACTTGAAACTAATTGTGGCGTTGAGCAGATCACATTATATGATGTGAATATTATTGTTTCCATAATTAATCCATGGTGCAAATTTTTAACACGGACTGTATTTTCACAAACAGTTGGTTTAAATCGAGATTACTTCACAGATAACTGATGCATAATGATCTAAATTACAAAAGTCTAGGAGTCGAACGACACTTAAGGTTGTATTAGCTCGTTTCGTTACTTGCATACTTGTTTGTAATGCATGAAATGGTGGTAACCAGTAGTGTCAATCAAAGATGCCTATGTCATTATTTTCTTAAAATTTAACTTGGTTATAAATGTACCACCAAAATAGCATCATACCAACCTAAAGTACAGAGATGATATGGTCTTAGGAGACAAAAGACTTAAAAAATGCATGATAATGTGACCAAATGGAAATGATTGACTGGATACTACGAAATAAGAGAAACACGAATCACACAATGAAACACTTCGACTGGATACAAGCCGTGACTGTCCTCTCTCAGACCTGATTCTTCACTTAACTGCAAAAATCGGAAGACAAGGACCAGTCTGTGACTGTAAGGAAGACAACCTAATGTGATCAAATACACATCATATATATGCAGCCTTTTCTTATAATATGAAGGTGGTAGTTCAGAAGTTGGATACTTATTTTGATTGGTTAGTTGAAGGAGAAAACTGTTCAATGAGGTTTTTCTTTCGCACACAGTAACATGAAATGTGGTTGAGATTTGAACCTTCTACCTTGGCAGCTGATGACATAGAATGTTGATTTCCATTTGGGCTGCTTCCTATCACATTGTCTTCTGAAATGTATTTAGTAGAGCCCGCTGTATTCTTGGAATGTATGTTTCCTCTCTGTCGGAAGTAAGATTATGCAACTGGTTTTTAACGATTTCAGTGAAATGTTCATTATTAAGCACATGTGTATAAATAATAATGATAACTTTATACTGAGCTGTTTTCAGTAGTGGTTGGAGTAATGTTGCAACGAAAATATATACACTCTTTCGTAAATTTCGAATAGTGTAAATATAATAATTTAAACTATGTACAGAATGTTAATGACATAGAAAATTTTACGTTTCTGGTTTGGATTTTGATAAGACTTACTGTTTACTGTCATGAATTTGGTAAGTTACTTCTGTTCTAACATTTTTTCCTCATATAAGATGTGTGCTAGATATGGGACAATCGAATTCTTGTATTAAGCTGCACAAGCGTATACGGTCTTAAGTAAATTCTTCTTCTCCTGCATAAGGAGATACACAGAGAGTGCCATGGATAAAGTGGATGATCAATGTCATTTAAAATTACTGTAGTCAGTTGCTTGTTAGAATTTAAATGTCTGTCATCTATAGTGTTATTCAGTTTGACCAGAGGTACACCATTCACTCTACTAACAGATTTCAAAGCACTACACAATATAATGTAGTCTTTTTCTAGTAGACAATGAAAGATCAGTGGGGAATAATAGAGAAGAATAGGTAAAATACAACAGTTAGTAAATTGCAAAAGTAAAGACTGAGTTATACCAGAGAGTCTCAGTTTCTTCATTTAATACGATAAACGAAAGATTTTCTTAAAAGTCAACAAGATATGAGACGACCAACTAAGACCAGAAGCAAAACTCAGTCTAAGATAGAGAACGCTCCACTTACCTTCTGCAGGAATATCATCAATACAATAGGAGCCATGGAACCTAAGAGGCTCACAGAATTCTTGTTTACACCTGAGGCTAAAGTTAACAATCTAACTTTTAGAAGGGCTTAAGCTTAAGACAATTTGAGAAAGACCATTGGCCAGTTTCAGACAGGAGACCATTGAATTGAGAGTAATCTGAACGAGTGTTAACCGGCACAGAAACCGTTATGTCACCAGCAAACTAAGTAGAATTAATTTCGGTGGAATGAGGTAAGTCTCGCATAAAGAAAGAAAACAGAAACGGAGAAAGTACTAAACCTTGAAGCACGCCGGATTCAGTAAACAATAAAGTGGAACGCCCCACTTTATAGACGGTGTACTATTTCCCTTCAGAAAAATAAGAATACAGCCACTTTGTAACCCATGTCTCAGTATGAGCAATGGCATGTTTATTCAGCGAGTGTGATTTAGAAACGGAGTCAAAGACTGATGTCTAATTTAAGAAGACATAGCAAACATACTCGGCACTTTTGTCTAGACTAGAAACAATACTATGATGCAAAACAGTGTCAGCGTCCGAAGTATTTCTCATGTTTTTTTCAGTGTGAAACTCCAAGTGAGATTTGGAGCTTATTCTGAATTTGTTGCTTATTTTGCACTTATCGCTTGGGGTGTTATGGGTACACATTACGGAGGGGCCTTAACCTAGGAGGAATTAGCTTTATAATCCTGTTTGCTTTTCAGATCTTACTTAGTTCGTTGGTTTGAATCCATGATAAAAGTTACCTTGAATTTAGTCAGCTTCGCTTTTAATACTCATCTGGATAGCAACCATTGTCTGTCCTATTGAAAATTCAGCCTTGAAAGTAATCACGAACAGTATGCATACTTAATATCACCTTATTGATGCTTTAGTGAAAATTTATCAACTTTCACACTTTTCTTTTGTATTATGAAAGGCACAAGTTTCTTAACGATGTGTCTCTAAAGCTGTCAGTAAGCGTATAGATAGGTTACTTATGATCAGTTAGTACTTGAGTACTCCTAGAGATGTGTAGATGGTTGACTCTTCTCACATACACACATCGTAGAATGTTATTTTTTGAAGTTCTCCAGAAAGGAATGAAATCACCATGCACAGTCTTATCGACATGGAGGCAGCCTAAAGAAAACCTGCATGATTATAGTAGAATATACGTAGTAATTTTGCCAATTTTTATTAACTGTGAGATTCCTTTTACTTTGCATCTAAAGGTGATGTCTTGAATGAAAAACCTGGGGTATTTTCAGATGAATATCTCCTAATGTTTTTTTCTAGCAAATTGATAAGTAGCACAATCAGAGATGCTTGTTACTTTTGGGGAAAATGCTTGCCAAAGTTACACTGCAGTGCAGGAAGAATTGTAGTCTTTCCCTACAACGGAAAAGATTTTTTGCCATATTTCACCTGTAAACTTATGAAATGAGTTAGCCTTGTCTCATTTACATAAGACATTGTGCGTAATATAGCCGTGTAAATAGCATATTATAGAGGGGAAAAAAAACAATAAGTTCCAGAATATTCAATGTTTATCATACTTGGTGGCATGTTGTTTCATAATCATCATTTTAGACTTTCATATCTTGAATATCACGTTAACTGAAACTGATCAGTTGACTGAAGTACACAGGTGAACTGTGCAATCAACGAACAGTTTATGAATCATCTTGAAATTTAAAGGTTATCGTAGATCTGTATTATCACCGTTATACTCTGATGAAATATATTCCCCGACTATATGACCTCTTAATCTACAGATTTCGGCAGCCAGGCTAGTTTGATTTAAAGGTCAGTATACTCTGTGGCTATTTTCGAAGTGATTTAAGGAATTCGTAGACTTGATTTGTTGAGATTAACCAGATCTGTCAAGTTGATGACATTTTATGTAACTATCCAAAAACTTTCGAATGAACGTTTCCTAGTTCCTCTCCATTTTGTCGCCTTACATTGTTTAAATAATGCAGCTTCATATGTCAATCGGCATACTTTCATCAAACTATTCAAAATTACTCTCAGTAACTGCTAATATTTTTTTACAAACTATTAAAACAAAGTTTTCTTAATATAGACTAAATATACATGTTTGTATATACCTCTTTCGAATAGACAGATCAAGTCTGCTTACTCGATAATTTCACCATGCCATTTTTGATGCATAAGGAACTTGAGATAATAGCGAGGGATTCATTCAAAAATCCCATATATCGACAGAGAATTATTGTTTTGCTCCAGAATGATAATCAGTGGGAATAATGCAAGCATCAATAAACAAGAATAATGATGCCTGTTGTAGAAGAAGTGTTCTTTATAATTCAGTGGCATAGTGGACGACATGTTTTGGTTTTCAAAACAATGGGTTCAGGGATTTAGTTGAATCCGGCTGACGAGTCTCATGTAGGATAAAACATGCGTTCACCAACAATAGAACAATGTTGAAAATGAAGTTCGACGATATATTGATTGATTACGGAAAGACTATTCAATCCAGTACTATAGGGGCTCAGGTTGCCTGTTAATCAGAATATTTCTCTGTGTACTCGCGGTGACTAATGAAACTGGTTATATAAACATAGACAACATTTTTATTTATTTTCGTCTTGTCTCGTTCATAGCAAATCAACTGATCACAGTGAATACCTTTCTATGCACAATGTTGCAGTTTTTATACAACAATAAGTTCGATGTGAAAAATATTCATAAGTGTAAGTTGGTTTTTCATAAGTTTCTTTTAAATTATGTCATATTACACTGTTGCTAGGATCAGATAAAGTTTATCGGCAGAAATCTCACTAAATTAAATTAGGTGTAAAATATGTAACAATGAAGAGAATTTTCTTTTCTTTATATATTTCAGAAGTTGAGTAATTGTACCATATTCGATAAAAATTAACTGAAAGCAAATAGTCCCTTTTATGAATCGAGGTAGTGTAATTAGAAGACGAAGTTTGTTTGAAAAATGTGTAATATATTGCTACAATACATTCTGAACATTTTGACCATATATTTACCTGTCAAATCAATCCAATATTAAACCGAAGAGTGATAGGACAAATATAACAATTAAAATAATAGGGGGTTAAGATTAAGAAAGATGAGAACAAAAAGGAAGATTGATATAGTTAGTCTTCATCTTGGTAAACTTTGATTTCTTACCAGTCGCTTGTAAATCTATGGGTTATAAGTGTTTCTGTTGGAAAGAGGTCTCATAATCGAAGTCCTTTAGATTGTTATGAAGTAACTTTCAGGATGGATCAGATGTTCAAAAATGATGAATTGTTTGAGTGTGGAACTATTGACATTCTTTCTTTCTCCCCTAGCCAACCAAACTGGATAGCACGCTAAATATGTTAAATCGTGACAAGGTTATTTATGAGCACGTGTAGGTGGTTTTCAAATTTGTAGTAGATATATTCTGGTGGAGACTTTATCTTCACTTTCATAGCATCCAAGTAGGCTACTATTTAGGATTGTTTGGTTCACAGTTGCGAATGGTGTAGATAATTTTATATTGGTAATATCTACTTAAAAATCCTCATTGGATACACCGGAACGCCAAGCTTTGCAGAACTTATCTCCTTAGGTTTCGTTATAGTTGAGCACGACCTGAAGAGTGTGCGGTGTTGGTTGTAAGACGTGGAATCCAAACCAGTTATCACATTTTCTGTGTTACTAATTATTCTACTCATAAGTAACTAATTTTATCGAGCATAATTTCTTCGTTTCCTGTGGTTGACATTTTTTGTATTTTTTCCACATTAACCTTATAGGTTCAAGAGATAACATGGCATTAGATTACATTAAATTTGTAAATTTTACCTTTTACTGGCCATAGTTTGCATATTTTTCCCACCAAATCCCCTCGAAAATAAGTATGAGATTAAAATTAAAACTAGTAATAGCTGCTGCGAAATAAATAAACAGACTTTTGACTTTAAATGAGTTTCGGTTGCATTTATTCACGTTGAAAACCAACACCAGTCAATATTTTACTGTAGTGGGCTCAAATCAGGATGATTCAGCTTTTACTGGCGGTTACATTCCTGAAGTTATGACAGATGCACTTCATCCATCCATGTTAAAGCGTGTTAGGATGTTAGTGGAAATGTTTTCTAGTTCAACATACAGTGGATTAAAACAGTAGTTCCGCCATTGGTCAGGTTCGCTTTCAAGTTCTCCCGTTTTGCTTACTGTTACTTCCTAATTGTCAAGACTGCTCACTTTTAAACTCATTAAATGTGCTTCGAAAACAGTTAGTGACATGAGACTTAGAGAGTCAAGATATGAATAAACTATTTTCATATAGAAAATAGACACATCCTATATCAGTAGGGTTTTTCACGATAATTTTAAATTGCTTGCTGATTTCGGCTAAATATAAGGTGACCTGTTGTTAATTAGGCTTACTTCGTTCAACAGAGATAAGTTTAGAGTGGTGTTTTGCATCTTGAAAAATATCTAGCAATTCTACTTTTCTCTGACTGATAGAATAGTTTCATATTGCGTTGTTCTTTTTCAACACAGTTTACGCAGTTTCGTCGTGATTCTAAGTTATTAAATATCACATTATCAACATAGGACCAGGCATTACTGCGTAACGGTCCGAGTTGCCACACCTCATATCAGACATCAAGTAAAAAGGTAGTGAGGTGAAGGATGAAGATAAGTGAATGCAGTCAAAAGAAATATAAAGTATGAGAAGAAAGGAAAGAGGAGTGACAAAATAGTGAGATTCGGTATAGCGTTGTTAGATGAGGATAATGTGTGTATACATCTGCGCCACTGACTTCGGTTCTGAGCCATATCACCTAGGGTCTCCAACCACTGGTTCCTCTTGTCCCGTGGACCCCAACCACCTAGTCTGCATCGTCCTACATGGCTTAAACCAACAGTCAGAGACTTCATACATTGGTGCCATGTTTTAGTCTGGCCACCTCGGCCTTTTTCCAGCCTGAACCCACCTCAGCCAACATTGTGACGAGGCAATCGGTGGCTAGGCATACGTAGTACGTGTCCCAACCATCTCAGTCGATGAAGGTTCACAACCTCGTCGACTGACTTACCTCTTCTCCCAAAACTCTACACCTAACTTCTGCATTACTCACATGGTGACACCACGGAATACGTCCTATACTACGAAGGCAACGGTGGTCAAATACCTGTAACCTTCTCATGTCTTCCACTTTCAATGGCCATGTTTCACAGCCATACAGTAGAACAGAGCGGACTGATGTGCAGTACACGCGACCCTTAATAGACAAACGAATATCACGGCGGCGCCATAGGTGGTGCAAATTGGCAAAAGCCAATCGAGCCTTTTGTATCCGTGCAGAAATCTCATTGGCAACTAACCACCAGGGTTGATCCTACTTCCCAGTAAGTGAAGTGGTCAACACACACTATTAAATATATCTGTTACTTATTTGTATATTCTTTTTCGTGAGCGGTCAAACTGGTTATGTTTAATTATTTTCTAGGACATTTTTTTAAAGAACGCATCTTCTAATGACATTTGAGTTATTATTTTCAGTGTTATTTGAAAATCACAAATAGTTGAGTGATGGTGGGGATGATTCAGAATTATGCAACACGCGACTTTATTTTTCTAGTCAGTTTCATGTAACTAAGAATCTTGGGTATTATATTTGTCACACCCAAGCAGCAGGAAAGAAATCCTCATCTGAACCAAAACTATTTACTTCTAACTGACGTGACTTCAGACCGCTCAAACTTCGAAATACTTGCCAACTGAAATCGGCTGCTTTCGCATTATCGACGTACGTAGAATGATAACTAGTTTTCTAAAATCCCTCCAGCTGTTGATACACAAGATTCAGCTAGATCTTTGCAAACTACATCGTTCAAAGTGAAAATAACACAGTTAGGTCAGTCAGCAAATCAAACCAAATGTTATAGTTGGCATATTTAGATTCATCCCATTTGGAGGTTGTAATGATCATGGAAAGCTCAGTGACGACTTTGAAGTGAAGACAGGAGTCAAATAAGGCTACCGTCTACTATCACCGATCATCTTCTTGATTGCGTTGTGCTCGGCTGGACTGGATCATGCGACAAACTGTGAGGAGCGAGGAGATGGGCATACGCTAGCTGGACCAATGAAAAGACCCCTGGAGAAGATTTGGATTTCAATGATGAAGACTTATGTCTAATGTCTCGTCTCACAAACTCAAAGATCTGCAGTCAAAAACCAACAAGTTGACAGAAGAAACCAGCCAGCGAAGATGGGACTTCAAGGGAATGTAGAGAAGACTGAGATGATGAAGATACCCAACCAACAACAACCAACAACAACAAACAACAACAACAGCAACAAGGACCAATCACCATGAACGGGAGAAACCAAAAAGAAGTAGTCTCTTTCACCTACACCTAACTAGACAGCATCGTTTCAACTACAGGCGGCACAGGCACAGATGAGGATTTCAAAGCCAGGATCGGAAGGACAGCAAAACAGGCCTTTGTTAATCTGAAACCAGTGTAGACATCTACTGCAATCCACTGCACTGCAATCAGCACAAAGAACGAGGTCCGGATTTTCAACACTAATTCAGTCAAGTCAATGCTTTTATATGGTGGTTGAGAGACCTGTCACGTTACGAAAAGTATTTTCAACAAACTACAGAGATTCGTCAACAGATGCCACCTACGCTCACTCGACATTGGAGATCAGATAAGATGGCCAGAAAGAATATGCAACAAGGAACTCTGGCCTGGCAACGAACCAACCAAGAACCCATCACCCAACAAATATGCAGAAGTAAATGGAGATGGATTGTGCATGCATTGATGAGATCGATTGGGGACATCACGTACCAGGCGTTGAGTGGAATTCAGAGGGGAAATGATGATTTGGGGGTCCCAGCTGAGGGTGACATGGAGGAGATGATGTGAGGAGGAAATGACAGGTTGTGGGCAGTGTTGGAGCCAGGTTGAAAAGACTGCAGAGAATAGAGTGAAATGGTGACGTGCTACTGAAGCCCTATGTTCCACTAGGAACTCGTAGGAAAAATAATAGTCGCACTATGTTGTGAATTGACAGAAGGTGGAAATTATGAACCACTGGAAACCGACCCAGTGGCTGAGTGGTTAAAGCGTCCGCCGTGAAGTCTGAAGGTACTGAGTTTGATCCCTAGCCGGGTCTCGAGTGCGTACTGCCGAGGTGTCCGTTACTAGGATGAAACAGCTGTCTAGTGCTCCCAGACTTTCACTGGTTCCCCAACTGACGTCATTCCATGGTGAATACTAATTCTAAAACAATAATAATAATGATGCAATTATCCAATGGCTGTCACCTGATTGTATCTTAACACCTTGATCTATGTATTTAGCTATGATTTGATTTTAGACATTATTGACCAACACTAAATCATATCTAAAGTATTCTTTCCTCTTCATGGAAGTCTTCGTGACAGAGGTGTTCAAGCCAACCATAGTGAAACACTTTTGTTTCAGTCCAACTGACGACTGCGAAAGAACTTCAGTACTCATGTTTTGTTCCATCAGCTAGATATGTTTGCATTATGGTTATGGTGTTTTGGCAGAGATTTCACTCCAGTATTCATCGCTTTAAACGCCTGAGCCTTGCCCGTTAGGTTAGTGGGATGTGAGATTCACCTCTTTTGCAATGGATATCAGTTGTTGTTTATTGATACTTGTAACTTCCTGCTGCTTTATTGGGTCGATTTGCTCGACTTCTATTGGCAGATGCACTTCTATACGAATACCTCCATATTACTTGAATATTGATTATGTTTAGTTAGTGACTATCATCAGAACCTAGGCCGTGCGTCTCGTCCTATTTTGTTTCAAATAATCTGAATTCTTTAGAAAAAGTTGTGTAAGTGTTAGTTATAACTGTATTCAACAAATTAATGTTTAACTTGTTTACTTGTTTCATTTCAACACTTATTTTAGCTTATCATCCATTTGTTATCATAAAAAGTTGTCTAACAAAACTTGCTACGAATGAATCACTTTGTAAGAATTCTTTTACAAATATGAATGTTTCGAAAAAGAACAGTGTATTACAACGTTTTGATACGTGTCAACTACGTCAAATGAATTCGACAAAATCACCTATTGAACGTAAAGAATACTTGAATTCATTACTTTGTTTTAATGAAGACAACTTTTCATTTATCGTATTATTAATAAAATATCTTATTGAAGTCTCTTCAATTGTGGTAAGTTTTTGACTGTTAGAATTCATTTTATCTGAAAACAGTAGGTTTCAGTTTAAAAATGACATTTTATTGAAGATGTATTCACCTAAAACTGATAAACAGGACGTTTGTATTCATGTATAAAACCTTATGGAATCGCTGTATTGTCTAAGACTTGATGTGTTGAGGATCGTACGCGTCTATGACCTACTGGTTACAAGATTTGATTGCCAATGCATTTGAATTCTGGCTTCACCTAAAAACTTGCTTACAACCTAGACTTCTTTTCTTCATCCAAGTCATGGTGTTTACGATACCTCTATAACAAGAGATGTCAGTATTAACCCACAGTTCCTATTTGATTTTTGAATGTAGAGGGTATTCGTAGCGAAATTCATCAGATAATTATATGATGCTCTGATCTTTTAAGGTGGTAGAGTTAGATGTCGACAGCATGTTGACGTTAAGTCGAAATATATTGTACCTGCAATAGGATGTCCAACAGATCTCGTGATCACCAATATTTTCACCATTTAGAAGAACGCGATTCCTATGAGCCTATCGATTGACTACTTTTTTCTTGTTTTTTTATGCAAAACGGTGTCAAGATTAAATCGTTTCATACAATGTCTACTTAATTCACTGTTACTTAGTTTAATGTGAAATGCATTACTTATAATTATTCATAGGTTGTTACTTTCAGTTACAACTACGGTAATGTAAATCAACTTACTGTTTAACAGAAACCTTCATTTATGAAATTCTGATTCAGTAGAGATATAGCCAATGATTTTATATAGTATAGAGTACTGATGAGCCTATCTGAGATAGCAGCCTCTGAAGACTGCTAGTGTGAACCCTGCCACAATTTAGATTTTCACTCCACATCCAGTCATAACTTTTAAGATCCATTAAGATCATTTTCTAAACTGCTAAATTCTGCGCAGCATTTTCCACTCTCAAACGTTCACTGCTACCCAAATGGAAGATAATTTACCTGGTTTTCACCCTTTTATATGTATTTGGAAGTTTAGCTGTTGCTGTGAGCAGATTCATTTAAGGAGTACTACTAGGCAACCTAACAGATATACTACTGGGCATCTAACTTTATAGTTCTGAAGTGGCGAGATAAAATTTATGGGAGGCTCAGTCTTTCCATATTTGACCGATAATAGTCACGGCGTAGTTGACACGAATGGATTAAAGATTGTTTATCGCATACAACCTAATCTTTCGAATGGTGTTGAAAATCCCATTTTACACTACACTCCAGAAAATGCGGTAAGATAGTAGAAGCTGGATACCCTTGAGTCTATCTTAAGTGACCTGGAAATTTCCAGCTGGAGTCCAGATGGAAGTGAGTTCGCTACTAGTAGTCACCAGTTTTTCTAGAGTTGACAAAGGCTTGCCACTAACTGTCGATAAGATGATACGCTGTTTTGAATATGACCAGTTGATAGCTTCTTTTTGGCACTACATCGCCAAATTTGATCTATAGGCTTCGATCAGCCCTAAGCACTAAGTACCAGATAGATAATAGGCTCCAACTTGTGTGGAATGATACCTTTTGTAACTTTTTTTTCTTAACGAAAAAAATTGTAGATGACTAACTTTCTTTCTCACATGAAGCTATCGGTGTGCATCCAAAGATGACAGAATTCTATATTCTTGCAAAAGCGTTTGTTCATCCTCTATCTCTTACTTGGTCATTTTTGTTGACGGACTTGAACTGTAAGGAATCAATAGCTGATGATCCCTGTAACAGACAAACAGATAGATAAAATCAACGTAGAACCTCTCACACAAGTGCACAGGCTCAAGTTGCCATACTTCAAAGTAGCATACAAAGAACAGGCGGATGGAAAAAGACTGATATCAAAGTAGACAGTGTTATGTGACAGAACAATCAGTTTGAAGATAAGAATTATCACTAATATCTAAGCTTCAGAAGATTTAAAGGAGTAAATATCTGCACTACTGTGACCGATTTTCAGCCATATCACCAATAGTCCTCAACCCAGCTATTCCTATCGTCTCGGAGACCCCAGCCAAAGAGTATACGTCTTCCCACTGGGACACAGTTTAAAATCTCTCATAATCTAGCCGATATACATTTTTTTCTACGACGTGTCATCATCTATATTGAAATTATGAGCGCTTACTTTTTTTCTCTTCACTTTAGTTGTTGACCACATTTGTTTTTAACATCTTTCTTCTTCGCTTGGCTTTATTCTTGTGCTCTTTTAAAGTGTAACAAATTAAAATGCTACACTTTTGTGCTGTTTTGGCGCTCTGATCATCAACAATATGCATGTATTTGTCAAGGATGTGTATATTCCCTATATTTTCCATGTTTACAAACTGTATATATTTGAACTGCTATCTCGCACTTCTTTCCACACATGGGTCACAGTTCACATAATGGGCTAGCGTTCTAATTGACTCCTGACTCTTTAAATATACTAATTAGTTCTTAGCTTTCAAGGTTACTGTGAACTCTGTAAATAGGGTCCGTTTTCAGTCGGAGATACTATGAAATTATTTGATTAGCAGTCTTTCGATTTTTCTTTTCGAATCACCCGAAGTGAACCATCTGAACCCTCGACTATCAGTCGTTAGTTATTATCGTTCTTCCTCACAACTCCTCATCGTAACAGTTTTCCTATCTCAATTTTATGTCTGAAATAAAAACAACTGAGCGAGTACATATTTTGCCTATTTTCTGTCTCCTCTCTATCCTAATCTCTCTTTCTATGCTTGTTCTTCTGTTCTTTTACTAGAACAAAAGCCAACTGGAAACAGCGTTCGTCTATAAATTGGATGCATTTGTTGGAATATTACACAATATATTATCACATGAAACTGGTCAGATAATATTTCAAAATTTGTTAAGGTATTTCAAATCAATTGTTTCTTGATTTTGAAGAAGAGTGAAAAACGATTTTCATATAATCTCCTTAGAAATAACATTCGATCAATCACAAAAATATCTATTATTATTATCATTAGTAGTACTAGTGCTATTGGTTGTAGATTGTAATTGAAGACGAATTAGAAGTTTGCGTTTCGGTGGGAATCGAACCAGCGGCTTTAGGTTAACTGGCCCTGTACTTTACCAACGTCAGCTACTTAAGCCACCTACTGACCAAGTGGTAATTTTACTGGTTCAACTCCTGTAACTGACTGAGTGAGTGACAGAATCTACGTAGAACCCCGCACACAAGTGCATCGTCTCGATTTGCCACAATTCAAGCTTTAGAAAATGTCAAGGGGTGAATACATCTGCGCCATTGTTACCGACTTCCATCCATTTCAGAAAGGGTCCTCAACCACTGGTTGCTATCGTCTTGGGGACCCCAATCAGACAGTTCACATCTCCCTACATTGCTCAGACTAAGTGTAAGGGCCTGCATCGCATGGTCATCCTGAACCCTTTTCCGCCCTAACCCAACTTCCTTTAGTATGGCACGTCAAGGCAGGCGGTGGTTCGGCATGCGCAGTATATGTCTGAGACATTTTAGTTGACTAAGGTTCATAACCTCGTCAGTTGACTTAGCTACCTTATTTAGTACACTTCGCTTGATGTCAACTTTGCTCATACGGTGATTTCACCAAGCACGAGCATTGCTACGAAGACACCCATGATCGAAACCCTGTAACCGTTTCATGTCTTCTACTTACAGCTGCTACGTTACACAGCCGCAAATGCGTTCTACTGCAGCCAAGGTTTTCATTTCACCTTCAATCATCATACAGTATTGACTTTCTCATTAAGAACATGATGTTTAGCAAGGAGACTCTTTTCAATAAATTTATTCTAAATCTGTACATTCGTGTTTGTATATCCATATATGTATGGTATGATATTTGAAATTTATAACCCGTGAGGAAATTTAAGTGGTGGATGATAATAGGAACGATAGTAATAACCGTGATAAAAATGCTAAATATAATGACTGTTGAACTATAAATGATAAAAAAGTGAATAACGCTATGCATACAATTGTTGTTCATCGAATGTATATAACTCAAAAAGGTGTGTAAAGTCGATGGAAGTGGTAAATGAGGAAGCATTGTGTACTAGGATTGAAAAAAGTTGGTAGAAATCAAATCGATGTGTTCTCTAAAACTATTAAGACGATTAAATAACATCGTAAACTGTTCTTAGTCAGGGTAGTAAAAACAACAATAATAGAGATAAAGGAAGGATGAAAGGACTAATTTATGAAAGATAGAAAATTGGTGATTCAGGGAAAGTGTCATGGCAACGGTATAAAAAGGTGACTGTTCATAATTCCTCATGTATAACTAAGGCCTCTACTGTTTTAAGAAGTTGAGAATGAAGAAAACGCCGGAGATTTTGACCAATTTAATGAGCACGTTTGAAGTCACTGCCTGTATTTGTTTAGCGATGGAAATAGATCACATTTTCTAGAACCGAACTACTAACAATACTTCTTTCACCGTTATAAAATCGAGCTATAACCTGCTCTCATATTCTTGGAGATATTTTCTGGTGCAAGAACGAATGAACTGGTAGATACATGTACGGGGAGCGATTTCATTTTCAAAGGCTGTACAATTGGACATTTATTGATAAAAGTTCCAATATGTACCAATCAGTAATTTCTAGTAGATTTCGGTTGGGAAAGTAATGCAGAGATTGAAGTTATCTTAGAAATCCAAAAGCATTTGACAATATTAGTTAGTGTGAGTTGGGTTCAAGGGAAGAAGAATTCGTGGAAAAGATGACTAAGGAATTACTGTTATGAAAGAGAATGAGAAATTCGAAATTGAGCCAGATAACTAAATAACCGAAATGAATCAGACTGTTAGAAAATGGAAACTTAGCTAAATATAGATTAGCAGACCTTAGTAAGATAAGTCTTGAAACTAGCCATGGGTGCTGTCACACACAATCATGCAAAAGAATGAGATAAAGTGACAAATTTAAAAACTAATGAAATGGAGACGGAGATTGATAACTGAAGCGTTACTAGATGAATTGACACCTGCTCGAATCGAGAATTTTCCCATAGATAAATAAAATCAGGAGGTCAGTCGTGGCCGAAATAGCTCAGTGGTAGCTTTGTTGACTGCAACACGGGAAGAAACATGTTCGAATCTCAGCCGGGACATCAGTTCCCTCGAGGTTGCCATGCTAACAAGCCCCAACAAGCACGAAACCTGGATGGGTAAAGCTTTCTGCCAAATGCCTACATCCAAATGAAATCGGAGAATAGAAAACAGTGCAACTATAAAACTAAACCAGAAAGTTGTTTCGCTGTCTTTGTCAGATTATGAGAAATAAATTGTGCCCTATTCGTCATCCAGTAAGTATTACTGTTTCGTTGCTTGATATGTACAATAAAACGAAGTATAATGGTGTCATGATTTATCTCAGCGGTTGAAATAACCGAAGCATATGAGTACACTGTCTATAGTACAGAGTATAAAGTATCACAGAAAAGTGGTAACTGATTGTACAGTTCTACCTGGTTTCCTTAAGAAACGAAATTGTTCTCACCTCAAAGTGGATTATATGTTACACTGTTAATGTTTATACTACTGATCTATTGACCACAGTACTCAACGTTATTCATTACAACAAAATCATTTAAGAACCCTATAGCTCTTTTTTTATTTAGTTACCTACGTTTCACCAACATCCATGCACAGCCTCATTCGGCTATGAGACTAACCATCTTTCGTCGAGTGGTACAAAAAAAGCGAATATACTCATAAAATGTCTCTAGTTTTTATTAGGAGTTTCACTAGGGATGAAACCCTCTGAAAATCACCATCATCAGTTGACTTTGTTTAAAGTATTCAAAGATTATCATCGTTGTTTGTGTTCTATGCTTCCAAATTTAACCCTCTCTTCAGTCAACCTTTAGAATTAATCAGGAATTTATTAGAACTTACATTGGATCTTTTATGTCAATTATTTGAAATGATGACAACCAATTCTGATGGCAATGAACATTATTTCCACCTTTTAAATGTTATCATCGAAGTAATTCAATGTGGTCAATGTGTTATTCGACGGTCAACAAGTTTCCATTTCCATAATACATGCAGTTTAATGTTTTGCTAGTAAAAGCATGGAATCGAATAGTAGTAGTAAGTTAGAATCTTTATAAAAGTGAAGTTATTTTTTCTTCCCTCTTACTTTTGTTTTAATGTTTATGTATCAGTGGTACTGAAGAGCTAATGTATTTTTCTAATTTTTAAAAGTAAGAACAGGTTCTTTACTACCAGAACAGGTTTTGTTTGTTATCGCATGTTTCAAATGAGTTAAATACTCTTTTAATATGTCTCAGTTGCTCATTTCATCTTCACTTCCCAACATTGTTTTAATTCTCAGCTTCATAATCTAGAATTTCCATCTATTCAATTGGTTCGTAATAATGAAGTTATTACATTTTGATATATTCGTACTATCGTAACTGCAACTTGTGCTTTAGTCTAACCTGTATTACTACTTTGGGTGACTGAACTCACTAGTCAACTAATAACTTAATAAGATTGATGACTATTCCATGAATTCACTGAACGATTGTGCATGTTATCACAGTGATATCCAGATTCGAGCAACACGAACACTTATTGTCCAACAATCAATTACGTATCTGTTAATATGGTTGAAATCTCACTGTCAAACAACAGAGGTTGAACAATTTGACTCACTATACCAGATGGAAATTACTAGTATAAATTAACTACTGCACAAGAAGTGAGTTTTGTGCCCCAGTGGCTTAGTGAATGACGTTTTAACGTTCAAAGCGATAGGTTTTGGGTTCAAGTTTCAGTATGAACACTACCACTGAGGTGCAGATGCCCCTGGGTAATGAGTGCCAAGTGAGATGAAATATGCGTCTAGAATACTACTGCCAGCCATCATGCAGGCTACCATAGTGAATCAGTTACAGGATGAAGGTGAACAGATGGTTAATGAATCTGTACCTATATATATTGGCCTCCCCTTTTTGAGGTAATATGAACCAATGAAAGTTTTATTTGAAAGGAAGATAATTACATAATTTCCCGCAAAACTACAACTGTTCAGATTGTCAGGAAGACACAAGGAAGAGGAAACCAACCTCTTACGAATTATGCCACACGGAGTTCTTATCATTTGGTTTCTAAAAGTTGCTGAATTACACCAAACAGTGTACATAAACAGTTGAAACTTTAAAAAGCCATTGCTATCTTATTTTAGTCACCTTTGACTTTCCTCCTACCTGGTTCTACTTCAGATAGTACTAGGCTGAGTTGTTTACGTGTAAATCACCAACATTATTTAAATGGACACCAAACAGTTTTAAAGCTTCAAAAAAATACTTTCAAAATATTACTGGATGTTTAAACATGTTCAGTATTTCATTTTATTGTCATTTTGCATTAGGATCTAATATCCTCTGCATACTACCTCGCCTGGTTAACTAGTTCACTAGTTACTAGCCGGTCCTAAGCCCGGGTACACAGGGAAGGTTGGGCATACGGCTAGCAACCCTACCACATAAAACAAATCTAACTGCTAAAGAAACTTCAAAGCACAAACGATATATAAAAAATAAAAACAAAATTATTCCTCGCTGGAATCGGAGAGGCGAAATGACTCCAGTTGGTGAAAGCCTTCGGGAAGCCGATTGGCCAGGCCGATGTGTCTTCTCTCGATGAAAACGAGAGTAAACGTGGGGACATGGAATGTCCACACCATGTTTGAACCCAGCAAGGCTGCCCAGATTGCAAACGACATGAAGAGGTATCACATTGAAGTGCTTGGAATTTGTGAAAGCAGATGGAATGGGAGTGGACTCTCCAAACTGTCAACTGGAGAATCAATAATCTACTCCGATACTGTCACCCACAAGACAACCACGAGCACACTGAGTTTCCGGGTGGCTATCATGATGTCCCCAAGAGCATCGAAGGCTCTCATGCAGTGGGAACCAATCTCCTCCTGCAGGATCATGACAGCAAGATTCAACTCAAAAGGAAGGTCACAATCAAACTATGCTATGCACCTACGAATAATGCAGAGCAAGAGAAAAAGGAGGAATTCTACAGACAACTTCAATCAACACTGGACAAGACCTCAGTTGGCGACATCAAAACTCATTCTAATGGGTGGGGTGACATGAATGCCAAACTGGGAGGGGACAACACAGGAAGAGAACTAACCATGGGTCGCGAAGCGCTCGGTGAGGTGATGAACGAGAATGGGGAATCGTTTGCAGAATTCTGTGCATTCAACGATTTGGTGATTGGATGCAGTGTGTTCAAGCACAAGGATATCCACAAAGCGAGCAACATGGATTTCACCAGACACCAGGACACACTACACTAAAAATCAGTTCTACTTTATCTCAATCTGAAGGAAGTGGAGACGCAAGGTCACAAGGTCAAGAAGAGGAGCAGATGTAGGTTCATACCACTGTCTAGTGCAAGGAACCTTCCAAATCAAGTTGAAAGCCTTCAAAAAACCTGGTGATAGACCACAGTTCAAGTTCAACACCCAGAAACTGAAGAACAAAACTATAAAGGACATCTTCACGTCAGACATTAGAACGAAATGGGAGACATTGAGTAACATCGCCGATGAAACGTGCATTGAAGAACACTGAAATTCTCTGAAAGAGATATGAAAGTAAACTTGCATAACCTTATTAGGAAGGAAGAGGAAAGAAGATAAGGAATGGTTCTCGATGGACACATGGAAGCTGAAAGAGGAGAGGAGGATGGTGAAGCAGAAGATAAACCAGTGCAGTGCAAAAATGCACAACAACAAGAGGAACTGATTACAACCATTAAAACACTGGACAAAGAAGTGAAGAAGAGTGCACGGAAGACAAAAGACACTTCTACGAGACACTGGCAAGTGAAGCAGAACAGGCTGCAGGCAGGAGAAACAAAGACCTGACAACATTGTATCAAATAACCAGGTTGCTATCTGGGAAGAGATCAACTCAGATGAAACCAATAAAAGATGAAGAAGGAAATTTAATTACGAAGGGAACAATGGGCCGATCACTTCAAGAAGCTCTTGAATCGACACCACCACCACTTGCACTTCGTCCAGAAATACCACCTACAACCGCTGAACTGCAATTGGACATAAATCCTCCAGCAAAGGTGGAAGTCGTGAACGCCATAAAGCTGCTGAAATGTGGGAAAGCAGCAGGACCAGATGGGATCCCACCAGAAGCACTGAGAACAGACGCAGAGACAACAGCGGACATGCTCATACCACTATTGCAGAAGGTCTGGAAGGAAGGGAAGATACCTCGCAATTGGAAGAAGGTTACCTTGTCAAAATCCTGAAGAAGTGAGACCTCAGTGTTTGCAAGAACTGGCGCGGAATCACTCTCCTGTCCACCCCAAGCATAATTTTAAGTCGCATCATCCTGGAGAGGCTTAAGGATGCACTGGATTCAAAACTACGACCCGAACAGGCAGGCTTCAGGAAGTACAAATCATGTGGGACCGAATTGCAACGCTACACTGAGCATCATCAGAGAACAGAGTATAGAACGGCATTCAACTCTACACCCCATTTTCATCGACTTTGAGAAGGCCTTTGACAGCATTGACCGAGAGGCAATTTGGAAACTGCTTCAATACTACGGAATACCACAAACTTTTATCAGCCTCATTCAACAACTATATGAAGACGCCACATGCCAGCCAAGTAATTCACAATGGGAAGCTCAGTGATGCTTTTGAAGTGAAGACAGGAGTGAAACAAGGCTGTCTACTATCACCGATGATATTCCTTTTGTGGTCGACTGGATCATGCAGCAAACAGTGGGGAGCTGTGAGAAGAGGGGGATACGCTGGACTGTGGAAAAGAACCTAGAAGATCTGCATTTCGCCGATGACTTGTGTCTGATGTCACACAAACTTGAAGATCTACAGGCAAAAACTAGCAAGTTGATAGAAGAGGCAGCGAAGACGGGACTTCAGGTGAATATAGAGAAGACAGAAGTGATGAAGATACCGCACTAACAACTCCAGCAACAGCGAACTCCAGTCACCATCAGTGGGAGAAACTTAAAGTAAGTAACCTCCTTCACCTATCTAGGAAGCACTGTTTCAACTACAGGTGGCTGCACAGACGAGGATGTCAAAGCCGGTCAGGATCGGAAAAAGCAAGACAGGTGTTCATTAGCCTGAAACCAGTGTGGAAATCTTCTGCACTGCACTCAGCATGTGGAACAAGATGCGGATTTTCAACACCAACGTCAAGTCAGTGCTTCTGTATGATGGTTGAGAGACTTGGCGCGTTACGAAAGGGATTTTCAATAAACTACAGACATTCATCAACAACTGCTTACGCTGGCTCGATACTGGAGATCAGATGGCCAGAAAGAATAAGCAACAAGGAGCTCTGGGAACGAACCAACCGACGAAGAACCTATCACCCAACAAATATGCGGTGGAAGGAAGTGGAGATGGATCGGGCATACACTGAGAAGGCCGACTGGGGACATCCCGTGTCAGGCCAGGGCGTCGAGTGGAAGGCAGATGGGAAGCGACGAGTTGGGCGTCCCGGCTGAGGATGACATGGAGGAGGTCGTGCGAGGAGTAAATGAGAGCTTGTGGGCTGTCGTGCAGCCAGGTTGAAAAGATTGCAGAGAAGAGAGTTCACTGGAGACGTGCTAGTGAAGCCCTATGTTCCACTAGCAACCCAAAGGACTTATAATAATAAAATAATAATCTTCTGCATACAATACAATTACTAAAGTGAATCGTTCAATATTGTAACTCCAGTGTGCTGTATCACTAACTATATCCACTTTGTTTCATCATTCACGAAACCGAGTGAAATAATTGTCAGAAGTGATAATGATGCTGAACGCTATCAGACACTTAAAATGAGTGCGATAACGACTGTTTCTTGCGCTATAAAACTATCAAAAGAAAAGACTGTCCTAAGACTTCAAAGTTAACGGTATTAAAAATAATACATTCTATATATATAAACATATAGTTAAATGTTTCAGGTCAAAAACAAAATAGCTTATATTGATTGGTTGTAAAACACATAGAACTGACCTCTAGAAATTATCCTTACCGCACCGTAGGATATATCAAAACTTGAAGTTTGAAAATTCCAACCTCATCTACCATTGACTTGAAATGCTAATTTCCATTCCAGCTGCTTTCTCTCAGTTGTTGTCACTAACGTCATTTTGATACGATTTTTATTATGCAGCAAATTCTATTCTTTACACGACTGCCTTGTATGTACTTCTTTGTATGTAACTCAACCCTCTTCTAAAGTCAAAATATAGTTTTTCTGTCCTTTAGATAATTTTTTATTTTGGTTCGAATCTATATAAATCTAATTACAGCATAAAAAACGAAGTTGGTGTAATTAGACTAAACTGAGGATGCAAGCTTTATTAGTTAGCTGGTTGTAAGTTATTATAACCCGAATATGTGCAGCGGCTTAGACATAATACTGAGTTTTAATGGACTGATAATGTTTTTCATGATAATTTACTTGGTGGCGGCTAGCAGAGCAATCTAGGTTGAGTGTTGAGGTCGAACGATCCGATCCAGTATAGTAACGGCAGCTCACAAGTAAATCAGAAAATAGTGGTTGGGAATATTTTTCCAGTAACTTTTTTTTCAAATCGTATAGTTATATTGGAATACGAACAAAGAGATTACTAAGAAGTGACGCTTAGTCTTGATAAAATCTGAAAACCTGACATTAGACAGTTTATGCACTGTTCATTCAAAATAAGTTGGTCTTGAATTTCTGAATTTGTCCTCTATACTTTGTTCATGTTTCTCGTTTCTTCTTTAATAATCTCTGCTGTTTGGATAATAACTGTCCTTGTTTTCCTACTGACTTCTTGCTATATATATATATATATATATATATATATATATATATATATATATATATATATATATATATATATATATATATATATATATATATATTCCTACCAGATGGGCACACACCACAATACATTCAATGAATGATGCAACTCCCCAAGTAAGTGTAATGGTGGACACATTCCACCACTTTACTCCTAATCAGTAAACTAGGAGTCATTACAATCCAGTCCTGGAACATCATTTTACATATGATAGGTATTTCTCATGTGTTGAACACGCAGAGACTTCTGCTCAATACGTTTGAAAGAATTCGGTTTTTGTCAGCGTCTTTACCTAACAGGATAATATTTTTCACTTACTCTAAGTCAAGCAGTTAATTAATGTTCAGGGAGTAGATCAATCCCTGTGAAATCAGATGTACCTAAGAATATGTCCATTAGTACGCCTATGATGAAGTTAACTCTGAACGGTGACGTTAGGCATCTCTGGCAGACACCACTACTTATGGTCAACTCAGACCATAAATCTCCCTAAGCCCTAACACGATTATGTGAGTCTAAGTAGAGAGGAGCCTTGTCACATACGTTTTTCAGTATCCTGATATATATGCTCATAAATAGTTTAGACTAATGTTTAGTCAATGAGTTTATAGTGTATTTACAAACTTGTAATTTGTTCTTTCTTTTTTCTTAGCGGAAAAAATTAATCTGTGAAGCTAGGTAGGTTTGATTGTTTGAGAATGTGAATCTTGTAATTATGTATAATAATGATGGACAGTGGCTAGCAGTGGAACCCAGGATACGCATTTTTTCCTATTTGGGACTCGTCATTTGGATGTACCTGTCTCCCAATGAGTGATGTTGTTCCCACCGGGAATCGGACTTAGGGGCGATCGCTTCAAACGTGACAGTATTTTCCACAACACCCCCAAACCAACAGAGACTGATAAATTCAGCCCAATCAATGACGGTGTAATACAAGCAATAACACTAAATGTGAATCTTCGTTTATGCACATTTTTCCCCTGAATTTCTGAAGGCTAATCTACTAGTTTCACGTCATTTACTTTTGTTGTTTTTCTTAACTCAGTACCTTAAATACATTATGCTTATCATGAGATTTCTAAAAATCTTTATCGTTCAGTTTTATAGGGGAGAAACAGCATGTGATACTTTAATATTCCAAAATATATTAAATCACTATCTCTATCTCTTCTAAAATATCGTGTTTGTTTCTGATACTTATCTTTAGACTGTTTCACGACTTTAACTCAGTAACAAGTTTTCTTTAGAATATCACTTTTACTAATTCGATTTGTTGTTGACAAAAATAAAGAAGGTAGAATTTAGGATAATGTATGTTAGCCTGATTTGTCACACACATCCACACACACACATTACATCAGCATATTGCAGTTGGAAAAAATCAAGATAAATACAGTAATTTTTTTCAATGAAATAATAACAACACTTTGGGGTGAATCGAATTCATTTAGTATCCCTTAATTTTTCCACGTAGCAAGCAGCTGTCGAGTGGTTCCAGATTTTCAATGGTTCTCGAAATGATGTTAGTCTGTAATGAATACCAGTTTGAAATTAATCAATCCACACAAACCTCTAAAATGAATTTACAAATCGCTCAGCTATTTTACTTGTGATGATATCTGTTGGTTGTGAGCCTTGGATATTGGTGTATAAACCTGAGTTACACTGTTTTCATTTTTACTGACAACGCATTCTAACCTTATAGCTAATTTTTACTAATATTTTAAATGGTACTTATGAAGAAATATAAATAGCATATAGTACAACATTGGAAGAACAAGAGTTGATTAAGATTGACTGTAAAAGATTCTGAAGAGAAGAAAATAGAATGTTGAGTACAAATGCAGAGGGCTAGAAGTGTGCCCACTAGAATGACAAGAAAATAGAATGTTTACTGATATGTTTTTACTGTAATGTCTAATATGTTTATCAATGAACAATGAACAATATCCTTTTACTGTATTAAACTTCTCTTCAGTAGAAACAACATATTAACTGCATCGTATATGGAAAGTCTATTGATTAAAAATCGTATATCCTTGTAGTGATGGCATAAGTGGTTTGGATATTATGGAGGGAATCTTGCCTGAATGATATGAACCAATTAAGTTATAACTGCCTGACTGACAAGATAAACGTAGAAACTCGCACATAGGTGCATTAGCTCAGGTTGCACAAAAAACAGATGCATAGAAAAGAAGTGGCATCAAAGCAGTTAAGGTAGTGTGAGGGAACAGACGATTTATAGAAAAAAGTTTGTGTGAATATTTAAGCTTTACAGGATGCCAAGGAGTGAATAGATCTGCACCATTGTGACCGATTTTCAGCCATATCACCAATAGTATTGGAGACCCTGGCCAGGCAGTCTACATCTCCTAATATTGCTCAGACCAACAGTCGGAGACTTCCTTGAGTAGTCGAAGTTCTTGGTCTGGTCACCCTGAACCATCTTCCAACCTAATCCAGCTTCTCCTAGGATGACACTTTGAGGTAGGTGGTGATTCGGCAAGCACAACACATGTTCATACCATCTCAGCCGACTATAGTTCACATCTCATTGCCGAAAGTTGATATAGGTATCAGGTAATTGAGAAGTTACTTGAATTCATTTGGTATTCATATTTTTAATTGGAACAGTTAGTATGATACAGAATTCTGTTTACTGCAGCGTTCCAGTTATGGATCTAATATATTAACAGGATCTATACTCAGATTGTCATTTTATTCAATAAACCAAGAGGATTTAGAATACATATGTTTTATGAGATAGCTCAGATTCATTTGTGTAGTTAAAATAGTGTTAGATAGTTTATCTTTATCACGTCTTAATTTTATGTGCTTCTTCACACTAAGTGTTAAACAATTAGAATGAAAAATCTGCTTATCGAGTAGTATGGTCAATTTACAAATGACTTACAAATTTGTCAGTCCATATTGATATTTATCATGGCTGATTAATTTTGCAACTAACCACTCAACTATGGTGCCAGTCAACAAAATTTCTGTTGGAAACCACTTGGCTGAATTTAACATGGTGTGATTTCTGACTCAAAAGTATCATGAACTGTTGAAATTTACTACTGACCAACTTCAGTAGTTAGATACTATTTACGCTGGTGAAAAACTAATTAGCTGTAAAATGTCACCATGGACATCATTTGCATTTGGACCATCCTATTTTAAGTATACGAGTCCATGCCAGGAAGGCAACTAGATTCAAGTGACCTGAATTGATTCGACTGTATGGCTTGAATTTATCTCTATACACTACTGATCAGCCAAGTTTTAAACGAGTGAAACGGCTGTTGAGTGGTTGCATCACTCTGGTCTAGCCAACGAAATTTGCAAACAAACCTGAGTCGTCTCCAACTATTTAGGTTGTTTACTGGCATACTTCTGACTAACGAGGTTAATCAAGTTACTACATTGAATTTATATATAGGTATCGTAATCCTACTGTGTGAATAACTTACAATGAAGTGGTTGGTCATCATGAGTCTGTGATTAGCTTGTTGTTTCGCAAAATTTGAATGATTCAGATTGCAATGATCTTCCCGAATGTTAAAAACATATATACATAAGTTTATAATTCACAAGTTCATATGATGATTTGTAGGGAATTGTCGATTTGAAAGTATTATTTATTACAAGTTGACACCAAGTAGAGAACCAATGGAAATTACGGAACACTGACTAGTTGTTTTCTCTCAGTTTAGGACTACTCAACAGGGAGTACGCAGAACCAAGTTTAAAACGAGTTAGATACGTACTGATAACATTCGATGATAGTTGTAGTGCATCGCAAATTTACAGAAGTGATATACTATAGGATCCTAGCATGATGACTGAATGTTAATTCACTCATTGTGAGGCCTGAAAATTGAATCCTTCATGACATTGTAGGCATGCACTACTGAGGAGTCCAAAACTAGAGAGAAACATCTGTCAAGTGCTTGAATTGTTCCAATTATCTTCCGATGGATATTAATCCTTGATGAAATACTACTTTTAACTCACATATTACTCATAAAGCAAATAAAATAATGTTTCATTTCAGAGTTATATCTTTTCATTTTTAACTTCTACATTCTTTTACAGTAACAAAATTAACTTATCTTATCCAACACAAAATATATTTCTTGCACAATTTCAAAACTGCCTAATCCATGCACTTGGTAGTCCAATTGGAATCGAATTATTCAATGATTTCAGTTTACTAAATGATTGTATAGATTACTTACTAAAATATCTTGTCAAACAACAAAATGTAAGTTGAAATCTTCATTGATTTGTTAACCATGAGAGTTATTTTATGAAATTGCAGGAAACTAAAGTTATTGAGTAGTTTCAATTTGTTAAACCACGCTTTCTAAATGAAATTTAAACTACCTGGTTGTTTTAGTTGGGGATAGGCAAAAGAAGTGAGAAAAAGTTGTTTGCTTTACATAACCTGTAAAAGTATTGACTGTTTGTAATGTTCAAAGCTTTGAGTTTTATATCAGCCTTTATTATCTGCTTCCCTTCATATTATATCACTCTGGTTTATTTCAGTATTTTTCAACTCCTACTCATTTTATTGTCTTTTCTGCTGATGTGAATTATGGCAAATAGAATTGCTACGTATTTGTACTAGGTTGTAAGCTATTCTGTCTATCTGTTTGCTTGCCTCTTTTTTCTAGTTGTGTATAGCTATTCAATAGAAGTCTCATTATTCTTCTTCTTCCTGTTTTTATGGTTTCTGTTATATGCGGAGTAACGTATCGCCCTTGTGTCCAGGAAGTTTATATTGATTGCAAACAATATGGTTTGAAGGCTACTCTGTTTAATCATGTTCGTTGCATCAGCAGAACTCATACCCTGTAATAATAAATTCACTGAAATCTCTAACTAGTTACGCTTACATTTTAAATTGTTGATACTTACTTCATTTAAGATACGAAAACTGGGAATTTTAACGTACTATAACGAACGGCAGTGATATGAAGACATCTGTGATCCAGAACCTGTCACCGTTCCGTGTCTTCTACTTTCAAGGGCCATGTCTCACAGCTTTATAACGGAACGGGCGAATTACAGGGCAGTATACTCGTCCTTTAACGGGTTGGTCAGTCGTATTTCTCACCGGCTAGCGTTAGAGTGACACAAGTTGGGAAATGCCAAACGGGTATTCGGTATCCAACCTGAAATTTCATTTACAATTAGCCGGTTCGGGCTGATGCAACTCACCAAATAAGTGTATTGGTTGACGCATTCAGTCACCTAACTCCCCACCATTTAATTCGAGGTAGTTGTATAACTGTAATGGAGCATCATTTTACATTTGACAGGTGCGAGATGTATGCAAAACATGCTCGGGTTTGTGCTCACGGCGTTAGGAAAACCCTACACTTTATGAGGAAAATATCGTCTGCGTACTCTAAGTCAACCAAGTGCCTTCTAGGGAGTAGGTCAGTCTCTGTGAAGTCAGAGGTACTTTAGGTTTTGTCTGTCAGAATATCTATAACAAAGTTGAATAGGTAAGATGATAGCAAGCCTTTCTGCCAGACTTCGACAGTTCTTAAAAATTCTTATGACAGCTCTCCATAAGCCCTAATGTGGTTGCTTGAGATTCAATAGATGGCCTTGATTAGCATCATATACTTACATGGTACTCTTTTCACACTCAGATGCTGCTACAATACTTCTTGGTCGACACAGTCGAATATCATCTTCAGGTCAAAAAATATGGAAGGCTTCGGCCGCTGGTATGTCTGTGTTCTGGGACCTGCCAAAGGGTGAAGATTTGAATGATGCACTCTCATATAAGTTTGAAACTTGAGTTCTTTTCTCAAGGTCTCTTCTCGGGCTCCGGTTAAGCGTAGGATAAGCATGGATGCCAGGATCTTCGATACGATATTTGTCAAACTGATTCCCACATGGTTTTCACAAAAATATTTTCCTCCTTTATTAGAGACTGGAATTATCAGTAAAGTTGGACCAATTTAACGGTACTACCTTTCATTTCTATACACTACTTATTGCTTCCGTTACCTTAATAGTTTCCTACGTCGAATGGCGAACCGTCAGTTCCATCTGTTTTGGATTTTTTAGGTTTGAAACAGCCTTCTCAACTTCGATAATACTTTGGGGACCGACAGCCACCTCCTTTTCAGGTTTGACCTCAATGTTGGGTAGCTAAAGTGTAGCTATAGGCAATTTGAACTGTGATTCAAAGTGCTTTACCCAAGATTTTAGCCGTTCATTCTGGGAGGTTATTAGCATCTCATCCTTCTTGGTGATGGTTTTACTCATCTTCGTTTTCTTCTTGGAGGTATCCTTCGTAAGCCTAAACAGCAGCCGAGTGCTACTTAACGCTAATGCCTTCTTCATCTCTCTCACTTTCTCCAAGCATTAGAAACACTTCCATATTAGATTTGTTTGTTTGATATATAGCTCACAGTAACACAGTATTATTTTCTTTATGAGGTTTCGTGCAGAAATTATTGTTCATTATCATATCAGTGTAATCACACTACTTTAGACATCTGAGTTTTATGATCCTTTCGCCTGATATTCTTCGTTTTGATTGGTAGTAAGATTTTCCATGTCTCTGGATAGATGTTCCGTTATTCCTACTATATGTATTGAGTGTAGATTCGATGAACAAAGATTCAGCAATCAATCTCTCTCAATCTCCACCTAATTATATTATTATCCCACCCATCCTGTTATTTGGTTGTGTGTTAATACATACATTTCAATAACTAAGTCTTTTTCTGGATTATTGATCTTATTCAGGTCTTTCATTCTATATTTAGCAAAATTCCTATGGTCCGCTAGTCTAGCTGACGCCGACCAGTTAGTTTGACCTATGCACTTGACCTCGTAGTCATTATATGGAATTTGATAGATTATATTATTTTGCTTAATTGATGCTATAGGATCCTTAAGCCGACAAAATTGATCTCTGAGTGAGTTTGTTGTTTTAGAGGTCACCCTAATTCCAGCTTTGTTGAGGATCCTACGTAAAGTTTCTGATGTATCTTCCTTATAGGGTAACACAGTAGAGGCTGTGAACTCCTTTCTACTCGTGTTTTCGTTATTATTCGTACTCGTGCTACTGTTATTAGTTCGTTTCTTATGTGTTCGTACGAATTTCTTGATAAACTGTGGAGGATAATTATTAATTATTAATGCCTCTTTTGTGTGTTTTGATTCCTTGTTTAAGTCCTCACAATGACTGGTGCGTTTTAGCTCTATTATTTAGACATTTCATTAAACCCGCCTTAAGTGACATTGGGTGAGATGACCTGAAGTCTAGATACCCTTTAGAATATATTGGTTTCCTTCAGATGGTAGTATCATAACCGGAAGGGAATTACATTCTACCACAGTGCCCAGGTTTTACACTCACATTTGAAAGACTCTTGGTCAACTTATGTTTCGATTTCCTGTGATCCTTATTGTGGTCGTGGCCAGCTGGGACCAGTCTTTTCGCACCAATTAGGGACGCATGCTTCTTCCTATTCGGGTTTCGTCAGGTGGACTTACCTACGCCCCAGTAAGTGTTGTTCACACCAAGACCCGATCTCAGTACTCACCCTTCCAAACGTCAAAGTATAACCCACTAGGCTACTATAGCATGAAAGGCACCTCTTGCGCAACGGTTACCAGTTGTCGTTCCTTTTCAGTTCTTCCTGATCTTTTAGGGATGGAGTGGGTTATCCTACTTAGGGTTTTGCAAGTTGTTAGAAAGCTTTTTAGTGTTTTCTTGGCCCAGCTGTTTAACACTGTTGCCGACAAGATGACTGAACTCATGAATTCAAACTAGCTGCAGTCATTTGATTGCATACCAGTCATCCTATTTGATTTACAGCTGTCTCCTGGTATCTCCTTAGAAAGGACAATTATCAGTTACACAATACTTTGCTCTTTTACAGCTGAATACAAAAAATCGCCCATATCTTGACTGGCAAATGTTTTTTGTGAATGAAAATAAAATAAATAACCAGTTATTTCACTTCAGCAATCATTCATGCATTATCGCTTTCATCCTAACTATCACTTACATAATTTAGTAGCTAAAATAATAGCTGCTGGATACGTTGCAAAGAAGTCAGTTTTGTTTCAGTATTATATACTGAGATTTTCAGACTGTATTAGAAATATTATCTAGATTAAATTGATTATTATTGTTACTAATTTAATCAAGAAAGAATATATTACAATAAATGTTTTATCAAATGAAGTCTGTTGTATTGGAAGAACACTAGTAAACTGAGAAATAACATATAAAGAAGGAGCGACTATGGGAAATTCCATTTATTCATGTCTGTAATTTTTTGTTGATTATTTAGCTGGTTTAAATTATTCACTCCTTGTGTGGATATGAGCTCTGTGTACGAATCCCTCGGCAATACGTAATGATTTATTACTATCAAACTAAAAAGATGAGGGCTAGGAGTAGAATATAGGATATGTGTTTCATCATTTCAGAAACTCATCAACCTGGCTTACCTGGTTGTGATACTATCACCCATTGGAATACAGGTAAAGATATGGTGAAACACACGTCCTGGATTCCGCTGCCAGTTAACATCAAGTAGATTACGTCATATGCGTTCATCTTGTTTAACAGTTATGAAACTGTAGGGCTGACTGTATTATAATAGTTAATGGTAAACTCACCAAAAACCAATCGAAATTGGGTACCTATGATAGTGAATATAGAGTTGTTGGTCTGATTCGAAGTAGTATGCAAGTTTGGAAAGGTCAGCACAATCAGGTAATTTGGATTGTTAGAAATCACCTCAAGTGTGTGAAAAGAGTTTCTGGTTCAGAAAGAAGCTGTGGATTAAATAATATATTGATGACAACTTGTTGTTGTCGAACGTGTCTCCAACGTTTCTCTCTTCAGCGCTCAGTATTTTAGTTGGCTTGGTAATAACGACAGATACTAGGTAGCAGTGGAACCCAGGGTGGGCATTTCCTCCTCCTTAATACTTATTTGCTGGATGTTTCTGCTTCCGAATGAGTGGTATTTTTCATACTAGGACTCGAACTCAGGATCGACAATTTCCGACGCCAGAGCTAAAACTTAAAAAATTAGTTGATTAGGCTTTTATCTCACTTCAGCTTTGTGGTGGGTACTATAAACGATCACTGAACAAAACGTGGTGAGTGCCTAAACAAGTAAATTAATTTGACTGATCAAAACGGTGACAATATAAATGTTTGTTCTTTTCCTACTATGTCTTCATTTCGCCATCATGCTTTTAGTCTCAGACTACTCATTATTATCGTTCAGTAGTATAATTCATGTTGTTTCACAAAGTGTGTAATAATTTGCATTTCTCATTTCTGTTGTAATAGTGTTTTGCCAATCTAATTAGCATTTTAGGTTATTGGTATCTTCCTCATTTCGTCACTGGATTTTAATCCTTTTATTTTTTCCCATTTGCTTGGATGTATGCTTATGTTAAGCCTACTTCAAATGGTAAATATGCGGATTTTGCTTCGAACACAGTTTTGTTGTTTATCTAGCTTAAAGGTTTCTTTTGAAGTACTTTTGACGGCGACAAACTCACAGAAAATTAACGGTTCGAAGTTTGTAACTTATTGGTCATTATTGGCATTTAGTTTTATGTCCCTGTGAGAGGCCCAAATCTTTCACGACCAACAGTTTTGTTTTGACGTTCTGAGAAAAGACACGTGATCATGCATGTAAATTTCAGATTGGTTGAAGATGCAAGACCAGTGAGATATAAACCTTCTAGAAAGGCCTAGAAATAGCCAAAATCATTGTAAGTATATTCAGAACAGTTGTATTTTGACGTTACAACACACCTTCCGTTATCTTACCACCTTTTCTATCTGCCGACGGACTGATCAACCATCAAGGGTGTAATCTAAGGGTTATTGTTTAAGTATCCACTTACATATGTGTAACCAGATCATATCACTTAACAACAGAGCGCCGTACTTTAGATAAATCTTCTTTTTTTTGATCTTATGGCTAACTCAAGCGTTTGGTTTATTTTTCGAAGAATTTACGTATTATTTAGATTTCAGATTTCTGGAAAGAAATTGACATTTGACAACCTATATACATAATCCCTCCTCCATGACTTTACTGCTAAAAGTTTCCTTTTTTATGACACATAGTCTGACAGAAAATAAAACATTAAAAGTTGAGAAAGTGTTATTTCAGTGTGTTGAAATATATGCAGAATTTTTTGCGGTGGCCACAAACATAAAGATGCGTTAGGCGATAGATTAAGTATTTTTTCTTAAATAGCTTCATGAAATTGTGCAGTAAAATTGTTTCGATGAAACTGTGAAGCGTGCAAATTTCGACTTCATTGACTGATGACTTCAGGTGATGATTCCATTTTGGCCGCTTCTCACGGTTCTTCAACCAACTTTGTGGCTTTCTATTACATATTTAATCTTTTACCATCCTCTTAAACGATGGGTGAATTCGTTGCGATGTAGCTAGCCTTATACGAAGAGTTTATGAATGCTAAAACAAAGCCGTTCTTGTGAGCTACAAGCGTAGCATTTTCTCGAAAAACGTCCGAAATTAAGACATCTAGATGCTCGAAGAGAACTAGATACATCAGCGTAGAGCCTGTCATCAGTCCAACTAGCCGAATTTTACAACAACACAAACATAGGATTTGAACAGAAACATAATGATGCATCGATGATAACACAAGTAACAAGATGAAGACTATACTCGTTGTACAAGAAGTGGTTATCTTGCTTCGTGCCTAGTGGATTTAACTCAGTTTCGGGTTTTAGTGGGAACAACATCACCCAATGGAAGGCAGATGCATCCAGCTAACACATGAATTTGTGTAGTCGCAGCTGAGTTCTATGTGTATTTAACTTTGAGTATAAGTTGGTATGTAGCGCAACATGGCTTGGTTTTATGATTCTCGGCAGTCATCAGGAGTACAATTGTGGGGAGGCTAGTGTTCCTTGGATGATTGAACCTTCATCCCAAAATTCGGAAGTCCGAAACCCAGCACTTAAGCTACTAAGGTCAGAACTAATGTATTAGTCTTTGTTAGGTAACCGATATAGCTGTATTATTTTTCGTCTTTAGAAATAATTTGAGTTTATCGATCAAGTGTCTCCATTGGTTTATTCGTAAACTGCCAAGCACAGTGAACATATTTATGGATTACTTCAACCTCTGCGTTTGTCCACCGTTGGTTTTCTTTCAAGGTGGTTATTAACGCTTTAGTTGAAAGTAACTTGGTAACCCTAATGAACGTCCAGTTACTAACGTTATCAGAAGTCAATATCTTCAGTGATTAGATTACCATCCTTGTTTTACTCATAACTCCACCTGACCAGTAGGATAAAACCCTAAAAAGTACAGTTTGCCTTGTTTAGATACTAGAGAGCAACCAGTTTCATACTGTTTAATTCTAAGCGCTGGCCAAATTCTGTAAATCATTTTGGAGTATGATCACTAGGCTGGTTGACTCAATATTGCAATTTACTTTGATAGTATTTAGTTGTGTGAAGGCGATTGGCGGAGCTCTACTTAACCTGGGTTTTATGCTTTAACACTCGTCAGGAAGACGTAGCCGGAACCACGAAGTGACTGACTTCCTCTTGGGATTCCAACTGGCACCACCCAGTGTTGCAGTCAGTGACGTTGCAATTGAGCTATTTGGACCGCGGTTGAGTGAATTAGGTACACTGATCGGTCACTGGAAAGCAAATCATTTCATGTTGTCTAGCTCATAATGCTAACCAAATACTATCGATTATTTTGCGGTTTTCTGCGTTAATATTTTAGTTCATTACTTAGGTTACTTATCTTAACCTTTCGATTACTTTTTCTTATTTATTCATTTCTTTGTTATTCTCTCTACTATTCTATGGTCAGATATCATTTACCAGGCCACACACGTTTGGTTACTTGTTTAGTCAACTGGCAGTGAATAAGTCTAGCCTGTTGGGGTTACGTAACTCGGGTATCATTAACTTGATGATAGAACAAGCCTGGAAGTCTATTGAATATTTCGATTGTACAGGTCATGCTGAGTTGACAGGTAATTATTCTTTACCAAGAATATCTAATCCACCAATATGGTCAATTGATCCAATCGATAAAATAGCTTACAAGGTGAGTTAGATTTTGTTTGATACGCGTTTAATATATCTTCATTTGTCAATCTTTGTGTACACTTTTCATCCTTTACAACTTTACCAGCATTGACGGTTAAAGATGAGATATTTACCTGTTTCCTCTGAGGTGGTTTTGCGTACTTGTCTATGATTCAGCTATTCAAACAGGAAAAATCCAGCTGCTCTTTCTTTATATCAGCATCTTATAAGCAAGTTATATTTCCCCTCCTTATTACTTTCGCTCTGACTTAGCTTATGACTTCAATCACAACATAATTAATTAATTTCTTCGCCAGTTGTAATTACCAAATTAGTGTGAAAAAGGTGAGCGATTGGGTTCGCTAATTCCACTACTATGGCTACCACGTATTCTTGATTTCATTGTCTAATTAACTACAATGACATGTTTTCGTTCTGCAGAAGTCGTTCTTTTTATCTACTGTGGGTGTTGCAAAACAATACTAATCATATACTAAGTCCAAATATGGGATTTGATTCTACACTACTTAAGCTAGAACAATTGTTTAGTAACTAATTTTGATTTCCAATGCATTTTCACAGTACTCTGTAGGAATGTATGTAAATCGCTCCTTTAATCATTAAATTATCTGTTTGTCCCGCTTTTTGAATACATTATAGTTTGGCACCGGAGAAGTTAGTCACTTGTTATTCGCACTAGGTAAAAGTTTCCTTCGGTTGACGTTTCTAACGTCCTGAAAAAGTTGGTACATTAGTAATGGATAGTGGCTAGCAGCGGAATCCGGCACGCACGATGTACCTACCCCTCAGTGAGCGATGTTGTCCCCACCAGGACCCGAGCCAGAGACCGATCGCATGAAACGTCAAAGAGTAAGCCACTGGGCCACTCGTGGATAACACTCTAGCATTTGAAGCGATTAGTCCTGGGATTTTAGTCTGAGTGGAATCATTCACTGGGAAGCAGGTACATCTAGGTGACTAGTGAATCTCAAATAGGATGGAACCCAAATTCTTGGTTCCACTGAATGCCACAGTCCTTCAATTGTATAAAAAATGGCAATATCGAGGCATCTGTACTGTAGTCTATATGCCATTAGTGACTGACTAACTCTGTCCAGTCAGCGATGGAGATCCACAAGATATGACAGTAGAATTATAAATAACTAAGGATGTTATGTGATTCCCTTAATATGATTATTAGCAATAAATTTTGCTCTAAATTGTATCTAGTACATAGTACTATCTCGCTGTGCTATATAAAGAAGAGGCTAATCTGATATGGGATTGCATTCTAACATAGTATCCAAGTTCTCGGCTTACCCAGTTGTGATCCAGTTTTGGTCTGACACTTCTGATCTTGAAGTTATTGCTTAAGACCACTTCAAGACACCGATTAAAACTGAATAGTCTTTTGGCGTTTCAATTGGGTAAATAATTTTCAACTTTTGTATCAGCATAATCTATGAATGCACAAATATAATTTTTATCTTCAACAGCCGTTTATCAATCTGGTCAGAGTTACAACTTCATATGAATCCATTCGAAATCTAATGAATGGTACTCAGTTACTTACAAATAAGGAGAACTATAACACTTCAACTGATAAACCTACAAATTTACCTGTAAGTTAGTGGAAAAACCTTATACTATTTATTTTTTTTGCTGAATATTCTGTATTATCCTGTCTTGAGTTATTCATGTCTGTTTTGTGTGAATGGAATTCATATAGTTTCTGACTAAGTTGCATTATTGATACAGGGTGATGATTGAAGGTGAATTGAGAATCTGGACGAGGACTGCGTCTCACCAACTAAGCTGTGAGATTCGCCTACTAATCAGATTTTAATTCCCCTTCAGTCACTAAGTGGTTCACTCGACTTACATTAACTACAGGATACTATGAAGTAATCATGAGCTGTCAGTATTTTGTAGCTCCAAACATTCTTTAAATTGATAAGCATTATTCTTTTCCAGGAGTATTTGGTTTTAGATTAGTTATGGAATAGGAAAGCGCATTCTCTTCTCTGTAACCAAGTAATTATTTGTACTGACATTTGACAATATATTTTTCTTCAGGATTTCAGCTAAAAGTGCTACTTAAGCAGTTTACTGACTAAAAGCACTTATTCAATCAGTTATTGTTTTTAGATATGTTTGACTTGGTCTCCAATTTATTTAAATTCTGAAAAGATTATAAGGTCGGTCAAAATAATTTGTTTTCTAAGAATGTAGTCTTCCGTGTCATCTTTGACATTTTTTGAATCTGACGAGTGACATAACGTCTGGAGGCTATATGTGTATATAGCCCTTCGCTTAGTATTTTGAGGGAATGCATATATATATATATATATATATATAAAGTCAAAAAAGGTGTTAAATGATTTAGAGTTGGTTACATAACTGTGTCTTTCTTATTATTCCCTTAAAATGGCATTTCTATGTCTAGCTTTCGTGGTGACCATAAGTGAATTATGAATAGTGTTCTTGAAGGAGGTTCAGCAGGTATCTGTTTTTAGTAATGTCTGCAAGACCGTATAAATCAATGAACATAAGGGAAAACTATCGAAAAAGGAAAGTATCTACACCAAATGAAAGAAACAGTTATCAGAGTATTTCGACCGGTAGTTTAACTGGATTTCGATTTTGAAAAATCACACTGAGGTAGATATCAGAAAACGGTTTCAAACTTGGCAATTCAACTACCCTTAACAATATAAGTCTAAATCTCATTATAAAGGAAATATATATAAATGAATCTCAATAAGGTAGAAAAACAATGTAATGCAATTAATCTCTTTGATAAATGTAAACTCCATAATGCGAAGACGAAGATTATCTGAAACTTGTGGTGTTGTCTCGTTATACATTTTGAACAATTTAATCACACATAGACTTATTGAACTATTTGGATAAAAATGTACGTAAACGGTCACTTGAGTAGATAAGAAGGTAAATATTTTAAGTTTCGCGACCTCATGGAAGCTGCTTCTTCAAAGAATAAAACCTGTACAAGTTTATCACACGTGTAAACGGTAAAGGAAGACAAATCAGCTCAGCTCGTTCGTATATGATAATTATCAGTTATTATTCCAGGATGTAAGGTGAAGATGTAAATCTGTGTGCACATATAAGTTGGTGTGATGATATAAGAAAATGACTATGGACGAGAAATTCAGTTTATATATGTGTATATGTACTTTAGTAAAAACCAATGTAGATATGCTACATTCTAATAATTACTCTAGGAATATCCTTTATAAGATTAAAATCTATGAGGAGTAGAATCCAAGGGGAGAATCAAATAATGAATCATGGATTGCACCAAGGCACAAGTGAGCTACATAAGATTACAGCCTTCTATAAGACAACCAACGCTTTCAGGAATGCTCTAGTCCGCTTACAGGATAGAATTCCTTTTATCTTCACACAAGGTTGTGTCTGCAGATTAGCGTGCATCGTTTGTGATGCTTATTATATTCAGAAATTATCTCTCAAGATCCTCATTCGTGCTATACAGCATGCGAGTTACGCAAAACGACCCCCAAATAATCCTAGGGAGGAGAAAAGTTTACAAATCAAATCGTAAATTGTAGTTCAAAAAGGATTTTCAAACTAAAAGAAAAGATAAATAGTTGAGATATTTTACACTATGTTGATTCCGTATACACTCAACAGAAAGGATGGTCTAAATATCCAACCAAGTTGGGCAGTATATCCGAAGTAACACATTGCAATTAATAACCTTAATCACATATGCACACACATTCACACCTACAGTCTGAACTCACGGAATACTAACTGATAACGATGAAACTTATTGCCATACAAATAACGTATATGAACGACGTGGTCTGATTGGTCACCACTTATTATTTAAACATTCGATAGCTTGTACAGGTTTTGTTCTCCGGAGAAGCTAATTCCACGAAGTCACGAGACATTAGAAGTTTATTGTTGTATCTCATTAGGATTTTACAAGTATGTTTCCCTTATAATCTAGTTACTCAATGCTCAACTTATTCAACACTATTAAGTCAAAACTTGATCATGTAGTCTATTAATTGTCATTATACTTCAAGGTCGAGTAAATAAAGTCGTTTTAATTGAATCAGTAGTTGACGTATAGAAATTGGAAATAACTCTTTTAGAAGGATCCTGATTGTTCATACTTACAGTTAGCAATAAAGAACAGAAACTCCGTCGTTAGTATGGTTGACAGATAGACAACTAGACTCAATTCATTTTAAAGTTGTTTACAAACTGTATCAGTATCATACTGCTTTATCTGTTTTACTTTTCACAGAGGACATATGAAAACTACTGCATGATTACATCTGGCTTTTCACTGTGACTCATGTCTAGTATGGTTTCATGCCACTGGGTTGCATAACCTGTTATACACCACTAGGTGCTTACGCGAAACAACTACCCTGCGTCCTATGGCTCTCTTTCACAGACTGACCACCTCCAATTAATTTTCTGTCCATTCTTGTGACTGGGAAATAGTGAACGAAATGAAAACCATTGCGATCGCATTTCCTACACGTGTTCTAGCCACCAAAATCTGCTTTTTATGCTGACACCACTAAATGAATGGTGATCTCGCGACTAACGTACATCGATTTTGGTTCTTGTTTCTCAGTTATTGTGATTTGTTTTCTAATACTAAGTTTATTGACACCCAACTCCTTAGAATAATCAATGTGAGATGACCTACTAATACTTATTTTGGAACTGACTATCACTTTTCTTATGGGGAGAGTTCAGCTTCTTGGATGCAACTGAAATTCAACTTGTTTTCTTGGACATCGTATAGAGGTTAGTTGTTGCCAGTTCAAATGTGTTTAGTCATGGACAGAACCAACGTAAAACCCTTACATATGTGTGGATCACTTCAAGTTACTACACTTCACAGTAGTATACAAAGAACAAGGGGATAAAAAAGACATATCAGAGTAGACAAACGTGTGTGGCGGGAGAGAGCATTTGAAAATGAAGGTAAGTAGAAATATCGAAGAACTAGAGAACGTTAAAGAGTCAATAAATCCACTCCATTATGACCGATTTTCAATCGTTTCACCGGGAGTCCTCCACCATACCTCGGAGACCTAAACCAGGTAGTCCACACCTCTCAACACAGCTATATTGGACATCAGCTGATGTCCATATACAATGTGAGCTAAACACTCTCATCGTCACTTTATATATCATTTCTAAAACGAAGAACCTACCTGAATGTTGTAGCTCGTAAAAACACCCAAACCCGGCTGAAATTTGGCAACATACTCTTCTTCATTGCACTGGCCTTCGTTCTGTTTATTCATAAGGGCTTTTGTGAATAGGTAGTTGTTTGAAAACTAAAGGTTTGGTTTACTGTGTTTGTTAGGAAGAAGTGTATTCGAAATTTTTCTTGTTGTCTTCGCTTTATTCGGTTTGTTCGCTACTCCGTCACTTAGCCTGCAAACTTTACTGTTTGTCAGCCTGATAGTGATTTGTTTCATGGTAATGTCGTTGGTGTATATACTATAAATGGTTGGTAGCTATTTAAAAAGTAAGATGATAAGAAGTGTATCGTAATAAGTTGCGTTGCATTACGGTGCTCATAAAAAGCACAGGGCGTAAACTGCGATTTGTTTTCGCTTTCGCAATAATAAACGAGATAAATCAATCGATCATTTGGAGGATCTACGTACATATATGCTATTTAGGTGTTTTACACCTAGCATGTTTATGCTCACTTTAATATGTTATCCCTGATGAAGGAGGAATATACAATTTGCATGAGGTAGCACAACGTCCAGACCATTACATGGGAAACTCAGACTAGAACCAAAGCAATGGCATTCCACATTCTCAGTTGGTTAAATGTACACCTATTTGGAGACATGTTTACTTTCGGAGTTGTGTTGTAGGGACTTTGTTTTCTCAGCTAAATCATGCTTGAAATCTGAATAACATGTAATCATCGTGTTATTTCGTTGATGGTTATGAGCTGCATGCAACCTATGATAGTATACTTTAGTTCATTCGATGGAAATAAGTCACTAAGACAAAGTAATTAAATGGCATTCGAAAGTGAAGAAATTGTGTGAATTGAAACAAAATTTCGACGGTTATATTATTTTGTCACAAAAACATAGTTAAAGATGTGCCTACTAATGAGTCCAAAAAGGCTCAAAGCTCAAGTCGAGCAGTATCTCATCAATTTGCTTACTGGCCACATACAAAAGCTTGATCGACAGACTTAGATTAGTGAGGAAGAAGCGCTAAGGAACGGGCAGCCATCTTGATTTCGCACCGGTGACCAAATTCGTATACATACCTGAACGAAAGTTCATATGGAACAAACATTCACAGTGTTAGCAGATTAAAAATGGTGAGACTTAGAAAACGTTTCCGTAAGTCAATCACTACACAAGTTGGTAATTATTGGAAAGCAAAAATGCGATAGAATATGATTAAAAGGATTCAGTAGATGGAAGCTGAGTTTCAATTCGCATTAAAAATCCAAAGCAATGATGATTTAATTCACATATTCTCCGTTTATCAACTTGAACAGAAAAAAAACGACTGGAGCAGAGGAACAGTTCATACCATTTTATTTCGCCAATTGGTAGTTAGCTGATCCTAACCTAAGAATATTTAAATATCATGTCACTAAGGGAATATAACACACTTTCCCACAGTTTTATGAAGTTAGCTGACAGGGAATGACGTGGTTGAATAAAGAATACAGACATCTAGATATAGTTATCAAGATATGCTAAGAAGTTTTGCTTATATAAGATAAAAGAATTTGGGTAGTGACAAAAGATTGTGTAGGAAGATTAACAAGTCGACTGGTTAATGATAAACAACGCACAAACCGAGTACTTGTAAAATGATTTGAACTAAGCTGGTAGAACGATCATGGAAATTATGTACGAAAAACAGAAGGTTCGGTCAAACGATGATGTCATCAAATAAGAGGAAGAGTAAAATATTAGGTTGCTAGGGAAATAAAAAATTACCACTGCTAGTTTTCAGACACAATTTCGGTATCAGTCATTTCATCTCCACGGCCTCAGCGAACATGAGAAGGTTAGAATTACACTGATTGTTTATCACGTTGAAGGATTCATACCCTGCGCCGAAAAAGGTATCGAGTGACAGCACTACTGGAAGCACTTATACGTGAAACGTATGCTTTTTGGGGTACCCAAGGAATCTGAAGTATGCCTTTTCTCCTGTTCTGCTGGTGCAAATGCTACCGCAGATGCACGTAAATTTGTATATACACTAGAGGTAGCATATGAAAAGAGCCTGTCTACTTTGATTGTTTTTAGGAGCATGCTTTTGTGTAGAGATCAATCAGGTTGACTAGATTTCAATGTGACTTTCAGCTTTCTGTTAATTCTTCGAGATACATCGTCACCTTTCTATTTAAGTTCAATAAAAGCAGGCGTCTTGGTTATTGTAATTTGTTTTTATTTATTGTCCTCAGATACTCCATATTTATTCATAAACTTTTGTAGGTAGTCTTTGTCTCGCAGGGTCTTTCTAATACTCAGTAACTCTTTCAACTTATCACTTGAGCATATCTGTTGTACTTTTTTGAGAGTTTAAAAAGGTAGCTGGAAAGTGATGAAAGGATTTCCTTGGAATGCGTAAATATATATGTCATCAGAGCGAAGCTTCCCGCTGTTCCATCTTTAAGAAAGCAAGAACAAACTTTGAAGGAGAATAATAGAGGTCTGTTTATCAGTTCCATGGTTTTGGTGAGCTGCCTACAACCTAAAATATTCACAATAATAAATTACAGTGAATTCAATCTAGATCTGGCATCCACATAATGAAGTAGGGGAATTGTCCAGATTCAAATGAAGTCAAAATCCCATGTAATGGTATCATAAATATGTATCTTATTCGATCGAAAATTCTCGTATAGGTTTAGTGGACGAATGTTAAGCATCTACTTGGTGTGCTTGACCTACTGCAAAAAATACTCAACTTCTTTTTATCGAAAGATCTGTCGAACTTGTTCGAAATGTCTGCATCAAACTCTTCATGGTGTTTTCTCAATATAATAACTTCGGTACCTACATGTAAATTTGTATACAAAAATTGGAAGTAACTCAAACAATAAGCTTTAGACTATTTGTTGCATCAGTGAAAAAGATTAACTGAAGTGCACCTTAGTTCTACTATGGTTTGTATACAACTTGAATTTGTAAATTTGACTTTATTATTAGACTGTGATACTATAGAAAGTGGGCTATGACTTATTGGCCTAGGCAGACGACTTTCAACTAATAGGTCACCGGTTCGAACATCACTCTACCAGTCTAGGTTTGGGAAACCAGGGATATCATTAGCTCTCATACGATGTGTATAACTCACTGCTTGTTGAGTTTGTGCACAAAGTTGCTGAGTGCATTTCGAAGTTATAAAATGTTATTGCAGATTGTTGAGGGATATCAAAGATAAACACTTTGGTAGAAATGAGTTCAAGTAACCAATTTCAAATTACTGTTAGTGTGACGAAAGCGATAACTTATTTACCAATTGTCATTTCGTAAAACAAACAGTGTGAGCGAAGAAATATTTCTTTTCAATTAGTTCCTCATCAGTAGCTCTACACTAATATAGCATTTTCAAACGTAAAATTACATACCAATCTAGTGGTGAGAGTTGTTCAATGAAAGGTTATCAATCTCAAAGTACCAAAAAGGTGATAATTGATCAGGTAATTAAGGCAGTTAACTAAAGCAAAGATTAATTATCGTAGAAAGTTTTTGTGAACAGGTTCTTACATAATTGATATTTTGTATAGTGGTAACTAAAGAGCGAAGATGAACTGTTACGTAAAATGGTAAATTGTTGACGGTAATTAGAGACAGTAGGGGGAGAGAAAGATGGTTAAGTCTGTAATAATAATAATAATAATGACAATAATAATGATGATAATAATAATAATGGAGCTATTAAAATATTGTGTGGTGGATGAAATGAAGAGTCTTGTTGTAACAAATGAGCTATACAGATGGCCAAGGCAAAGAAAGAGGCTGTACGAATCTCTTGTGAACACACAGACTTGGCTTGTGTAGGTGGATTCCTATGGCTTCTGCTGTATGTAAAAGACGAACTCGTAGAGCATGGGTGAGGTGAGAAGGAATATGATAAATAACTTTAAAGGCATTATGAACGTTGATTCGGTGGCCGGTGTCAATCAGATGAGAGAGTATTGAGCTTCGCATCAATCTGGTTTTCCCCTTACTTGGCCATGAAGGATGATGCTCGGAGATTCGACGACGGACTTGCCTAACTGTACATCCAATGTAAGTGGCTCTACAGGAGCAGTTGAACTGGTAAATGCACATAGAAGAGGAGAAGTCAGGGAGTCTGTCTTTAGTTCCTGTGGTCATCATCGGCCGGCTGTTGTCATTTCATACATTCAGACAGCCAATCGACTCACAACGTACCTTCCTTCCTCAGTGCTATGATGACACACATACAGATGAAGAACATGATGGTAAAGAGAAAAGAAAATGAATAAGAAAGACACGATTAGCCTTTAGTTTACTGAAGGGCAGGATGGAGGAGTAACGCCTGAATATGTTTCCTCTGAATGCAAAGTTCAGATTTCATCAATTTCATCCCAATAGCCTCAGTTATATTGAGCAGATGTTGGTAAGCTATACATGGAACTGTTTTTGGAGTGCGATGTATGCCATTAAAGTTTTATTAGTATCTATGTGATGGCCTGTGTCTACTAGGTGCGCTAGGATGGGACTTTTCATCACTTTCATTTCACCTTTTTCTAAACCAAACCGGTAAATGTTTTCGTGTCCGGAGATTCACGTGCCTAAGTGTATGCCCTGCGTAACTTGTTATAAAGAAATTGTTACTACACTGTAATCGATTGTTTACTTCGTAAAGACAAACTTCGAAGGATACAATTAATCTTGCTGAGAACCATTTAAGATATATATTACTGAAGCTTTTAAAAACACTGTGAAAACATTATCGTGATTAGATTAGTCGTTTAGGTAAATACTAATTATCATTACCTCTGAAAACGTTTTCAATCTTTTCTTTTAATTATAAAATATTGTGCTTACACATTTTATTTTATATTTCATTTTAAGGAATTTATTGATCGTGTTGTTTTTGTAAATAGCGCACCTAAACTTCAGTCTCTTTTCAATCCTGAACAGTGTCAGTTGTTCGGTTTAAGGTCAGTTCTTAGGATTTATAATAATGTTTTGGTGATTACTTCCTTAGCAAGTTATTTTTTCTATTCTTTCATAAAGTTATTCACAGTTGAAACAGTATATAATTCAAAATATCTTACTGAACGACTTGAGTAGTTAGAAACCACTTAGCTGATCTGTAAACTTCATCAGGCAGATCACAGTGATCCATACACCAGATGGCCGTCCCGTTCGCATGAGGATGATGTGTACCGGGGCGAATTCAGATCATATAGATAATTACTTCAAATCACCTGAACCATAAGTAAACTAGTTATTTGTTTAGATCAAGTATTTTCGAAATTTGATTGTTAATGCTTGTCAGTTTCTTTCTTAGAGTAAATAACTTTATAACATGCTTTATTTAGCCCACTTATGTACCCTGAGATAGCTGTGCTTAGTGAGACTTCCACATACAACTACATAATCTCGAGTTCAATTAATTTTCAGCTAACTATTTGAACATAAGGCTTCAGTAGCACATCGCCATTTCACTCTCATCTCTGCAGTCTTTTGAACCTAGTTCCAACTCTGCCCACAAGCTTTCATTTCTTCCTCACATGATCTCCATGTCACGCTCACCTCGGACGTCCAACTCGTCGTTTCCCCTTTGGATTCCACTCGATGGCCTAATCTGGCTCGTGATGTCTCCAAATGGTCTTTTCAGTGTATGCCCAATCCATCTCCACTTTCTTCTGCATATTTGTTGGGTGATGAATTCTTGGTTGGTTCGTTCCCAGATTTCCATGTTTTCTCATTTTTATTACTCTGGCCACCTCATCTTCAGTATCGAGTGAGCGTAGGTGGCATCTGTTGATGAATGTCGGCGGTTTGTTGGAAGTGCTTTTCATAACGCATCAAGTCACACAACCATCACATAGAAGCACTAACTTGACGTTGGTGCTGAAAATCTAGATATTGTTCTTTATCTTTTGCAGTAGACCTCTCTACTGATTTCAGGTTAGTGAAGGCCTGTCTTGCTTTTTCGATCCTGGCTTTCAAGTCCTCATCTGTGCCGCTTGTAGTTGAAACGATGCTGCCTGGTCAGGTAGGAGAAAGAGACAACTTCCTTTAGGTAATACTAATTATCAACTTGATTAGTCAGTATTCACTCTGCCTTATATGTAGGTTTCGTCAACCAGATCAGAATGGTCTGAACACTATAGGGCCATTTCTGTCGCTTGGAGCTAAGTTCATCAGCACTGTACCGAGACAAATTCAGTTCATAGAGTCGAACTAGTTCACATCATTTAAATCTGGCTATCTGACTTCCATAGACCGGTATATCTACAGTAGGATAATCAATTTACAAATGATTTATAATGATTTATTTTCAGATCCATTGATCCCCATTAGTCACTAGCCGAATTTATTCATATTCAATTTTCAACTACTTTCTCGATTGACAGATTACTTTCATGCATCATATCTTGTTTGGACTCACTTCTATGGTTTGAAACATATCTCAACCTATCTGAGTATTTGTTAGGCTTTCAAAATGAAAACAGAATATTGGATTCCAATTTAAATGTCATATATGACCTATTGACAATTGAATGCAATTATTTATTAGTGAAGATATTCTTTATTGGCGGACCAAGTGAACGGAGATTACCACCAAGAGTACTGTGTCAGGTAAGTGATGAAAAAAAACTTTTCATGTTTTCCATTACGATTATTTGTTCATATTTTAAATGATTATTAAGTTTTAGACATGACTGATGTCTCAAATAAAGTTGCTTTAGAGCAGTCATCTCTTTCAGTGTATTTTTGTCGTATGGAACACTTTGTCGGCTGTTAAATCATTAGCTCAAATTCTGGATTGCAATTTGAATAGAACAAGTACAATAATGCTAGCAGGATAAAACGGATTCAGTTTATTTCGGTGGTATCCTGTCAGCTGCTTACAACCTTGAATGTCAAAATATTTAGTTTCACTGGAAATTAAGCATAATTAATTGAAAGAAAACAGAATATCAGTCAGTGGTGAAGGTGGACAGTTATAGAGTAAAAGTCAGTCATAACAGTAAATTCAAGAAAGGGTAATAAATGGTAATACATTGTCACGGTTGTATGCATAATTCGATGGAGGTTTCTGGAATAAAAATAGCGACACGGCCAGCAATTCAAATAGACTAACTTGACATTACAAGATTACGTAAAATATTGTGAGTTAATCTCAGTTAGCTTAAAGGATTCGATATAAGCAAAAGACGATGCAACTAGATAGGAACGTGAGAATAAACATCCAAATTTGGCAAAGAATGATACAACCAAGGAGGGTTATTTAGGTAGACAAAGGCTGACTATAGTTTCTTTGCAAATTAGTTTGTGGCTGTCGACGTTTGGTGTTTATTCATGTAACGTACTATTCTATGTAATGGATTAGTTTTACACTGAATAATTAAAATTTCGTTTTGATTATGTCGTTAAGTAGAGAAAAGTTTTAAAACTATCGTTCAAATTGATAACAATGCAACTAGACTTTTGAGGAACAGACTTTTTTTTTCTATTTTCCAGAATAAAAATTCATTTTGTCTAAAACTTAGTAGACATTATTCCTAAAGAGGAATATGCCAATATGTTTGTCGATTACAGTTTAAAGATTCGTCGTTCTTAATTTGATTTCATGTGATTATATATCTTCTATTAGTAAAATCAAAACTGTACTATTAATGCTATCTGTCTTAAAGAAAAAAATGCTTGAACCTTCACTGACTGAGGCTAAGAGAAGGAAGGCGAAGAGAAACGTTTCAATCAAATTAGAGTAGAAATTTGACGAAAAAAGACTTTCAACTCGATTCCTGATTTATAATTGGATATAAAACTGTTAAGGCTTTTTTCTTGATTTTTTGCCTCTGATCAATGCAAAGCATCTATAATCATTTTTTGAATCATGTTGTTTACCTAGAATCTCTCTGTTTATCTATGATGAATAGTGCAATGTATTTTGACAACTTTTTTCTTATAAAACTGACTATCTGACATAACCGTCGTTTAGGATGCTTGTATTATTGATAATGGTGAAGGTGAAATGAAAATCTGTCCGTGGTAGGATTCGAACAGGTGAGCTCTAAGGTATCGGCCCGGTGCTCTACCAGTAGAGTTACAAGACCCAGCTACTGGGCAGATCTTAATATCACTTCAACAACCATGGGTTTTTCCAGACTGCCATACGATTTCTTGATGTATTGTCGTCCATTCATTGCATTGACACTGGCTGCCTATCTAGGACTTCTCATGTCAATCCAAATACCGGTGAATTAGAGAGAGACAGTAGCTCTTTATCTTAGTTTTGGATATTTCTGGGAAATCAACTTGAATTCATTAACCTAGGCGTTGTTGTTCTTGGTTATCGTCATCGACTACTTTCTATAACTGCAAGAACCAATTTCTTTAAGAAATCATATTTTGAATCACTCAGTTCCAAAGTCAGAGACTATCTATTTGTTTAAAGAATTTCAATCTGGAGTAAAATATAGTCTTAGATGTGCATAGTAGTCTTATTAAAAACTACTGTTTGAGACAATGAAGGTTTTATTCCTGATCTCTATATTTAGTTGTTGACACATTCACTGTCGTTTTTACCCATGTTATCTTTTACACATGTGTTCGCTATACATGTATAATTGTATCAGAGGATACCTGGGCTTACTGTGGCACTTATCAACTATTGGCTTGATGAATATTTTTTTTTCAGACTACATATGTCATTCCTAGCGTCTTTGTAATGGTATAAGTTATCATTAAAACGGCCATTATTTGTTCGCTTTTTAGACATTTTGGGGTTATGTGTTTCATTTTAAAAACGTTTTGTTTATCTACTTTTCGCCTTCATAATTTGCTTTTTGTTTTATAGCACACCAATAAGATGTATCCATACACTATTCTTCGAAGTAAACCAGATTGTAATGATGACTTCTTCAACGGTACTTATTACTATCCATTTGAAAGAGCTACTGAAATGAACGATAAGAGCTGTCAACGATATCCATGCGTTCATTGGTACAATCAATTGCCTTCTTCATCGATTAGATCTATTTGTCTTACTGACTTGTTACCATTGGATATAATTAATTATTCAGTCGCATCGATTGAAGAAGCAGAGAAATGGATTGATCAGTGTCGAACTGTCTTTATGAATTCTAAAACTATCAGTGTATGTCGAAATGAATTAGGCATAAAAGAAAAATGCAAATGTAAGTGATATCCTCTCACAAAACTGCTTTAATACAACTGTAAGTAATAGGAAATAGTCACTGCATCACATTTTGCATTTATTTCACTAAACGTTTATGCCTTTCAGTTTATGTATATTAAATCTTAACTTGTAAGGGTAAAAAGCTTTGTGCAACGAACTTCTAGTTGAGTTTGATAACAATTAACAACGAAGATAAACTCAAAATGGTGGAGGATATTTGTAGCTCAGGTGGATGGTGTCAGTTGTATTGTGTTCATGACTAAATAGCCCAGCTTAGAGAACTCAATGAAACCAAGAAGATAAACTCAGTTTTGTTATGAAGTGGAAATGAGAAAGTTGATATAAAGTCTAAATTAAAATCTGTAGCATAAAACAATTCCGTAAAACACGACAACTTTTCAAATATATATTAGTTTTTGGTGGCAATCGACATGCAAATATGTTTCGTGTTTCTTGGTGCTTGTCAGCAAGGTGTATCTGCAACCTCGAAGGAACTGATTCCCTGTCTGACATACGAACCTACGTCTCCCAACGCAATTGGGATTGAGGTTGACTTCCTGTAAGTCTTGATTAGATATGCTGATTGGTCACCAGAGAGCTCCCCAATTTCATGTTGTCAACTCCTGAGTGCTGCTCGAATCCAAACGATCATTTTGCAAAGTGACCACTAAGCTAGGAGGCTCATCATCGTGGTGCACTTTCTATGGGTTTTGGTTGATGGGAAGCAATTAGCAGGAAGTCCAACTTGACTTAAGTTTCATGTTTGTTGGCATTTTTCAGCAAGGCGCACTTGCACCGCAGATTCAAATCTCAGATAGGACATCAGTTTCCCCGAGATTACAGATGTGCCTTGTTGATGAGAATCGACCAGCGCAAAAGCTGAGTTTATTATAACCATTCTCTGAAAATCAGCTTGAAAATAACTAAATGGATTTTTGATAAAAATCATCAAATGAAAGTTTGTCAAGTGCATAGTACGCTTCAATAAAGCAAATATTTTCGATAAAATACATTCAGCAGCCACGTACGGCAGACAATCTGTCACAATTTATGTTGGGCATTAAAATACTACCTCGGTTGACTAGAGTTCGGGTGAACTTGTGACCTATCAGTTAAGTGGAAAAGCCAATGAATCGAACCGAAATCTACTCAGCAGCCTTGTACATATTCGTACGGTAAGCAATGAGGCACACCCATTCTGTGTAGGGGATCACACTATCCGGCTGCCAACACCTCAGTAGGTGGAGCGGTGCTTGAACTCAAGACCCACTAATTGAAATTTAACTTCCTAAAAGAGGAACCACAGCTTTAACAGACGATTTTGAGTAAGAAACTGGTAATTAATCGTACTGTGTATTCTGATAGCCCTGTTTTGGATGCTAGCTGGAGTCGATCCTTGCACACTGATGATTTGTAGTTTTTGCTTCACTAAGATGCTAAAAGATATCGCTGACTTTATAAGAAAACATCCTTATCAGTGATGTGTAACCTAATGTTTGTTCTATTTTCATGCATAATCTCTATTCATCACTAAGGTCACTTTCTCAGACCTTTTTCATATCCTCATCATTACCAACAATCTTTTCCGTGATTTATTTTTGTCTTTATATGACAGGTGTAGGCGATTTTCTCAATCAGTGTTTACTGGCAATGAGCTATTTACAGGAGTCAAATACAAAACTTCAGCCATTACCAGAAGGTGAATCGGTCCTTTCTAGTTGATGCTTTTTTTTCTCTATGTGATCAATTTAGTGAACCGAATATATCTGCTCTATCGGATATGAATTACTTCAGCAGATGTCCTGCAGGTACATCCAGCTGAAGAGTCCCAAATGGGGCGAAACGCGCGTCCTGGATTCCTCTGCTAGCCACAACCAACCAAATTATGTTAGAGGTATTTCTAAGGTTTTAGACAGTTATCGATTCAACAAAAACAAATATTTCGTCGGGGACTGACATCAGTTAGAGAATCACTGAAAACCTAGGACCACTGGATAGTTACTTAATCATAATGTGGGACCTCCACTGCAGTGGGTACCCATGACTCAACCCAGGACCTTTAGGTTTCGCAACGTGCACTTTACCATTACTTTCATCCAATACCGTCGTTTAGTATTTGTTTTCACATCCAAATTGGTTTACCTCACCGGTCACGAATCCCAGCTGGGACCTCAGGAAATCTCATCTGTAAGCCATTCACTAATGAGGAATGGACAGTAATCGACAAATCCCCATAGTCCTCTAAATTGGAAAACAAAGTAGTTGACGAAATATACTCGTATATTGCCGTTTGGTAGTTCCAGGTTGGTATTTGTCATGGACTAACACAATTGAGAGAAACACTGGAAACCTAGGAACACTGAAGTGCTGTTTCGTTCCATTATGGGAATCCTCAGCACTACACACCCATGCTACCGTAAGGGAACGACCAGAACTAACAAAAGTAGGAAATATAGATCACTGTTGTTCAACTTAGTGACCCGATGGTGACGTGCTAGCCACGGAACCTGAAAGTTCTAGGCTCGGCTTCTGGTGGTGTGGGGCCATGGGTGCACACTGCTGAGTCCCACACTAGGACGAAACAGCTACCAGTGCTCCCAGGTTTCTAATGTTTCTCCAACTGATGTCAGTCCATGATGAATACTAACTTGAATAAATAAATGAATCTTGGCAAACCTCAAAGTTGTTTCGTAATTCGTTATGAAGTGAAAGAGTTGTGGTTAATTTTCTAAACCAATCTATCAACTGGCACTCATAGTCTTCAAACAACAAGTGTCGTAAATGGCATAATAAAAGTAAACAATGCTCAGTGTGAATGACAAGTTTTATTGCATTTTGAAGTTATTTTGGGCCTAAAGTCTCATTTTATATACACTGCTATTAGTGTTTTATTCAATGTAACCTTACATATCCACTCATTAAAATCTTATTTACAATTCTGTTCAGTTTGAAGTTGTTCTAAGTTTATTCAGTTAGTGCGCTACATTTTACGATTCGATCATCGTTCTAGATAGTTTTTGTTCTAAACTGATCTGATATAGGCTGCAGTACTCCATTAAACTATTTAGCGCTGGAAAACTTGATACATCTAACCAGTATCTCTTATGGTTCAAAGTAAGATGAAGCTAAGAAAAAAACCATTTCCTAACAGTGGATATATTTCTATTCAGCCGTTAAGCTAAAATTCCGTCGTCTAAATTGTCTGATTTTCATAAATTTGGATTGTCACAGCTCATCATCTTGAACCAGTGGCAGGCATCTGTCCTCGTTTAAGACTTGGTTGGTCCCATGCGAGATAGCTTCGTAGCAGAACGTTAGAAGTTAGTCTTGAAATGAGTCACTATGATATTGATTCCTTGGGTGTTTAGTAAAAATTTCAAGAGTGCTTCACAGTTTTGATGGTCATATTCTGTAACAAGGGTGAATTATTATACTTGCGTTTCTCAATTCATCCTTTGTCTGCAGTTAGCTTTTATCTCTGTGTCAGTCCTTTAGTCTGGAAATGATCGTTTTAGATAAGGATCAAGTTCATCTGTACAGAGCAAACGTATTTAGTAATGATAATAATATATTCACTTTGTTCGGAACCATAATTATGTTTACAGTACACAATTCTCAGTATATGATATTGTATCAGTTTATATTAACACTGCTGTTGATAAACAATATGTAATGAAGAATAACAGGATTGTTGAAAGGTCTAATGACCTCAGGGTCACGATAACTGTTCGCTATTGCAAAGTTGGTTGATAAGACTATTTCTTACATAATTTCCTTCACGCAAAACACAAGATAAATAGGGTATGGTTGAAATTCTGTATAGAATTGTGCATGGATAAATATTTTTAGCCAGTAGTCTGAAAGAGTTCGCATGCCTATTCACGACCATATTCATCAGTACAGTTAGTGGTGCACCACTTGCTTTACTAACAGCCTTCAAAATCCTATGCAGTACAGCACAGTTTTTTTTCTGGAGTCCAGGAAAGAATAAGTGGGAACCAAAAGTTAGTATATGCAAAACACAGGAATCAATGAGACTGAAGATTAGAGGCTGAATTATGTCAGACAGTCGGAGTTTCCCTTTATAAAAGGTAAGGCTAAGGATTTTTCTAGAAATCAGTAAGATATGAGGGGATCAAGAAAAATCGGAAAGCTGTTTAAAAGACAATATATTGTAAGTAGTCATTACATGAGAATTATTCTGATACATATCATTTTAATAAATATATAATTCATTTAGAAGTAGTATTCATCATGGACTGACATCAGTTGGGGAACCATTGAAAATCTGGGAGCACTGCTGAGGAGTCCCATACTAGGACGAAACAGCTATCCAGTGCTCCCATATTTTCAATGGTTCCCCAACTGATGTCAGTCCATGATGAATACTACTTCTAAATTAAAAATCTCCATTCATCTCAAAAATGCACTACTCTATAGTGCTCATTAGTGGCTTGCTTCCAGATGGATGTTAGGAATGGATGAGAAGCCATGACCTGTGGGGTCAACCAGTCGGAAGTGAAGTGGATGCTGACTGAAGACCTTGAGTGACAGTCGTGCTATGTCGTGAATCGACAGAGTTGGAAATTGTGAACCACCGGAAACCGACCCAGTGGCTGAGTGGTTGACGCGTTCGCCGTGAAACCTGTAGGTCCTGAGTTCGACCCCTAGCCGGGTCGTGGGTGCGTACTGCTGAGGAGTCCATACTAGGACGAAACAGCTGTCCAGTGCTCCCAGATTTCAATGGTTCCCCAACTGATGTCAGTCCATGATGAATACTACTTCTAAATTAAAAATCCCCATTCATCTCAAATATATATAATTCATTATCTTGGTGAACACTTATTTTGTAGTTAACAAAGATGCAATCAAGAAATTTACACTCTCAAAAATGGATGAAATTGCAATAGACTGGACTATACGGTAGGTAATTTCTAGTTTTTTGTCGTCCTTTTCTTCTATAGTGATATTTACTTTTTTGTTAACTGTGATAGGATTGACCAACGAAAATGTGACAGTTATCTAAGAAATTTCTACAATTCTACTGAGCTTTTTAGTTAAGTGTAGACAGTCAAATCAGAATGCTTGAGAAACAATAGGAATAGACGGTTAGGACTTAGGTGGCTTGACTTTAAAGTCATTGACTGTGACAAAATATGTACACATTTTACATCCATCTAAACCTTTAAAAGTTTGTTTTCACGTATCTGAAGGTAGATAATAAGTTAATGATATCGTATGATGTTTAATCTCTTTTTAATAGCTTTCCTCTTGTGGAGAGAGTAGACTTTATTTGCAATGAATTTACCAAACACAGCATGGAAATAAGTATTCCACTCTCCATAGGAAAGAACTACTTCTGAAGTGTGCAATCAACGCACAATTCTTTTTCAAGAATAAACTCAGAGGCTGTCTGATGGTGTAGCTATGGAGTCACTCCATGGTCCATTCCTAGCAGATTTTTTTTCTGACAAATCTAGAGAATAGTCTGCTGAATGAAACCATTAACCGGTAAAGATTATATTGTCGTTACAAGGATGATATCTCTATAGTTTCCAAAAGTGAGACTGATAAGAATACTGTTCTCAATAAGTTCATTAATGTTCATCGGCGTTCAACTTCAAAGTGGAAGAGAGAAAAAAATGACAGTATCCCATTACTGATCTGCTAGTAAGAAGGATAGATGGAATTGTGAAACGAAATGTGTATAGAAAACAAACATTGACAGGTCAGTACACGTACTTCTTCAGTGCCGTACTTCTCCAATACATAAGAACCTGGTGAAATGCCTAGCATACCGCGCTACAGCTATTTGCTCGAATGGTGCTATGGAGGAAGAGTTTGCCACCATTTATGACCTGCTTAGTAGGAATGGCTATCCAGCCAAGATTGCAACTAAGCATATGAATGCTACGAGGGTTAAGACAAGAGTGTCAACAGTTCCTACGTAGCAAATCTTCTTGAAGCTGAAGTTTAAGAGTGACATTGCCAATGAGATCATCACACAACACATAAAAAGGGCCTTGAAAAGAGCATTTCTACCCATTAAATTATGCCCCATTGTCTACAGCCATGTGATTCTGGGTGCAAGAAATAAAAACATACTGCCCGATTCTGCCACTTTCATGTGCATTTATCAATTCACCTACTCCTGCGGAGCTAGTTACGTTGGGCGTACAAAAGTCAGGTCCATCGTCGAATTTCTGTGCACCACTCTACGTAGTTGAGCAAGGGACAAATTAAAATAATACAGAGCTCCATACTTGAACATATAGTTGACACGGGACATCAAGTAGATACTAGGAAAGCTTTAGATATCATTCATCATATTCCAGTGAATTTGCCACATGAATTATGCACTCGCTTACTTCACATATAGAGGCGATTGCAATCCACCTCTACAAACCTAACGTTCGTATTCAAAAGAAGTTTGTTCGACTAATTTCATTACCGTGGCCATCAACATGATGTAGCTCCTAGATTACTTTGTACACCTTTTTCCCCTTCTTGTTTCTATCAATATTCATTCGTTTTCTTGCTACTGCGTAATTATTTATTGTTTATAACTGGACATATCAAAAATCACTCCATTTACCTAAGAATAACCTGCTTTATATTACGAATTTTAATTACTCTGTTCCATCTTGATTTCTAAAACTTATCATCTTCACGACCTGCTTAAAGTCCCAATTATTGTTCACCAACCCCTTACCACTAGATTGCTACTTTGATTGAATTGTAAAACTGGATATAAGTGTGGAGCTTAAGACGAAGACCTGACTGAAAAGGAATATATTTCTTTGCTCTATCAGTCTTTTTCTAAATATCTTAATTTTCTTCTGTTATTGCTTGTATTGCACCGTCGTTGATTGGACCGATTGAACAAGCCTCAAATAGGATGAAGTGCACATCCTCGATTTCACTGCTAGACACTACCGATCATTACTATCTTAATTTTCTGTTAATTTATCATCTTTTTTCTTCTTCAAAGGTTTCTTACGACTGCTCATATTATTTTAATTGTTTTATGCTTCCTGTACTTCGAGACTGGGTTCGATATGGCTTGAAATCTTCCCCATAAGTGTGCAAACACATGGGCTTACTTTCATCTTAGAAGTTTTGAATGATTTTATGAACTCTCATGTATTTATCCTCTTAACACGAATACATTTGAATCTGCTTTAATATGACTTTTTATCTCCTCGTTCTTTGTATACTGTTGTGATGTGTGGCAACTTAAACTGATACATTTCTATGTCAGACTCTAAATTGAATTTTTGGTCTCTCTGTTAATCTCATTGGTCTTCACCTTCTGGTTTTGTGTGAAGTGTAGAAGCTATACTAATAGACCAGAAAAATAAAAGTAGGAATCTTAAACAAGTGCCATCGGTTGTATCATTTCGTTTATTCTGAAAAGCATTTTGTCTCAGGTTTATTTTATAATATTGTCGTATAGCCGAGTTCACGAGCTATCCGTTCGCTGGTCATCTAGATATCCATGACACAGACCCCGGACATGCATAGACAGTGAACTATAAATCTTCGTCTCTGTATGCATAGTGGGAAGGGAAATAAGACTAATAGTTGAAGAGTTGCAAATAACTCATCTAGCGTTCAGTTGTGATGGCCAATCATAAGCGTATGTGGAGTCCAAATTAAGGCAATGCATCTGAACAATCAGGCGTACAGTGAGTCAGAATCACTTAGGAGTATCACAGTTCTGTGTGACGCAGTCATCAGGTCATGCAGCTGATATCAGGGTATATTAGCTTATTTTCGTTAAAAAAGTTCGTCAACGGGAAATTTGTCTCGCTTTTAACTGTGATCCAATTTATCTGTCGTTATATCAGCAATTAGAGGCAGTTTCGCCAGGTCCAGCAGTTTCCTTTTCTTTCTGTATTTTACCAGTTAGTCTAGGGTCTCATACCAACTTTTCAAGGAACACATTTTCATGCTTTTATCAGATAGTACGGTGTAGAGTAACTAGTCTTGCTTCTAGATTATGTTTCGCTGATGTGGGTAAAGGTAGAGGGAATTAGTGATCATACATGAATTTTATTTCATTGAAGTTGATGTGTTTTTACGGAAGTTCACTTAATTGGTTGCTGGTAAGTAACCGATTTCATACTGTTATATTCTTATTGTTGTCTGAATTCTGCCGAATATTTTGCTATGTGACCATCAAGCTGGAAGACTTACCATTGGGGTGCACTTTGATTGAAGGCAATGGCCAGGAAGCCCTGTGCCACCCAGATTTCATACCTGCTGGCACTCATCGGCGAGACTTATCTTCGACCTCAATCGAATTATGTCTCCTGAGAAAGTGGAAGCAGTATCAGAGGATGTTTCAGTCAGTGACGTTGTCACTCAGCTATTCTAGCTGCGATTGACATGTAGGACTGCACCACATACATATTCTAGCATTCATTCATTTGATTGTGTTAATTGCCTGCCAGAAGATTAATTTCGATAATTATGCCAAACAAAAATCTTGAAGATTCAAGGTACAGTTTTCTGTTGTTATTTTAGCTTTGTGACGTATCTACGACAGTGCCGGTTTTAGTTCAGCTATCAGTGTATTGTTCTGTTAAATGCAAGCCTCAAATTAAAAAGTCAAATTAGCATTTGTTTCATGTATACAAGTTACTAACACGGCTGCACAGAATTTCTTTTCGGGCTCAGATCTTCACTGCTGCCCCCACTGATGACAACGTAGAATCTAGCGAACAAATTAAGTCAAAAGGCTTTTATATCTCAGTGGCCTTATGGATAACTTGTTTCCAGAAATACCATCTGCAGCCACAGAACTACCAGTGAACACAAGCCCTTCGACAAAAACGAAGTCCTGAACGCCATGAAGCTACTGAAATGAGAGAAAGCAGCAGGACCAGGTGGAATCCCACCGGAAGCACTGAAGACAGACGCAGAGACAACAGCGGACATGCTCACACCTCTATTGCAGGAGGTTTGGAAGGAAGGAAGGGAAGGTGCCTGGCGATTGTAAGAAGAGCTACCTGAAGAAGGGCGACCTAAGTCTTTGCAAGAACTAGCGCTGAATCACGCTCCTGTCCACCACAAGCAAAATATTAAGCCGCATCTTCCTGGATAAGCTAAAGGATACGCTGGATTCAAAACTACGACCGGAACAGGCTGGCTGGATTCAGGTAGTACAAATCATGTGTGGACCAAATTGCAACGCTAGGCATCATCAAAGAACAGAGTACAGAATGGCAGCCAACTCTACACCTCAACTTCATTGACTTTGAGAAGGCCTTTGACAGCGTCGATTGAGAAGTAATTTGACAGGCAGTTGCTTCAACAAAACGGTTTCAGTGCCACAAACCTTTATCAATCTCATTCAACAACTATATGGAGACGCCGCATGCCAAGTACTTCACAATGGGAAGCTCAGTGATACTTTTGAAATGAAGACAGGAGTGAGACAAGGCTGTCTACTATCACCGATGATATTCCTGATTGTGTGGACTGGATCATGCAACAAACAGTGATAGGCGAGAGGAGGAGGATACGCTGGACTTCGGAAAAGAACCTAGAAGATTTGGATTTCGCCGATGACTTGTGTCTAATGTCGCACAAACTCAAACATCTACAGTTGAAAACTGACAAGTTGACAGAAGAGGCAGCGAAGACGGGACTTCAAGTGAACGTAGGGAAGACAGAGGTGATTAAGATACCCAACCAAAAACACCAACAACAATAACAAGCACCAATCACCATGAAGGGGAGAAACTTAAAGGAAGTAGCCTCTTTCACCTATCTAAGCAGCATCGTTTCAACTACAGGCAGAGGCACAGACGAGGACGTTAAAGCCAGGATCAGAAAGACAGCAAGACAGGCTTTCATTAACCTGAAACCAATGTGGAGATCTACTGCACTCAGCATATGGAACAAGATGCGGATTTTCAACACCAACGTCAAGTCAGTGCTTCTATACGATGGAGAGACTTGGCGCGTTACAAAAGCGTTTTCAACAAAATACAGACATGCGTCAACAGCTGCTCCATACTCTATCTCTATACGGAAGCTCAGATGGCTAGAATAATGAAAATAAGCAACAAGAAACTCGGATCGGGCAACGAACCAACGAAGCAAGCACTTATCGCTCAACAAATATGCACTCGAAGGAAGTGGAGATAGATTAGGCATGCACTCAAAAGGCCATTCAGGGACATCACGCGTCAGGCCCTCGAGTGGAACTCAGATGGGAAACAACGAGTTTGGCGTCTGGGGCGAATGTGACATGGAGGAGATCGTCTGAGGAAGAGATGAGAGGTTGTGTGCAGTCATGGAGCCAGGTTGAAAAGATTACAGAGAAGAGAGTGTACTGGAGACGTGCTACTGAAGCCCTATGTTCCACTAGGAATCCAAAGGACAAATAAAATAATAACAATAATAATTTAAAGCGGTGGGCACTGGGTCCATTTGTCAAAGGGAACACCATCTATTACTAGGTTGCAGGTACATACAGTGAACGAGTCCTAAATAGGACAAACACTGCATCCTAGATTCCACTGTTAGCCTCCAGGCAAACTGATTCAAAAGACCGGAGATTTTCTTAAATAAGTACTATACGCTGATGTGTAATCGGTCCTCTATACTATAGACTTGATACTTATATTGCTCAACATTCTACTACCAAATCGTATACCTAATTCAGTCTTACAAGAGGGACACTTATGGTATGATCAACTTTAATATCAAACCTCTGATTTTGGTATTACACGGTAAAGGTTCTCTAAATTAGCATGTTTCTCAAAGTTTACAAATACTTGTACCTGTGTATTCTTACCGTATTATTGGTGTTTTAGAAGCAGATGGAAACTGAAAATATTTTGCGCTACTACTTTGGCTTACAATTTACGTCACCTGGTATTTTTTGTCACTGATTTACAACAAGATTTCTTTCACCCTAACTTTCATGTTTGCACATATATGTATAACCAATCATGGCTGTGTGAGTCAGCGGTAGCAAGGATATGGGTTCTGCGATGAAATAATAATGGCAATGTAAGTAATGACCATAAGAAAATTGAAAACGATATCAAGAACAATATTAAAGAACATTAAGGTTGCGTAAAACTAAAGCACAAAGTTCGTGGACAAACAAAGTCTGATTTTGAATATCATAGTGAATGAAATTTTTGAAAAGTATATAATAGAAAAGTGGGATTTTAAAACCGATAGTAGTAAGGTTTTTCATGAAGTCCTCCTAGGGCCAAGTTAAAGACGTAGGCCATTTAGAATTGTTTCCATGACTTTATAATGCATCAGTGGGTTTTAATCTCATAAGAAAAGTTTGATGGAATGTTTTGCTTTTTTCTATTCTCTGGCCACTGTCTACAAGACTAGATACAATAGGACTTTTGAACAGTTTCACCTGTTATTTTCCTAGCCACGGAAGATGTTAGTAATGCACTAACTAAGTTGCCTGATGTCACACTCGATATAAATATCTTCACGAAGCGATGAAGTTGGTAAAAATACATATGGAAGTGGCAAAACGTGGCGACATGTCTTTCGTTTGACTCAATCCATCGACTAGAAATTGATAACTGAAAGTTAGCTGTGTAAAGTGCTACTTTAGTAGTCTCTACAAGTATCCCGAATGGAACCTGACTTGGCGTATCCTTGTTATATTATAAACTTACCACAGATATCCCCAGCATCAGGTTTTCTACAGACAATGTTAAAAGATAATGAAAGTACCCTGAATGTATCACAACTCCTTTGATGAGTCACTGAATCATTACCAGTATTGAATCTGACATAAATGAATAACGATTAAAGTTGTCATGCATCAAAGTACAAGTCAACAAGACCGAAGAAGAGGGAACAAAGCCAATAATGTCAATGTATAACCATTTTGTTAAAGGTTTCCAACATTGATTTTGATTGTAAAGAGGACTACAATGCAGGAGTCGACATCTCCTTTCCAGTATTAGATCAACTGGACTTGTTATACGTGTCACTCACAATACACAATACAACATGACTACATGGAGCGTTTGAGGTTGTCATCGATAAGTCGAGTCATAATTTTGCAATATTAAACAAGGCCATTGGGACTAGAGAGAAAGGTTATTATGTTCAAACACTACTTGCTTTACTCATGATGTTCTGTGAGTTTTAGTATACTATTGATAATTTAAAAAGTAGTGTTAAACATCTGTGTATAAATAAACTTCTCAGTTCATTGAAAAAAGGTTTTCTAATCAATAATTCTGTTTCCTGATATACAATTCATTGCTGAAGAGACATGGTGATGCAGAAACAGTTGGTTTCGACGCGCAGTTATTATCTAGCTGTTCACATCTCATCTCAGTAAAGACTAACCAGTGACCTAAATAAATCAAAATTAATTCTTTTGATTGTCGCAGACCCAAATCTGTAAGCGAATTAGTGTTTTACCTCGAGGACTCCATGGGATGCACCTGCTAGAACTCCTACAAGATGGTCAAATTTACATGTAAGGCTTCGTTTCAGTTGAATTCAGTTTCTCAACCGCCAGCATTCTAAGCAGTCATTTGTTCATCATGAAGATTAAATATGAAGAGAATTTCATTAAAAAACAAAAATCTATGCGAAAGATAAACTAAAGTATGACTTTAGGAGAATTTTTACTTTGTTTACTCCAACCACAATCTGTATATACAGAAATTACAATTTTACCTGTAGTCATACAAATAAATAAAGCTATAGTTTTGATGTTACAGCCTGTGCACCTCCGTCACCGATTAGACGGAATCGACCAGCCCCTAGTTGCCAATAGGCTCCTATGAGTATACTCTGATACTACAGGTATTTCCACTTCCGATATTATTGGTGGATAGTGGTTAGCAATCGAATCTGGGATGCGCGTTTTGTCCTATTTAGGACTCACTAGTCAAGTGGATATACCTGTATCCCAGTGAGTAATGTTAATTCTACTAAGACTCGAAATCAGAACCATCGCTTCAAACGCCAGATAGTTATCCATCAGACCGCTGATTCATGATAGGGCTCCTTGTACTACAAGTGTAGTGTAGTTTTGATGTCATAGCTTGTAAATCTCTATCGTTTATGGGACCGAATTACTCAGTCACTGTTAGCATATGGTCTTCTGTGCGCATGGCTTGATATTGCTGGTATTTTCAATTTTGATAATAATGAAAGATATTGGCTTCAGTGGTTAGAATAAAGGGAAAGGAAGTCAAGTTGAAGTCATTTTGCTCAGAATGCGCTACCAGTGTTGTTTAAGTCTAACCGCAGATTCTTCTGAGTAGATAGAATAAATTTTTACCTTTCAGTTGCTGTAGTCTATGTCAATCAAAGTGAAACAGAACTGTAATACTAATGAACCATTCAAAATTTAGCTTCTGAAGTTCCACGAATTATGCGCTATCGAAAGCTAGGTGGTATTTGATTGCTCTGTCTTCAGATATTTAAGACTTCAACTGAATAGTAATGTGTTCATCGCGAGATAGGACAGTCCTCGAATGAATACAAAGTTGAGTGACATTCATCATTTTCGTGCATACTTGTGTAGTAGACAATATGCTGCACTTTTTTTATGAGGGCTAGTAAGACTTCCTGGTTGCCCAAAACTTGGTGAGTGTAGCTAACTCACTGGTTGAACATCAGCTCCCTAATCCAATAAGCCACAGCTTTGTAGTAGTCCTTGTTATGTTCGTTGTTTAGTTCTCCTATATACTGGAACGAAATAGCTGTGCAGTACCCTTAGGTTTCCAGCGGTCATCCATTTAGTGTCAGCTGGTGATCAATAATAACTGGAAACCCACCAGTCTCTAGAAATCACCAATTCAATAGCTTCCATTTTGACTCAGTAGCTGGGGACAAAGATTATCTCATTTAAAAACTGCACGTTTCTTGACTGTCAGGTGGATAATTTTTAATCATTTTGACTTTCAGTATTTCTTCCTGACTTTTCACAAAGTCTGCAGTAGCTCTTTACTGACCTATTTCTACTTTCGTATTTCACATATTGCACCATACTTGTTTACGAAGTTTGATTTGAGACTGAGGATAAAGTATTCAAAATGAATTATTCCTGTTATGTTCTTTCTTCCCCTTTTTAGTTATGGTCAGCGCCTTGGTCTACTCCTTTACTCATCAAGTTCCAGCGAAGAAAAACGTTTTAGAAGTTATGATTTTTATTGCGAACAACTTTATATCCTATTGTGTTCAGTTCGCTTAGCCCTTAATAAGAAGATCAGTTATCTAACAAATCGAAATTAGTGGGTAAGTTTTGGAAATTATCATTCTCTATATATTTTTTCTCTTCTTGACTCACTAAATTCTGAGATTTTACCACTTCTATGTATACTAGACAGTGAGTAACAGTGCAGTTTGTGTGATTTGTGATTCACCGTTCCACTTTTTTATACTCTAATTACCGTGATAGATTATGGTGAAAATGGACATTAAAGTGGAATGTTTGCAGAATCTGCAGGTATTTGACCACAACGATTTCACCTCCATGTGTTAGGACCAATGTTCTAGGTATGATGAAGTTAAGCGGTGAACGTTATGGAGTTACTGAGGTTGTAAAATTTCACTAACCAAAGTTGCTGACTCATACCAAGCTATTATTGTCCACTGCACTGTGTTATCCATAGCTCAGTGAAGTTAGGAGAAAACTAATTATGAAGAGACTGAAACATTGGTACAATTTCTTTCTGTGGGTTTCAAGTGTATATGTGCAATATAGACGTTTTGCCTTAGGTTCACAGTATAACTAGAATTCATCTTTGTGGATGCTACTGGATATACGACAGGTTAGACACATTTATGTTACACGTTCATTGAAATCTTAAAAATCAAATCATTATACATCTTGACTTTTGTTAACCTTTGTCTTCACCGTTCTAGTTTTCAGTGACTGCAAACGGATGGATAGTCATCCTTCTTCTGCTTTTATTCTAATTCTGTGTCAACGTGAACCGAAATGCAGCTGTGCTATGTGCAGCTTCGGCAGTATCGATGTAAGGTTTGTTGTTAAGTTATAAAAACCAACTATGAGCTGAAATTCTGGTCAATTTCTGCAAAACAGATAGAAATGTCTATTTATACTTCAACAGAGTAACTGCTGAGTCATCTCTTTATCTGAGAAATCAGTCAAAAGTAGATGGAAGATAAGTGAAAATGGTTTGGTCGAAAGCAATTTACGTTGATTTATCTTTACCCGGCAGACGCAACTGTAAGATACCCTGCTCTCAACGAACAAAATTTCGTCATTCTATCGTTTTTCATCAAAATGTTTTATGCTTCGTTTATCTTTTTGTCCTATGTCCCAAAATAACCTTGACCAACAGGATGCATATTTCATAAGCATCACCAACACCAACAATGACCAGGTATCACTGTATAATGGCCGAAGCCGCCACACCTCATATCGACACAAATAACAAGGTTATACTATGAAAGAGGAAGAAAGAGAAGAGAATCGGTTAGAAGCAATGGGAAACAGTAAGGGAAAGAAAGGAATAATAGGGAAATGATGGGTTGAGTATAACCATAAAGTGTGGATATATCTGCACCACCAACATTCATTCTGACCTATACCTTCTAAAGTCTGCAACCACTGGTTTCTGTTGTAACGTGACCTCCAACCGGGAAGTCTGTATTTCCTTACACGGCTGAGACCAAAAGTCGAAGCTTTCATGCACTAATGCGTAACCTTTTCCAGCTCAAACCTACTTAGGTTAACATTGTGTGACGAGGCAGACGGTGACTAGGCATGCATAACACTTTCCCCAGCCACCTCAGTCGGTGGAGGTTAACAACCCCATCTCTTGACTTTCTTCTCTATCCTACTATTGTGCACCGGACTTTCACATTACTGACACCGTGATACTACAACACATGACCTGTGCTACTAAGGCAACGTTGATCAAACATCTGAAGCCTTCTCATATCCCCTACCTTAATTGGTGGTGTTTCAAAACCATACAGCAGAATAAAGCGAATTGCAACGTAGTACACTCAACTCGTAATGGACAGTCAGATATTTTGACGGAATCACAGATGGTGTAAGTTGGTAAAAGTCAATCAGATTTTTTCTCCACAAGCAGAAATCTCACTGGTCACCGAGACTCACTAGAGTTTATATGGCTCCCCAGGTAAGTGAAGCAGTCAACCTACTCTACTCTTTCACTTCCTGTTGTTAGGCAGGAAACTGGTGAAGACCAGTCCTGGAGCAACAACTTGTATTTTGGTGTCGAGAAATTCTTTTCTAATATTGTCAAATTGTCACCCAAGGTGTCTAGAAGACTACCTCTTGTCAGGGTCTTCATCTAACGAAGCTATATCATCTGCGTATTCTGGATTTACTAAGAGTTTCCTTTGATTGGGTCAATCCTTGTGAAGTGAAACGACAACAGAGAAACCTCATAGAAACATTCGTAGTAAAATTGAACAGAAATGAAGAAACTGAACACCACTGGTTGCTGTCACTTCAGATTATAGCTCTTCAAACGCCATTACACTGCTGAAATGATTAAATCTCAAAGATAACTATGTCATTTCATATTACAAATAACCAAAAAATAAGTAAACAGTTAATCAAACAGACAGCTTATTCAAATTCAACCTGAAGGTTGAATTTTTGGTCCCAAGATTTGAGCCTATCACTACAACAAACACTACACCTTTGTTTGGAAGTTTGGTTAGTTTACTAGTCTACATGTATTTGACATCTTCAGTAATAATTCATTATCCAAATTCAAAGTTGCCTCACGACTTACGTTTATCACTAGTAAAGTCAGGAATAATACTTGTAACTCAGTCGAAACGATATGAATGCTCTCGTTCATGACGCAGTCATTCATTCCAGTCGGTTAACAGTTAACCTGAAGAATGTCAGAGAGTTTTTAGAAACTCAGTATTCAGGTCAGTCAGCAATCAATTGATATATTGACATTGACTGAGTCTATCAACCAAGGAACAAGAACGAAAAAGGAGGTCAAAGTTCATATCGGCAGGACAATCAATTTAAATAAGTATAGAAATAAAGACAAGATTTTAGCAGAAACAACCAATTACACCCACAGTCATCAGGATAAGCTACTAAGCCGATTATGACGAAATTCCTGTGGCTCACTTCTTTCTGAAGTTAATGCTGATAATATTGCCTAGAACGACAATGAAAGCTTCACGATAAAATCATCCAGCGCAAAGAACACAATGCCATCGAAAACAAATGTGTTTGTTGTATTGCTGAGGTGTTGTGTTAATGATAGTCTAATGAATAGGTTCTTTTTTCCACATGGTTGCACCAATCAGTTTCTCGTTTTATATTTTGACTACTTACTAGTAGTAAGCCTCGAGGGGTATCCATTTTTCAACATACTTATTTAAAAAATGTTTATTTAATTTTGTGGAACATTGTCTGATTGGTTGTAAAAACAAAATGACCGATTAAAATCATATGAATTCAATTAAATTTACTATACAATTTTTATTGTTCTTACTTCGCAAAAATTTATAAGAACTCAGTTAGTAGGCTTGTGAGTACTTATCTATTGATTTCATGTTGGCATTCACCCCGGGCTGATATCAGTTGAACAATCATTGAACATCCGTAAGCACTGGACTGCTGTTATGTTGCAGAATGAAACTCCTCAACAGCACTCACTTATGACCCTGTCAGCTGTCGAAACCATGACCATCAGGTCATGTTGCCAGGACACTACAGTTGAGCCACTGGGACGGAATTCAATGGTTCACAGTTTTCTACTTCTATCATTTCTTGATATAGTACAACCTTCACCTCCTACCATCTTTCAATAGTTGTCTTCACGTTTGACTTGGTTTGCCTTACAGATTGCGAATTTTCGTTAGAACTCCGGGAATCTTGTCTCCAAGCAAGTCACCAATGAACATGAAGGACCTAGGATCAATCTGTCTCAGTAACATGAGTGAGCACTCCTGAGCAGTTGCATTCTAGAATAAAACAGCTGTCCAGTGCTCCTAGGTTTTAAGGTGTTCGCCAACTGACCGTCTCAATGGCAGGTATTGGTGGCCTGCTTAAAATCTGATCTACCAAAAAGTTTTCATCGCATACATTACTTCAAATACTTCCCTTTGTACTTATCTTAATTATTTAAATTTCAACAAATCTTCAGACATTCTCTGGCACATTTTCAAAATGTCTCTAAATTATGGTCATACATATTAAAAACGAAACTGCCGAAAGGATATCACGGCAGATGTCAGTGGGCTCTTGAGTTCACTAGCAGTTAATCATATAACTATTACAGGGATAGTTAACTTTAACAGGAACTGCAAATTTTTACGCTGATTGAATATTCCTATACCACCTAATCCACGGATACTTTTCCACTATTTCACACTGTATTCAAATTTATTGTCTGGAATTACGTGATAATCGTTATTAAATGCCACTGATATCAGTCCATAATAAATGCCAACTTGAGATTCATCAAGCGAATTAGTTGTTTGAAATCCTGAATTCATTGGATACTTTGTGGACTACTTTAAAGGCCAATCTGACAACTGCTGAAATGAGCAACCAAGTGTTGTTATCGAGCTGCAAAGGTAGTTTTTCAAAAATTAAAGAAGGCAAATTGGTTGTCTCAGAAGTTGCTAGGAAGGTTTTTAAAGACACTCTATTTTGTAGAAGTTTTGATTTGATCTGGTTTGTGTTTCGAGCAAATTAAGACACTACGAAGGAAAAATATTATTTTCAATAAATCATCATCAAGTTCTACTACTATGTAGTGGAGTTAATTATTTATACTGGGTGTTGATTGAAGGTGAAGGGAACATTTGAACCACGGCCAGAGTTGAACCAGCAATTCTGGGTTTCCGGACCGATACTGTACCAACTGGTCACTGGTTGTAATCCGGCTGTGGTCCAAATTTTCCTTTCACCTTCAATCATCATCCAGTATAAACACTAGTCTGCAAAAATACGGCTATCTCAGATAGTCATAATGACAGTTAATTATTAACATAAAAAAGGACGAAGTTTGCGGGAAATATATTATCCAAAATGGAATGCTGATTAGGAATTGTAAGCACAATTCGGCCTTTTAAAATATCATCATCATCAAGATCAACATAGGATCAGGCAGCGTTGCGTAACCGTACACGTTACTTCATCTCATATCAGCACATCAAGTAACAAAGCAATAAAGTGTGAGATGAAGAGGGAAAGGCAAATCAGTCAAAGTAAGTAGAAGTAGAAAGTGGTAAGAGAGGAGAGAAGAATAAGATGATGAGGATAATGTGTATATGCATCTGCTCCGCTGACATCGGTTCTCAACCATATCACTTAAAATCTGCAACCACTGGTTTCTGTCTTCCTGCGGAGCCCAACCGGCTAGTCTGAATCGCCCTACGTGGCTCAAACATACAGTCAAGAACTTCGTACTTTGATACTATGTTTTGATCTGGTCACCCTGGGCCTTTTTCTAGCCTAATTCAACTTCAGTCAACACTGTGAGATGAGACAGACTGTCGGTAGACATATGTAACACACGTTCTAGTCATCCCAGTCGATGAGAGTTTTTAAAGCCGCCTTTTTAAATATAGCGATGTTAAGAAGTGACTTATATACCTATTATTAACTTGAAGTTTGTGCTCATGATGCTGTCTATAATGACAGTGAATGCTTCACGATTAAAATATCCAGCTGGGAGAATACAACACCATCAAAGTTGAATTATATGTTAAACGAGTCAATTTGTAGTATACGTTTTCACCTTGAGATGCTATTAATAAATCCCAATGTGAGTGCCAAAAGAAATTCATCGTAATAGCTAACTATAAAGATAGCAAAATCAGCATTTTAATGTGGGGTTTCACACTAAAGTGGATAAATGTTGCCTCCAATATTTCAAAATAACACAAGGACGTGTATGTTTCTTATGAAGCATTGATTATTAGTATTCTGTCAGTTGGATTTTGCTCTCACGATGTAAGAGCTAACTCAAATGTATTGACCTTCATTGTGTCTTAAAGCTCAGTATTTTTCTGTCCTACTTACATAACCAAATGAACTGTGTTTCTTTCAATTCTAGATGAACCGTTTGACTGGTTTGCAGCTACAATATTTCTTGTATATAACGCAGATTATCAAAGTGCATGGGATTTTCTATCCAAGTTTGCTGCATTTCCACATTCTGTATATCTTTGGCCAACTAGGCGCAGACATTTAGTAAGTTATGTCACTTCTGCTAAGCAGGTTTTGTCCTTTTTGTTTTCAATATCTGTTCAAAGTTTGATGCTATGGCTTGTAAACCTCCATCACTGATTGGACCAAATTGATCGGCCTCTAATGGCCGAAAGGCTCCTGCGCGGATACCCCGATATTGCCGATACTTTCAATTCTGATATTAGTGTTAGTTAGTGACTAGTAGTGAAATCACTAGTCAGGTGGATGTATCTGCATCTCAGTGAGTGATGTTGTTCCTATTAAGACTCGAACCGAGAACCACTTGCTTCAAACGCCAGAGACTTATCCACTAGATCAGTGAGTCATAGATTTCTTATGCGACATGTGTAGTACAGTTTCAGTTTTTTGCCTTCAAATCTCCACCGCACAGGCAGTAAATATTGTAAATCAGTAGCCTGATGGATAACGCTTTGACATTTGAAGCGATAGGTCTTGAATTTGAAACATAGTGGAAAGAATATCGTTCACTGGAAGGCAGGTATATCCAGCTTTCGAGTCTTCAGTAGGATGAAACTCGCGTCCCAGACTACACTGGGAGCCACTATCCATAAATAATATCAAAAGTTGTTCAGATTTTTAATGCATAATCAGGACAAGATTTAATTCGGATAATCATTTCGGAAAATATTTACAAACTACCCAGTTGACTTTAACCATCTCACACCTCAGTAGTGTCTTAAACTGTCCATCTGTTGTATCAACGTCATTCTTGTTTAATATACAGATGATAATGATATTTAATGTAGCACAGACAGAAGCAATGTAGAATCTACGTTCACATACAGTTCTTGCTAGTTTGTGATGTACAGATCAGTATGTGTGGTTACCAACTAGTAATATTGTTTAGTAGTATATCTTATCAGTTCATACCATATTTGTGTCAGAGGTAAGAAGTGTTAATGTGTGGCATGGCGGTAAATTATTTAAGGACTGGTGATCGATAGAAGTCGGCTAAAATGGTCATATCCAGTGAATATTAACCTTGCGGTTCCTTCTTTAAACTGAATTCCTTCGGGTTCACTACTCATGCGCTCAGTTTTGAACAAACGAAACAGTCGTTTGTTGTTTAGACTACTTTGATATGACTTGTGAAATGTACAGATCAGTGCGATTACTTTCTGACTACTCGTACTATTCACTAGTATACAAAATGGATTTGTTATATTTTTTGACTCTTACGAGCTGTTGAAGAAAATACTCACTGTGTACAATAAATTAAATGTTTCCATTTTATCCCTTTCGAATAAAAATTAAAGTCTTGAGACGGAAATAATGCAGAAAGACAAAAAAATATAGAACACCAAATTATGATCAAATTAGTTCATATTTACAATAAAAGAGAGAAAAGAGTGTTAATTATAATTACTATTCGAAGTAATATGAAAATTAATCAAGGTCAGTAAAGGTCATTTCATTAGGCAATGATTGGTGGATAACAATTTTTGAAAGCCTGTTGGATACTTGACCATAGTTTTTTTCTTTTGTTAGTGTAAAGCAAACTAAGTTTTTTCATATCAACGAGTTTCAGAACGGTAAAGAAAATAGAAAACATCTTGTCAATTGTATATTGGTTGTATGAATTTAGTTTTCATGCTTCCACAATATAAGAATCGTTCTACTCATTATTATTAGTACTAATATCATTACTGTCATTATTGGGAAGTGAGTTAAGAATCATTGTCACAGTAATCAAAAGATATAAATACTGTTGAGGAATTGAAGTTGGTTCGTTTTTCTAGTCAATTAAAGTAATTGATATAGCCGAAAGTAGTACTGCTCCGGTACTCACAGGAAGGATTAGATCCTTAAAGACTATTATAGCCAATAGTTTCAAAGTTTCAGGAAAACTATATGTATCTAGGTGTAAAAATTCGATTGGTTGAAGAGGTAGCTATCAATAAGATATGACATTCTAGAAAGAACTAAAAATAGTCAAGGTTGTTGTAAATTTATATAGACCGTTATATTTTATGCATATTTTGACGTTGCAATAAACCATCTGTCATCTTACCGCCTTTTTGATCTACTAATGTTCTGATCAGCAATTAAGGGTGAAATCCGAAGATGTCTAATGCGATATATATGACCCAAGGATATAATAGTAATCCTGCAGTAGTCTAAGGAATTTTGCTACACCTAATCAACCATAGAGAATTAGACCGTTGTCTCATTCGACTGTGACACCGCTCATCATCTCACGCCGGTAACCTAAGCGAGGATTTGTCTGGAGAGTCTTCAAATCTTGTGATGAGGAGTGTACTGGTAAACTAGTTGATTACAGTCAACAGGCCACTATTTTCTGACCTTCTGCGAATCGCTGCATAGTACGACTTTAATTGAACGTCTTTGTTAAGTATCCGTTAGTATTCACCACTCGACCAACCTAACGGATGACACCTTCCCGTATTAACGTTGGTAAGCCTTCGCTCGAAGACAACCGTCAGTTAGCTGCATGAATCAAAAAAAATTAACTGGAAGGTTTCACTATTGAACCTTCTATAATCAATAAACTTGAATCTGACACAAAATTTTAGCCTACTTAGTGGTTAGCGGTGGAATCCAGGACGTAGATTTCGTTCTTCTTAGGACTCACCAGTCAGCTGGATGGACTTGTATCTTAGTGAGTGATTTTGTTCCCTATAAGACTCGAACTCATCGTTTCAAACGATAAAGCGTTATCCACCAGGCCGCTGGGGTACAACATCCACCACAAGTAACAATAAATATCAACATAAGCTGATAGGTTTCTACTTAAGATTTCTGAGTTATGTTTCTCCCTAATTCACTGGATGCTTAGTAGAAAACGTTGGAGTCAGTTATCTTGATGTAGTTTTTGACATAAACAGTTAAATTGTTCGTATTAATAAAACCCTCAGGTTCTTTTTCATAACATTTACTACACATGTAGCACAGTATATTATAGTGTTCCATTGTCAACCAGCAACTTTAACCTTTTGAATATGTTCAATGTCCTTTAGGCTAATCATGAGGTCAATAAATTATTGGTTGTCATATGAACCTGATGAATTTATAATAATAATAATAGAGCTAAGAATAATCTAACATTTACTTATTATAATTTGAAATTATAACTGTTGTTAGAATAGAAAGGAGACTAATGCCACAACAGAATTCAGGTTCATTTAAGGATCTCAGCAAATCATGAAATCAATAATCTACTTTGTCCTCACCATTTATATTGACTTGTTTATCTTATATACATCAAGGTCATTTTATACAACTTTCTTCAATTGGATAATGTAAGTAATTCATTTTGAAGTGACTATCGACAATATGATGTAGTGAAATATAAAGTGAATTTGATTTCAGGGGGAGCGCTCACATAGGAGAGAGAAGATCGATCGATAATAACAACTCTTTTTCTGCACTTAATTTTCTGTATCATTGACAATTTTATTTTATCTACCTCATCGTTATTATTAGCTTTCTTTTTCCTTTTCTTAGACTGGATTTCGTGATTCGTTCTATTTAAAATCATGTCAATATTTTGAGCATTTACTAGCTATTGAATGTTCGAATGTATTTAATACATTTGTCATGTCAGAAATTAGTCCAGTTCAAGTGAGTATTGGAAGAAATAAAAGTAACTTGAGTTTGCCTATAGCTAATTTTATATATGCCGCATAATTCAGTGAATTTTTAGATATTTTTCTTTTACATTCTTTCTTCGTCCTAAGCCAGTGCTTGCCTTGACGTGCAGCCTTAACTGAGGTAGGATAAGGTTAAAAGAAGGCAACGGGTGATCAAGCTTAAACTTGACATCAGTCTACGAAGTCTTTGACTCTTGACCTAGGCCATATAGAGAGGTGTACACTGTCTGTCGAATGGCCTTTAGATAATAGGAGTCAAATTATTGAAGATGCTTGATGACATGGTCCAAATGCATACACTCTCTGTCATCTTCAAGTTCTTGAACACTTTCTTAACCTTCGTCTGTTTATTCCATCTTTTCTCATACCCCATGTCTGGTGCTCATTAATGACTTTCTTTGCGATAATATAGCCGAATGTATAATGATAAGCCATGACCAGTGGGGTAAACCGAGTTGGATGTAGGGGTATGTCTTCAGCGACGACAGTGGAAGGAAGGAGGAAGGAGGTTGCGCCATATCGTGGACTGAGAGGAGTAGAGAAATGTGGACCATTGAACTGTGACCCAGTGGCCTCATAGCAATCGGCTATCTGAGAGGCCTTGAGTTCTTGGGTTCCATCCCTGGTGAGGTCACAGGTACGCACTGCTGAGGAACCCCAGACTGCAGGGAAACAGCTGTTCAGCACTACCAGTTCTTTTAATTATTCTACATCTGGTATCAATCTGTGGTGAATACCAACTTGAAATTCATAAATACATCCTCACAAACCTCTAAATTGAACAACGTTCATCTCATTTCTTCCCTTCATCTCTCAGAGAAGTGTAGTAGCTTGAACTAATAAACCCCTTCCAGGATCCAAGTTGATTTGTCTGTCTCTCCACATGAAATTCATCTTAAGGGTTATCACCCAGTAATTTGCTAAGCTATCATCTTCATCCTCATGTTAATGGTATCGATTTGGAATGAGAAGTGAGAAGTTTTTTTAACTTGTTGAAGAAATAGTTACTCATTTCCGTTGTTGTTTTAATTATCAAATTTTCTAGTGAATGCGTGTATCATGTTTGAAAATTTCCGTAGACGAATCTTGAATGTATACAAATTCTTGTGCAGAATGTAAACAGTCCTCATACAGTATAAGTGATTTGTGTATTCATTTACGCAGTGTAAATTTTAAAGTCTTAAAATTTTCAAAGGCTCTATTCCAGTTTTATTCAGTTGTTCGTTGTTTCAAGTTATCTGACTAACAATAGATAGAAATACACACTTGTGAAGTCATTAACAAAGGATGAGATTAGTTTGGTCATTTAATGGTTGCAGTAACAAATAGGTTATTCCCATACAGTGAATTGTCTCTGGAGAGCAACCAACTTCATGTTGTCTAGTAGTGCTGATGGAATTCTGTCTATAATTTTTAATGTGGCCGCCAACCTATGAAGCTCATCATGATGATGCAGTTTGATGGGTGTTAACTAGTTGAAGGTAATCGGCAGGAAACCGTGCTTAGCCTGGACTTTGAATTGAATTTCGTTAGCAGGGTGTTTAAGCAACCGATGTCTTCTCTAGACCTCCAATCTACGTCACCTAGAGTTGTAGCCAGCGATATTACGACTGATGTAGTTTTGGATCTCAGAGGGGACAACAGTTCACTCAAGGTTGCAGATATGCCTTGGTGATGAGTACTAAAAAGCACGAAACTAAGTTAAGCAGGGCTTTCTGCCGATTGCCTTCAATAAAATTATAGGTTCTTTTTATTCAATAATATCCTTAAAAAGCATAAATTCTTTCTAAACATAATCCTAGTTTTGAAGTGATTACTGATTTGCAAACTTTAAGTCCTCAGCATTAACTTTAGTCTACTTCAAAATTCTTAACAGGATGTGCTTAATTATGCACAGGAAAAACGCAAAAGAATAAGCCAGTTGTCTACTTGGAATAATCTGCAGTTGCGAGTAATCTTTTTTAAATGTTCAGCTTTTTTTCAGAAGTACAATAGTTTACCATATAGGTAATACTGAATAACAAATTAATATATCGAAAACACTTAAAAATACTTTAAAATTACTTCACCTGACTGTGGACATTTTCATCTAATGAATTCATTCTAAACTGTGAATTCCGAATAAAGATAGTAGACAGTTTTCATATTTTTTTAGTAACGTTTAATGTCGATGCTGAAATATAATAAAACTTGATGTTATAGCTTGTATTTTCCTATCATCAGTTAGACCAAGTTGATCAGCCATCATTGGAAAATTGGCTTCTGCTTCTGTAATACTGGGAGTTTCAGTTCGTGATAGTAACGGGGAATGGTGACTAGCAGTAGGATCCATAACCTGCGTGGCAATAACACTCACCCATATGTAGGTAAATACATCTGATGGATCCCAAACAGGACTAACATTAAGTCGTGGATTTCACTTATTATTGTTATTATTTTTCCCCAGGGTTCCTAGTGGAACATAGAGCTTCAGTAGCACACCTCCACTGCACTCTGTTCTCAGCAGTCCTTTGGACCTGCCACCACGACTGCCAGCAAGCTTTCATTTCTTCCTAACATGATCTCCTCCATGTCACCCTCGCCTCGGACGCTCAACTCCTCGTTTCCCTTTTGGATTCCACTCGAAGGCCAGGTCTGACGAGTGATGCCCCCAGTCGGTCTCCTGAATGTATGCTCAATCCAATCCATCTTCACTTACTTCTGCATATTGGTTGGGTGATAGGTTCTTGGTTGGTTCGTTGCCAGGCCAAAGTTCTTTGTTGCTTATTCTTATTGTTCAGGCCATCTGATACTCAGTCTCGAGCCAGCGTATGGGGCAGCTGTTGATGAATGTCTGTAGTTTGTTGTAGGCGTCTTTCGTGACACGCCAAGTTTCTGAGCCATATGGCAGGACTGACTTGATATTGGTGTTGAAAATCCGGATGTTGTTCACGCTTTCTGCTAAGTGCAGTAGATCTCCACATTGATTTCGGTTTAATAAAAGTCTGTCTTACTTTTCCGATCCTGGTTTTAACATCCTCATCCGTGCCGCCTGTAGTTGAAACGATGCTGCCTGGACAGGTAGGTTAAAGAGACTACTTCCTTTAAGTTTCTCCTATTCATGGTGATTGGTGCTTGTTGTTGATGCTGTTGTCGTTGGTTGGGTATCTTCATCACCATCTTCTCTACATTCACTTGAAGTCCCATCTTCACCGCCTGGTCTCTTCGGTCAATTTGTTAGTTTTCGCCTGTTGATCTTCGAGCTTGTGCCACAAGACATTAGACATAAGTCTTCATTGGCGAAATCCAAATCTTCTTCTAGTCCTGCCGTCATAGATAACTTATGAGATACATGTTATTTTATGCGACTCTTTATTACTGTGAATAGCAAAAATGGCTTGAATAACTGTTACAAAAGAATAACATACCTTCACTTTGATTCATGAACTCTCCTCAGCTCAACATATCTCGAAACAATTGTAATATTATACACTTGTTTCTTTTTATGAACCTAAAACTCAACAGGGGTGATCACTTTTGTAAATGATGATGACATTATATTTTGTTGCCTTCTCCTCAGCTAAGTAATTACAGGTTATTAGAAATTAGAAATTATTAGAAAAGGAATAAATGTCAAAGAAATAATAATGGATAGTGGATGACCGTGAAATATAGGCGGCATATTTCGTCTTGGTTGAAGGAGTTGAGTGATGTTATTCTTAACAACACGTGAAACTGGAATCCATTGATTCAGGCTTCAATATTGACCAGTCAGCGACAGAAAGTTTCCAGCCATAACATCAAATCTTGACATTTTTTACTGTTCAGAACTAGAGAATCCATCTATAAGATAATTCGGTGGATAGAAGCAGAGATGTGGACTGCAATACAGTGGTGAAACGGACTTATAACATTCCAGGAATTTTAAAGTGGTAAGGTAAGATTATGATAATTCAGCAGATCCAGCCATAATTAGTTGAGACTTTAAAAAGAAATTAGGAGAGTTTGTTTGAAGGAGAGAAGATATCGTGAAAGAAATTCATTAACAATGTTGTTGAAGATTTATCAGTGTTCTGAATTACGACTCTGCGTAAAGGTAGTCCGCTGAAGCAGCTAGTCAGAATTCGTATGGTTTGAGTGAATTAACGCCCTGTGCATCCCTAATAAGCTGGGCGCTAAAATGGTGAAACGTCAGTTCGATGTTTCGACCACTTTTATCTGTCTAGTGAGCACTGCTGACTGATGTGATTGGTCCATAAATACTCATTCTAATCAGTAGTATGTTCCGTACACCTCTGACGCTTTACAAATGCCTATACTTAAATAAAAGGAACCGACTAGTAGGAGAAAAAAAGTCTCGAACAATATACTTACTTATCGATATCAGGCAGTAATATGCACTGTTCACTTTATTGTTACTAAGTGATATGTTCTAGTAATATACTAGTAATTAATAAACCACAGTTTCTTACGTAGTCGTTATAAAGAATCAACAGACTTCATTTAAGTGTGCTACGCTGCATAAAGACGGTAAAGAGTTTCTTTTTATCCTGCTTTAGCAAACTGACATTTTCCTCAATACATCTAAGTTGATGTAAGTCCACGACCTTATCAGCTGCCCAATATTATATATCTGACAATAATATTGTTCATTCAATATTTCTTCGGGAGATGAAGCCAGTGTCAATAATGACTGCAATTGCAGCATTTTCTCAACCCACAGTAATCACGTTTCACAAGTAACTAGGAAAAGGAAGGAAATTAGTATACACTTTGTTCAATCGTTACTGACTAAATTTGGTGAAAACTAAACGATTACATTGTATAATACTACATAATACAATACAACCAATGTAAAATTATTACTCTCGGTCTAAAAGGACGCCACATTTTGTTCGCATAATCTATAAATACTGTATGCAGCTCCACTTCTCTTTATATTACCGATGAACGAAAGTATAATAATTCATTATTTTGGTTGTATTTCAGTTAGTTTCCTTTAGTATGTATGACTGCAGAATTTCAGTGTCTTTCTGTGACTTATAAGCGACCTTGGAGTGACCAGACACTTTGAAGATAAGTATACGATCGTTTCGGGCAGCTTTAAGGTGGTGACGGAATGTTGTTTTATCATTGGAAGACTTATGCAGTATTTCCATACTATCAGGTTGAATGGGATCGTAAGGGGTCATTTCTCTTGCATTATTTTATAGATCTGTAAGATTTCCATGTTTCAACATCTGCCAGAAAAGAAAGAAATTATGGACAAAAAGCTCACAATAAATTATTTCTTAGTATTAAGCTGTACCCCTCAAAACTCACTTGCAACCTTTTTTGAATTCGAAGTAGGTTTACTGCTTTATGACTTAATTTCGAGTCTTGTACTCTGATATCTATAGGTTTATGCTTACTACCCAGCTTCATGACAGAGATACCTAATTTCACTTCTCAAACTGTAATTCATAAATCCTTCTTCAGCAGTTCATAAACGTAAAGTGATGTGGAGCTGTTAAAATGCGTGTTCATTTCCGGATCACAGTCAATGTGATTTACTGTTATTGAATCATACAGTTGCATATCTTTATCGTACTTATTGAACTCAAGTCTCTGACAACTGCTCGGAAAAATAGACTGATTTGTGAACAGCATTAAACAGCTGTACCCACTATAATTCATTATCTCTCTAAAAATAACAAGTTGTTTTCTCATTGATGGTCCGAGGTCAGTCATGAGTTGCACAAGGACGGGGAAAGTCTCCATTTTTCAGTGAAAACTGGTGATTTATTTTGCGCGTTTTCTCTCAGAAATCAATGCCAGTCTGAGTGCTACAACATATTTAACAATGTTACTAAGCTTTTAAAGGTAACCAAAGGTTTTTATATTGATCATACACTGAATTTGTATGCTCTGAAAATAATGGAAGTGATACTTTGTCTACCCTGGATCATTAATATTTCCTTTCACATCATGTGACTACAAAACACTGACTGAGTGAGATAGTCACGGTTTGGCAGGCTTGTATTATTGATACTGCAACCTCCAGGTTGCAGGCCCAGTCCTATACCATATAAGCTACGAAACCCAGCCGCTGACCTCGTTGGTAGGGGACAGAGCTAGAAGCTTAGTGGGCCGTCACTTTGAACCCTGTCGTGACCTAGATTTCCATTTCACCTTCAGTCATCACTCAGTATGAACAATTTATCATTGTTAAAAGCATTAAACGTTATTCAATTGTAGCAGACTGCAAAGTAATATTTCCTCTCCCATCATTTGCCTTCTTAATGCATTATTTATGTGTTTTATCTTTCTTTCTATTTTCTGGTTATGTACCGTTCAGATATATTCACGATGGATAAATCAATGTTATTGGAATTATTTTGATTGGCTAAATATTATGAATTATTTGCTTTTATGTCTACTGAATCCAATCCAATTTCAAATTTATACCAATGTATGCATTATGAAGCATCTTGGCCCGGTATTTTTGCAGACTACAAATGAACAACCAACAAGCCAAGAACAACAACCAGAGCAGCTGATTGTATTCTTGCAGGCAATATTTTGCTATGGTTTTCTAATATAAACAGGAATCATTCATTAGACTACTTTTTGTTCTGTGGTTTATCTAGCTGTCGTTAAGGTTATTGAATTATCAACTTTTTACAACATAGTAATGTAATGAACAGTTCTAATTCACACTACAAAATAGATATTTTTAAGGTTTCTAGAAGTGTTGACATGATGCCAAGTAGTGTCATGGGTGCGCACCGTTAAGGAGTCCCATACTAGGGCGAAATAGATGTCTAGTGCTCCAAGGTTTCCAATGTTTCTTCAACTGCCGTCAGTCCATGATAAGTACGACGCTGAAATCAATAAATGAATCCTCACGAACCTCCAAAAGGAACTAATCTAGTGTCCATTGGTGACTGGCTTTGAGAAGTGATTCGTAAAGTTCCAATCAGAAGTCATGGCTGGTGGGGCCAAACAAGTCAAAGCTGAGGACAGTTACTCAAAGACGCCATTGGATGGAGGTCACGCTGTATTGTGAACTCACTGCAGTAGGAGACATGAACTATTGGATTCCAACCCACTGGCTCAATGATGATATCCGTCTGGCCGCTGACAGCCCAGTGTATTGTGCTGCAGTTTGCTTTATTCTACTGTATGGCTGTGGAGATGAATGATATAAGAAGGCTTTTGTAGCATATGTGGTGTGTCATGTTTTCAGCACTTCAGTTATCCAGAAGTCAGACGTAAGGTTGGAGATGGAAGAGTCAAGCCAATTGATGAAGTTGTGAACTTTCATTGTCTCAGTTATCTGACTAAGACATGTATTTGGTATGTCTAGTCACCATCGGAACCTTTGTGCAATGTTAAGGGAAGTAAGTTAGGGCTGGAAAACTGCTTGACATACTGTTGGTGACAACCGTTGAGAGGTATCCAGGCTTCCTAGTTGGTGTCCACATCAGGACCAAGATTGGTGGTTAAAGACTAGATGATGCTGCTAAAAACCAATATATGTGATACAGAGGTATCCACACATTTTCTTTATATTAATTTCCATGACGAATTTAATTATTATTCAACTCCTTCTTACTTTGCTTTCACAACTTTCTACCACAATGGCTACATTCTTCCTTACTTTTCTAATTCTCATCTTGATACCATCCATATATGTTGATATACTGATATAAGATCTGACTGGCAGTTTGGGGGATTACGTAATTAATGCCAGGTCACACGTTGATGCTGACTGACTCATCATTGTACTGTCATAGCAAGATTTCTTAGCTCTTGATCAAAACTGTTAAATCTATGATTCAATAACCATCTTTATTTTCCTTGATATATCTATCTAATTAACGGGTTAGTGGTATATATTCCAAAGAGCACTGACAATAACATTTGTTTCACTCAACTATTGATTGCATGATGATCGTCCTTTATACTCTAGATTCAGTTTTTTGTCACTTGATGAATAGATCTCATTTGTGGTATCATTTTGATGCCTTTTCTGCATGAATTCGGTTTATTTTATTATAGACTATACATATATGCGTAAACTCGTTCAGTCAGCTAGTAGCTCAGTGTTCTAATGCTCATTTATCGGGGTTTTGAAAAGATTCGTCACTTTAATTTAGGTAGTGTGTTAAAAGTTGTTAAAGTACATCATTTGACGACTGTGGTTTATTTATTGACCTATCAACTACGTATTCTGGTTTACAAATGCTCATTTGCAACAATATGATTTTAATTCAGAATAATCTTCAGAAATCTGTCGTATGTCGGTAAAAGGGACAGTTAGTTTGTTCAATATTTAAGCCAAATATGGAGATGTGACTAGTTAAATTAATTACTCAACTTTCAAGCACTGGGTCTGGGATTATTAGCTCACTCCTCCTACGTTACCCTTGGCAACCGGTAGTAGCGTAAGCCCCAGGAGACAATAAGTATAATGTATGGCTTAGTAGATAAATAAATTGCCAGGTTAAGTCGCATATGTAACACTGTGGTTATATATCGATTCATCTGCATATTTTATGAAGAAATGATTGATTTAAAATGAAATTTTGTTGGGCTCTTGTTTTTTTAGTTTCCTATTTCTTCATTAAAATGGAATGTAGAAGCAGTTATTTCATTGAAGTCAATCTCTGCATTAGGTAAACGAAGATCGGAACAGTGTTGAGAAAAACCAATTATAACAGGAAATAAAAATCTGAAAGTTTTATTCTATAGCGTAAGCTTGATACTGACTTTACTGAGAGATTTTCAAATATACGGAGTCTGAGGCGGGTAAAAATGATATTATTGTGATATTTAATGAAGATGATTATATAAGTCTGTATATAAATGGCACGATATTTATTAAGAAAGAAAATATCTACAATAAAAGGAAATTGATTAACCAAAACTGGAGTTGAGAGAGATTTAAATGAAATATGATGAAAATGTGGTGGACTACTGCTTACTGAGAAAGGTAGAAGTTGATAAATCTCAATGACAAGTGGGGTAAATAAAGTTGGGGGTGAGGGGAAAAAAAGCAACGAAGGCATTGTAGACCATTCGATTCCAGGCCAGCGACTCGATGGTAACGTGCTGGCCGTGGAATCTGAGGGTCCTGGGTTAGATTCCTCGTAGGACCGTTGGTATCCACTGCTGAATAGCCTCATACAAGTGTGAAACAGCTATCCGGTGATCCCAGGTTTTCATGTTAAACGGAGACAAGATTATTGACAAGGATTTTAATTGGGAATAAATACTCATTGAAGTGTATGATTCGGTATAGAATGGACACCGCAGTTCGTCTCGGAGAAGGATATGCTTTCATCATGATACGATTAGGCAATAGTACGAAAAACTTGATATTCAGGCAGAGTCAACACTGCCATCCCGAAAGTGTATTAGGAGTCGCTTGACCTGACTAATGTTATAAACAAACGTCTGAGTTACTCAATTGCGAAACACACTGTTGGAACTACGCATAAGACGGTTATGTTTACGTCATTTAGGCCTGTTTATAAAACCTGTTACGGGCTCATTTAAAATCTTATCAGAGCAACAGCCTTTAGGAGTCTTAAGTTATCTTCATGTGCTCAGAAGCAATTTATAGTCACACTAAAACCTCCTTGGTAAATTCGGTCCCGTATCGACGGTTAACGCATCGTTAATGTTTGCAGTATTGCTGTTCGTTCGTTATTATTTTGACCTTGAGTGTAGTCTTTTTATTTGACCGATAATCATTTTTCGAACCCTCAATGTCTGATCATCTTTTCACAGAAATCTTTTTGACATGTATTTCCGTGATCTGACTGGACGAAATGTGTTCCACAAATATACATTCCTTGACTCATATCAATTACATCTCATTAGTTTGTTGAAATTCATTATTATTATTTGTCCCTTGGGTTCTTAATGGAATATAGGGCTTCAGTAACACGTCTCCAATGCGCCCTGTTCTCTGAAATCTTTTGAACTTGGCTCCACAACAGCCTACAAGCTCTCATTTCCTTCTCGCACGATCTCCTCCACGTCACCCTTGGCACCGACGCCCAACTCGTCGCTTCTCATCGGGGTTCCACTCGAAGGCCTGACGCGTGATGTCCGTAGTTGGCCATCTCATTGTATGCCTAATCCATCTCCACTTTCTTCTGCATATTTGTTGAGCGATAGGTTTGTGGTTGGTTTGTTGCCAGGCCAGAGTTCTTTGTTGCTTATTCTTATTGTTCTGGCCATCTTATACTCAGTATCGAGCCAACGTATAGGGCAGCTGTCGATGAATGTCTGTAGTTTGTTGAAAAGCTTTTCGTAACGAGCCAAGTCTCTGAACCATACAGAAGCACTGACTTGACGTTGGTGTTGAAAATCAGCATCTTGTTCCGCATGCTGAGTGCAGAAGATCTCCGCACTGGTTTCAGGCTAATGAACGCCTGTCTTGCTTTTCCGATTCTGACTTAGATATCCCCGTCTGTGCCGCTGCCTGTAGTTGAAACAGTGCTTCCTAGATAGATGAAGGAGGTTACCTCCTTTAGGTTTCTCCCGTTGATAGTGGTGGCATCGGTTGGCTATGTTCATCACCTCTGTCTTTTCTACGTTAACTTGAAGTCCCGTCTTCGCTGCCTATTCTGTCAACTTGTTGGTTTTCGCCTGTAGATCTTCAAGTTTGTGCGACTGTTGAAATTCATAAAGGTAACCAATTACTTAAAAGTTTTATATTTAGTTTACTGCAATGAACTAGCTAGAGTGTGTACAAGGTTTGAGGTATGTCAAACAATACCATGCAAAACTTAAGCTTTATAACCAGTCTTTTTCTCTTTTGCTAAATCCCAGAAAGATGCATGTAAAATCATTTGATAATACATCCTTCAGTGAGATATAGTATTATCTATATGTGGAACAGTAAAAAGGCTGTTCGCCTCATGATTTTATTGCTTTATCGATGTTCATTCTTTGAGAATTACTGATTGGCTATCTGGATGAATTTAACCGTAGCATGCACGTTATATCTGTTCTCCTGTTACACTTTTTAAAGTCTTTTTGTCTTACAAATTGCCATTGATGGATATCAGTTGGATGGAACCAGTTATCAGGAAGCCATGTGTCACTTACCTTTCTTATTTACTGGGATTTTTCAGTAAGATGTGTCTAATCCAGCCCAAGGGGAGGTTATACGTGGCCTGTATAACTTAGTGGTAACGTTGCTGACCGCACTGCTAGGCAGTGGTGGTTCGAATTTCAGGCGAGACACCAGTTCCGTCGATGTTGCAGACACACCTTGTTGATGAGTGCCCGCAAGTATGAAACCCAAGTCAGGTGTGGCTTCCAGTCGATTGCTTCCAAGTAACTATCGTTATACTAATGTATATATGTATACTCTTTTTGTCTCGTTTATACAGGAAGAGCCAATAAGAGGATTTGACTGTGCCAAATATCTTTCATATATGTATGAATTGGATCAAAAGTATACTAAATTGCTCAGCATGGATTTAATAAAAACAGATGATTCACTTGCTGAAATATCATCATTATCCTTTTTACAAGTTAAAGAGGAAGGAGAGAAGAATGCAGGAAAGAAAACAATTAACTGAACACTTTATTTTATATGTAAATTAGTTCTACTTTAAGATTTTAACTGTTATTTCCTTATTAACTTTCCTTTTCAGAATGATCATTCATGTATGTATACTGTGTGCAGAGCGATGATTTAGCTATTGCTCATCCAAAAGTTATTGTTGTTGTTATTATTGACTGAAACCTTTGATGCATTATAAAAACTGAAGCAACAATAATTTTAAAAACTAACATTTTAGATGATAATTCAGTGACTTATCATTCTTCCCACTTGTTTATTGGTAGATTGAAAAGGAGGAACCAACAGCGAATTTCTTTCTGACAACATCTGTAAATAATTATTGTCATTAATAATGTATAGTGGCTGTTCAGTGGACGCACACATCATACGATTAGGGACTTGTGAGCTGCATGTGCCTGCATCTCGATAAGACTCGAACTCAGGACAGATAGTTTCAAATGCCACGAAAAAACAGGAAGTAACGAGATATCTACGAAGGAGCCTGTATGCCAATAGACACCGTCCAATTCAGCCCAACCAACCACGGGACTCGATAGTCTAATGGATAACTCTTTGGCGTTTGAAGCGATCGTTGCCGGTTTTGACTCATAGTGAGAGCAATATTGTTTTCTGGGGGGTGGGAGCAAACACATCCAGCTGACTAGGGGATCCCAATTAGGACAAAAAGCACATCCTAAACTCCACTTTTGTCCGTCATCCATCATTAGTACAAAACTGAAAATACCCGTAATATTCATGCATCCGCTTAGAAGCCTATATGCCAGTGGGGATGGATCAATTTGGTCCAAGTAATGACGGGATAACGCTGGTAACAACATAAATGAGGTCATTGGTAGGGAATATGACCTTACAATCGCTGAGTAGAATTCAATGAACTAAATTGTTATGTCCCATCGGCTTATGGGATCATTTAGTTTGAAAGGATTGCTTCTTAGTGAGTCTGTAGGTTTAAATGGCACCATAATTCCACTCCAGTTGAGGATTTTGAATAAATCTTCTTAGGCACCTTCCTTATACGGCAACGTGGTGAAACTTTCGAATTTTTATTTACGAGTTTTGTCACTATTATGCATGTTGTTTGTTTGTGTTACTTATCCAGAAATGCATGAGGAACTGTAAGAAAAGGATGACTAACACATGCAAGAAATGACTGAACACCTGTTCCGGATTTTGGAAAGTTTCACTACCCTCACGAAAACCGAAGGTCAAGAGACAGAATGATAAGAATAAGGTACGAAAGGTGTAAAGTTGTCTTTGACACGAATATGAGTAAGAAGTTAGTTTCACAACGTCATCCACTTAATAATAATATCTTTTTACCATGTTGAAAAATATCCAATAAATAAAATTATATGACGTTAAAATCTAAGAGACTTACAATAGTTATGTTAGGGATAATTGCCTATTTGTTAGGTCATACAAAGCACATATGACATTGTCTTGGTATCATTTTATCAGTATCATAACTTGGAAGAAATGACTCAGTAACTAAAGTTATGTTCACAGTTACGGAATAATATGTTTTAAAGTATCTTCAATATGTATTTGGAGACTTCCATAGACAAAATATTCGGAGTACTGAAAGGAAGCAGCCTGAATGGAAATGAACATTTTAAGTCACTAGCCGCTTAGGTGGAAGTTTTAGATTTCAACTTTATTTCATATTACTGTGTGATCACGAAAAAACTTTATTGAATAAGTTATCCCACATTAAACCAATCAAAATGAATATCCAACTTTTAACCTTGCTCCGTGTGTTCATGAAAACGGTGTACAAATGTCCTTTGATTTTTGCAGCTAAGCAAAGTGTAGGGCTTTGAGGGAGAACAATTGTTTAATTTTATCATGATTATTAACGGTAAACTATATGGAGAAGTTAACTGAGTATCAGTGGGCTCGCCACCGAGTCCCATATTAGTGGATCTCTTTCTATTGAAACTAGAGGATGGTTTACTTGAACAATCTCCCATATAATTTTCATTTTATTGTCGATATAAAGACAATACATTCATCTAGTGCGAAACCAACATGGATATATCAGAGATTCAACCCAGTATCCCCAGTAAGAAAGTTTACATGTGATGAAAAGTCACAAAGCAAGATGGCTATTCTTGACTTTCATCTTTCAAAATGAAAGGATGAGTCGATAAAAAGGAATTTGTTTACGAAAAGTACTTGAACGTGTCACTGAACACGTTTTGTCAGCTTCGTCCCCCTTCAGTACAAAAGGAATTCGGTAAAAAAAATCAAGTTAAAAAATTTAGGCCATTTGCTCAGAAGATACAGCTGAGGAGGAACTAGTGACTTTGTGCAACACACTAATCAAAAACGGATACCTTGATAAATTCATGAAGAAATATATCATGAAAGGACGCTTCAACGGCTAGCAGAAAGCCACCATCCATTTGAGTACAGTTAAAGGTGACATGCTCAGTGATAAGTTGGTTCAAAAAAATACTCAGATCAATTCGCAGAACTTTAAATGCTGATAAATTACAAATTTTGTTTTCCACACGTCCAATGGTGACACCGAGACTAAAAGATAATTGTCCAGACTAGCGACTTCTTGTTGTGTTTACTAGTTTGACTGCTCCTGTGGAGCCTGTTACATCAGCTGCTGCTCTAGGAATTCCTTTTTTCATGCTCGTGAAGACCTGCCAGCGTGGTTAAGTGTAGGTGTAGTAAAAATTATTACCAGCCCCATATTATCACACTTGGTTGAAAGAAACCATAAAGCGGATATGTATAAGTAGTTTTCCATTCTGTACGATGTTCCCATCAACTTACCAAAGGTACCTGGTTCAGGGTCCTTCAAACTGCAGAAGCAGTAGCAATCAGTATCATATAATCGGAGTTGTGTGTTTAAAAGAGGCAAGTTATGCCCTTATAACTTTTGTGGCCTGACTGGGAACGTATAAATTCGTCAGCATCCTATCCTAACTAATCTAACTCCATACAGTAGATACCTCTCCTTCCCGATAATCTTCAATTATTTTAAGAAATTCTCTAAACCTCTTTTATCCCCTAATATGAGTAACATTCCATCAAGGTATTATTCGTCGAATTATCTTTCTTTGCTTGTTTCATCTAGCTCCCATTAACACCCTCCTATTTTTTTGTTTAACTATCACCTTATCACATTACCTACACAGTAATGCCGTCCAGGTAATCAATTATTTTGAAATGAATCTTAGTAACAATTGATTCTATCATTAACGTTCACCAAACTTTTCTAACTTGACTTCCTCAACTGTAAATTATATTATTCACAAACTGGTTAGCGAAATCTCGATATTGTTAAAGCATAATTCCTCAATATGTATATATAACTGTAGGACCTGAAAAAGTTATCGAAAAGAATATCCTTTGTTTACCGAAATGTCTCTTAAATTTTTACAAGAATTCTATTCAGAAGTAACTATAGTGACTGACGGTTAAAAAGTGTAACTTGAATCTGGTTGAATAGACACTTGAGTGGTACTCATTTATACTAAAGTGGCGAGAAACTATGGTGATTTAGGTATTGTCTTGTCCATGTAGATTTTCTATAGATGAATCGTTTCATTGTTTAGTTTTTCAGGCGAATTCTAAGAATGTGTATGGTATGCTTTAATCAACATTATGACTAAAATTAGAATTCTTTCCATATCGGAGGGTATGACTAACTTTATATTCAGATTATCTCAATCAAGGAAATATCATGACTTTTATTTCTAACTGTATGAAATAGAACTTTTTGGTTCGAAGATGACGATGATCACTAACGGTAATTCTACTCAAAATATTACCAAAATTGTATACCCATATGTATAAGCATTCATTTTAAATTCATCGAATACATATTGGTTCCTTCTACAATGTGAAAATTCTTCGCTGATGTATATTAAGAAAAGATTGAATGATTTGCCTTTAAAATTACTTCTGAAAGGTATTATCTACCGAAACGTCAGGAGTTCCTAAAGCATGAGAAGTATCAGGTAGTATTAGGCATAGAATAACAGATCCCATCGGTATCCCTCTATGATGAATACCACTTCGAAATAAAGTTGAATGGTAGATTTTTAAACATAATGAAATAACTAGAAGAATATCAGACAAAACAAAATTGTTAAATTAGGAAAACAGTGAGAAATATGTTGAACATCTTCCATGTAATAAGCGAACATTGTAAATATATATTGTACTAAAAACTTCATACGAAGATTAATAGGCATAATAAATGGCTTAAAATACGATGTATGATATCACCTTTTCGAATCTAAAGCAACTTCAGTGGCTTTAATAAACAAGTGGAACGTTAAAATCTTGAATCCCTAGAACGATTATTTATATGCTTCTCCTAACGGCTGTGTTTTTACAGATTTTCAGTGTATTTTTGTGGAAATACCACTCAATCAGACTGAAACCACTGGATGGTATTCATCATGGACTGATATCAGTAAGAGAAACGTTGGAAACATGAGAACACTGGACAGCTGTTTCGTCTTAGTGTGGGAATCTATGAATACTAACGTGAAATCAATAAAATCCTCACAAGCTTCTAAATTGAAACCACTGGTTTTTTTCCTATCATATGTATGCTACGCAGTTTGAAGTTGCTAAATTCCTATTTTGCATATTTACAATGGCAGCACGATCATGTGAAATATTCCCTTCATGAACTTCGACAGAAAAAAAGAAATGTAATTTCTATGGATTGTGTATTATTCTTGAGCAGCAAGTAATCTCATCACATATATGCTTGTCATAGGGATTTACATGAAAGTTTATGAGGAGATAAAGGGTGACTGTATGAAAAGAGGTCAAGTAAAAAACAAATAAAAGCACATCGAACTTTGTTTAAGAGCTGAAATTCAACAGGGAAGGTTTAATGAGATAACAAACTGTTCTCTAACATATGAATGCGGCTTCGGATTCGTAGTGGCTAATGTCTTGACAAATTTAAGGATCTGTCTTCGATACGCTTCTGAAAATAACTGTAAAGAGTATAGAAAGGTTGATCATGTGACCTGTTTCGGAGACGAGTTTCTCAGTGTCTTCTACTAAGGTTTATGAGCTTAAGTGATTCGATTTGCTTTTGAAGCCACCTTGGCAGCGTAAACTTAAGAAGTATGAGACATTAGAAACAGCGGACGTCTACCTTCAGAATCCGATGTTTTTATAAGAGGTATCTGTAGACAGGATGATGGTTTTGACAAGCTATCTTACGTAATAGTTTACTTGCTGGCTGGTGGTGGGATCTAAGAATTGCACTTCATCCTATTTGGGAGATATCAGCCCATTAAGACTCGAATGTAGTACTCATCGCTTAAAATGCTAGAGCATCATCCACTAGGCCAATGAAATATGAGATTCACCCCTTGCACAAAAGACTGAGGTCGCATATCATCAGCTTTGGTCTGAGTTAGTTTATTTCAGATAGCCGAAAAGTTCGTATCAATTCAGCTTACCCAGAATACAAATGCTTGACGTGAGACTGTATAAGATTTACAAGATTAACTTATATGGTACCGTTTTCGTGATCGTGGTGAGATAGGTTGCTGTCAATCAGTATAGTATATTGGTCAGGTTTCTGGAATAGTGATCAACAGAAAAAGAAGTCCTCTTTATCTGAAGCATCAAATTCTTCACATTCGTAACACTAAGACAGGGTTTTTAAGAACCAAATCAGATATAAATTTAAATAAGTGTATTCATTGAAAACACTCCTTTGAAAGAAATACTTGGAAATTCAAAAGTACTCTTTATTAGTCATTTCTTTTTGATGCACCGATCGGATCAACCTTCATCATTTTCTTACTTTCTTTTAGGATGTCCGTAAAGTACTAAGTAAATAACAGGAAAAAAAGCTACAACGAAAGGCAGACTCAGTCTTCCTTGATATGATGCGATTGCATGGCCAACTGTACAGGCGACAACCTGGAATTTCCCAATTGAATAGATAACATATATTTTTATTCTCTAGCGAATCATCATCATTGCCTTTATTGATGTTTATGGTTTCTCGCTGATTATAACACTACACCGAACTCATCGGTCCCTGGTGTTATATCGGCCCCTGGAAAAGACGCTTGCACACCGCTACAAGTTTGGCTTTCACGGCATAATCAAGAGGTAATTATAGGGCATCAACAAAGAACAAATAATCTTCGTCACACAGGTGGTATCTTTCGTGACACAGTAACCTAGTAGATAACGCCGTGGCATTTGAAGCGTTGGGTGTTGGGTACTTGTCTCTGCGAGAACACTATCCACTGTGATGCAGGTATATCACGCTGAGGAATTGCTAATGGTGGTTTCTACTGTTAGCCACCATCAAGCTAATAAGATCATACTTTCATTGGACCAATAAACAAACTAGAGTTGTTCCTCACAGAAAAAAAGAAAATTGGTACGAATTCCAGAAAAGTTTTGTTTCTTAATCAGATTGTCACTTAATGTGTGCTTTATGTTTCGCTTTTGATACACAAAAAAATTCAAATCTGGCCTGAATGCTTGTTTTCTACCTCTTTCTTTCTCTCTCACACATACATTGACAAATGAATACATATTTGCCCAAAACTAATCAGACTGTATGATTGGTCAATGTTGTAAGCATATTATTGGTTATTTCAGGAGAAAATAGTCTACTCTCACGGTTAACAACATCAGTATTCATTGAATAGGAGAAACTGTATCGATCATCGGTCCTTATGATGAAGGGGGGGATGGAATAAAATTCCTTCTTTCTCTAAATGTCTCTCACTCCATTTTTCATGTTGTTCTGCCTCTTATCACCCTATTCCCTTTTCTGTTTGATCGGGTCATACCTAAATCGATAAGCATAAATTCTTGGTGAATAAAGACCATCTGCCATTCATATCTAATAATATACTAATTTTGGAGCTAGTTCTATCAAAATTATTGCAGAAAGAACATGCCTGATGAAACAGGAGATTCGAATGCCTCCGTAGACAATAAAACAGCTGAAACCACGGAGACACTAAATGAACCAAATACAAATGAAAATACCGCCACAGAAGTAGAAGTAAAAACATACAAAAGTGTTACTCTTGGAGCATTCGGTGGCTCCAAACACGTACGAATAGATACCAATGAAGTAAAACCGGTTGGAAAGAATGAAATTGCGATCGACGTACAAGCATGGTGAGTGTTTCAACTAATTTGCATTATCTATACTGTTTAAAAAGAATTATCCATTAAAATGATTTTTGAATTGTGTGCTTTCGAAAAATAATTATTTCTTCAGTTGTCTCCTTGAAAATCTTCTGCAAAGATGAAGACAGTAGACTAAGTCTCTGAAGGATACAAGCTGTTTGATCGGTCCACTTCACATGGTTTGTAGGACAAAGTGATACCATTTAAAATGCCATTACATTGTAAACTAAGGATAATTACAAATCCATACTCTACTATATGATATATAGAATAAAATTAATTTGGATTGTTAAAGGATGCGAAGAAAATCTTATACAATGCTTCTTTTGAGGAGAGCTGAAATGCTATTTCACACTCGTAGAGTACGTCTGATCTGGTGGCCAACTAATAATCTGAGCTACAAAAAATCTTCTACAGAATTTATTCCATAGAATCCATCCCTTTCAATTTGTTTTAATATGACAAATATGTCTTCAAATCGCATCAAGTACTCTTGCACACTTTTAAATGTTTATAGACTGACATTTTTCAAGCTAACAACAAGACAAAGAATAAACGATGCGCTGGTAGAAGATGGGCTTATACATTTAAAGAAGATACAGTATTTTACCATTCCTCGGATAGCTATATTGAATTACAGATTTTGATGCTGGCTGAATAAACTACCATCACCATAACTACACTCAGTATTCTATTCATTCATCAGTCCAAGCCTGATGCCAGAGTAATACCGGGTGCTTGTATCACACTGTGGCTGTTACTACTGTTATCATTAAGATTATTTAAATGCATTGATTATCTTGCTTAGAAATGTTGAACAGGGAATGAGCTTGTTGAATTATTACATTCTGAGAGTTCCAATTGTATCACAAGTCTTGTTTGGAATAAAGGTATTATTATTGTCACTGCTATTAAGTAATGATGGAGACTACATTTTTGTGTTTAGCATGTAATCACGGATTGAACCTCAACATTAGCAATACTTTTACTTGACTTACTTTCCGTGTCATAACTTTATAAAAATTTCATTCGATCTTATAGAAACATAGCTGTGAATGATGTTTCAAGATTACCACGATATTTTAATCGATGAAGTCCTCCAAAATAAATAAGACAAAATTCGCACGTCTGCATTCTCAGATGCCGGTGTCTTTATAAACACTAGGACTGTTTGCATCTGATGAATAATCATGAAGTAAAATGATATATTTTTATTTCTATAACTAAGAACAACTTGTCTACAGCGGTTACTAGTTTTCGTTGAACAGGAGAATTTTTTAACTTATGCAGATGTGGAAAATGCAATATTCATCACTTAAGGAACGCTTCTTAAGACCAACCTGACAACTAAACTAACCAATTGGATTTCTCTATTATTTGAAGAGCTACTTTTCCAAAAGAAATAAGAATATTCATTTGGTTAACCAATGGTTGTATGTGTGGCTTTTAAAATCACTCCCTAAATAAGTGTACTGAATACAGAAACTAGTTACTGAAGTTTGTCTGGATTAGTATCTTTACATAAACAATCGATTCCATATCATTTATACATTCCAGCCTACTTAATCAATCAGGCACATTTTAATACTTTTTGACATGCAATATCCAGGTTCACGAATATTTACTTCAAGTCAGTATATTCTAACTACATAATTAATGGATTAACTTCAAGTTGGCATTCATCATAGACTGCCATCAGTTGAAGAAATAATGGAAACGTGGGATCGCTGGACATCTGTTTCGTCCTAGTATGGGACTCCTCAATGGCGCTCACCCATGACCCAGCCAGCGATCGAAGTTCCAATGAGAAGTCACGACCGGCGAGGCCAATCAAGTCGAGCATATGGACAGTTACTCAATGACAACTTTGAACGAAGGTCGTGCTATATCATGAACCGACAGAGGTAGGAAATATAGGCTACCAGATTCTGACACAGTGACTCAGTGGCTGCGGAACCTGAGGGTCTTGGGTTCGTCCCTTGGTGAGGTCATGTGTGTGTGCTGTTGAAGATTCCAATACTAGGATGAAACGGCAGTCCAATACTTCACGTTTCCAGTGTTTCTGCAGCTGATGTTGGTCCATGATGAATGCCAAACTGAAATCAGTATATCCTCACAAACCCCCAAATTGAATTGACGAACTATTGATCACAGCTCACAGGATTCATCATAAAAGATCCACACCTGATTAGGTAGGAACAATTTACAGTTCAGTACATGCTCTCCACTTCAGAGTTTTAGATAATTGGTACACGAGTGAATGCCGCACATAGATGCAAAGATAGATGTATAGAATGCATAGTTAAAAAGACCAAGGTCATGATGTAATTTGATTGGTGGTGGCTAACAGTAGAATTCAGAATACTTATTTATCCACTGAGAGACTCATCAACTGAATATAACTGCATCACAGTTAGTGATGGTGTCCCCACTGAGATTTGTATTCAGTACCTATCGTTGCAAGCTCCACAACACGATAACCACCTCCTGTCCAACGGATGTCAGTTGCTATCAATTGATTCTTGTACTTTCTCATCGATCTTCATGTTGGACTGAACTGACCGGTGTCTCTTGGCAAGCGTCTAAGGCCCTTTCCGCATGCTCCGATTCTGTCGTGATTCAAAAGCCTGAGGAGTTACACTGTGACAGTTGAGGTGATGGATGCTGGGTTGACTTCTCAGTAGGTGCACCTTCACTCATTGGTATGCAAGTACATCCATTTGACGAGTCCTAAATGGGAGAAAACACGCGTCTTAGAATCTCTTGCTGGCCACCATTAACCAAATTGCATTATTATTAACCTTCAGGCAACCTCAAAATACTCGTATACCACCTCTTATGATACTCGATGGAGACCGTGGAAATCAGTTCAACGTAAAGGAGCAAAACGAAAGTTCAAGTTTCAATAAACAAAACAGGCTAAGCTTATTATGCCTCATCTGATAACCTTATCGTCAGAATTTCCAGTCACATATCAGTAGATAATAAGTACTGGTAAACAATTACGGCATATATCAGTATTCTGGAGAGGAAACTCATTTTGGCAGTAAGTTGTCCAAAGTCACAGACAGACTATAGGAATACACCACTAAGATGTTAAGTGGTTAGTACATTAGATTACTAAGAGACATGAGATCCTTAATTATTTAGAAATCTATTCCTGTCAATAATCGCCAGTTGTTCTGTGTGTATTTCCTCATTGCTAAATATTCCAAGTTAACATCGGTTATAAAACTCGTCTATGAATTATCACGAATACATCAAAAACAAATTTTGTTCAACTACACAAGTGAACAGAATTTCACTTTATCACTCATGTATAATTATTTTTGTTTATTTTTGTCTTTTTTTTACCTCAGTGGGATCAATTTCCTTGATATAATGACCAGACAAGGTTTGATGGATCAGGCCGTTAAACCGCCATTTATTATGGGATCTGAATGTACTGGTATCATTTGTGAAGTCGGTGAAAAAGTAACTACACACAAGGTATGCTGATTTTCACTATAAGTAATTATACTATTCTGAATAACACTAGCAAGAACAATAATACCGATTAATCTTGTTTTGTTGGTAAACTTCTACTAACTCGAATGGATGAAATTAACAAACAGGCAGAAGAAGCTCCTGGTTCATTTGTTGCCATCAATAAACGTGTTACGGTTGTACACCACATCAGATAACTAGCAGCTGGGAAAATCACTTGATATTTCGAGGCTACTATTGTCCTACAGGCTGTCTGAAGACTATCTAGAGAAGGATTAACACCAAAGATTGCGACTTTTTTCTTCTTTACATCCGAACTGAAAAACTGATGAGGATTTTCTTTTTACTAAGGCACAGACAGTTTTAATTGCTTGATTCATTTCAGTGCCTCTTCCCCGAACAGTTCAGTAGTTAAGTCTCTCGCATCGACAATAGGCACTACGAGTTTGAATCTCTCACTTCTTTGAAAGCTACGAATACGCCTTGGTGACGGGTTCCAACAGTCTTAAAACGCATGTCCATAGCTTCACGTCATTGCTATTCAGGTAATCTATCACATTATTATTATTTTTCCCTTGGGTTCCTAGTGGAACATAGAGCTTCACTAGCACGCCTCCATTGTACTCTGTTCTCTGTAGTCTTTTGAACCTGGAGCCATGACTGTCCACAACCTTTCATTTCTTTCTCACATGATCACCTCCGTGTCACCCTCACCTCGGACGCGCAACTCGTCGTTTCCCCTTTGGATTCTACTCGGGGGGCCTGGCGCGTGATGTCTCCAGTCAGCCTTCTCACTGTATGCCCAAACCCATCCATCTTCACTTTCTTCTGCATATTTGTTGGGTGATAGATTCTTGGTTGGTTCGTTACCAGGCTTGTTCTTTCTCGCAATCTGACCTTCAGTGTCTAGCCAGCGTAGGCGGCAGCTGTGGATGAATGTCTCTGGTTTGTTGGGAGTGCTTTTCGTGACGCACCAAGTCTGTCAGTCATCATATAGAAGCACTGAATTGATATTGGTGTGACTCTTACTCTGACTGAAGTATATTATCTCCTGACTGATTTGTGTACAAAACTTTCCCAGCTATTTTAGCTTGTTTTCTAGTTTGAGAAATGGATGGGCCCTTTTGGATTTTGCACTGCACCTTATTCGACGGTTTCGCCTGATAGAAGGTTGGTTGCTCGCCAGTGGCTAATCACAGTGTCTGCCCCAGCCCTGCTGGAGGTCAGTGGTGATCCAATTAAATCACAGCAAAAATAGGCGAAAATAGGTGACACAGGTCAGAACCACAGAGAGGATATCAGTTCCGTCAAGGTAGCAAGTACGCTTTGCTGACAAGAACTAACAAACACAAAATCTAGGTCATACAGAGCTTTCTGCCAGTATCCTCCAACCCACTGACATCCATCAGAAAGCAGGGTGATGCTGAACCTCCTAACTTGATGGCCACATTTCAAAATGATAGATAGCAATCACTCTGTATTCGGGCATATACAACATGTAATGGGTTGCCCTTCAGTGACCAATCATTATTTTGGATAGAGTCCTTATTCAGAGTGCCACTTTGGAAACCAACGTAAATTTGATAAGCTCAAGGTGTAGGACTTTGCACGTCACTTTGACTTAAGTCTAGAAATTGACATTTTGGATTTAACAGTCACCGTCACACTTAAATGCACAACTAATTAGATTAAAAGACGACGCTTCTAGTTGTCTCATGGATCGGTAGAATTGGTTAAGAGGGAGCTACGCACACAAGTATGATTCATAAATTCGTGCCTGTCCGTATTATTACCTAATATCACAACTCTTGAGAGGTTTTAACTGCAGAATTCTTTTCGAACGGTGAATTCATAGCTAAAATGTGTCCAACAGTATATGAGCATTGAACTGTGACCACACTTATATAAGAATATAATGATGGGCCTTTAGTGGAGTATAACTGTATCGCAGTTCTTTTCTTATATGTATCACGAAGTAAAACAGTATTTTTTTACCGGATGACGTTCTAAGCATGATTTGTTGCTTCTAATCAGGCCAATACTATACCAAAACTTACTGGTCTATTTTCACAATTCTACTGTTTTACGTTCTTTCACCTGGTTATCGGTAAACGTTTACACGTACTCGGAATCAATGTTACATTATCCCTATATCACACATTTTAAGTGTCAACTCAATCTTTATCTTCACTGAAGCAAATTATTTTTTCCTAATTGTTATTCAATACCATCTTATTACTTGATTGTGTGGGTGACATCAAGCAAGGCGACTGCTGAGCTTACTTCTAGATTTCTTATCTTACCAGGATCAACCATTCTACACTTAGTTATGTTTTATGTATAAGCCAACCTGATTAACCGTCATCGGCTAGTTTAACCTGCTTATTTGACTATTGGAAGTGTAACACTTGGGCATTGTGGCAGAATGTAATTCCAAATCTCATATGAAATTGCTTATTTGACCTCACAGTCATTACATGGAATTTGGTAGAGCATATTGTTTTGTTTAAGACGTCCGTCAGGATCGTTTAGCCAACAGAACTTGTCTCTAAGAGTTTCCAGTTTTAAATGCCACCACTAGATCAGCCCTACCAATAATTTTATGTAGCGCTTCCGATGTCTCTTCTTGATGTGGTAAATTCAAGAAGGAATTTAAATTCTTCACCGTCGTTTCATTATAATCACTCTTTGTGTCTGTAATTTTATTGTTCGTAGTATTTTTCTCTACTACTCCTTATGTGTTTCTGGATAAACTCTGGAGGGTAGTTGTTAAATAACAGTACATCATATATATATATATATATATATATATATATATATATATATATATATATATATATATATAAATCGACTTTCTAGCTTACCAGTCAGTCTTCTTTGGTTTAAAAATGCTGGTTGAATTCTTCTCAGATTATGTTCAATCATACATGTTCTTTCTACTCTCGAGGGTTTTGTATTGGGTTTGTATGGTAGAATTTTCTCCAGCCATGGTCTGAATAGTTCATTGGATAACTGTGTGATTTCAGCAATGAGTGATAGAGGTTCATACGACCAAGTGAATGTCAATTTTCTAATGGTTGCAGATACGCCTTGATGATAAGTGGCAATAAGCGTCTGGTACTATATTTAGCAATACAGTTGCTGCGTTAACCTTTCGGTGTATTTTATCAAGGAAGAATGTCATTCTGTTTGATTTGTTATATTTTTTTGAAATCCATAAGTTAAAGAACACTTAAGCAATGACTTCGTTTTTGGCTTGATTGTGTACAGAAAGAGAATTGATAATTAGCGCACCTCAGTCTCAGAATAATTTTTCAAGACTCCATGTAAAGTTAACAAACTTAGCTTTTATTTACATTTGTATTAGGTTGGTGATCCGGTTATTGTTCTGTTAGAAAACGGTGCCTGGAGTGAACGTATGTATTGCCAGTTATCGAAAAAAGCAATACTAATCAGTCGACTTCAACTACGCCACTAGAAGATACAGAAAATCTTGACTCAACTGAAAATACAATCAACTCAATTATCTTGCCTAGACCAAAGTCGTTGGATATAAATAAAGCTGCAGTAATTGGATTCGCCTATATTCCAGCTTATATTTTAATTCATCATATCGCCAATATACATTCTGGGGATAAAGTTCTGGTACACTCAGCTGGTGGTGGAGTGGTAAGTATGATGATTAGTGTACGCCTTACTTTCAACCATGCAAAGTAGATTTTTGTCAATTTGTATAAATTTATGTGCGTGAGTCATTTGACGGGAATCCCTGCACCACCTCCATTCTGAGTTTGTTGGTACTCATTAGCATGGCATGTCTGCAGCCATTAGGAAACTGATTTTTCTTCATTGATTTGAACCTGCCCCTCTTTAATGAAGTCAGATACGTAGCTGCTAAACTGTTCAAGCCATGATGGACTTACCACGTAGGACTGGGTCAAGTAAACAAATTTGTCAACAGTGTGTAACAGATGTAACTGTCTAGTCCTAATTGCTTATCACTGACCAAAAATTATGAAGCCTGTTCTACCAACAGCTATTAAACCTAGAACAAAACAGGGTTTCCACCGATCGATTTCAACACTTTAACACCGGAATAAAATGCACCGTTGTGCAGCATCACTCTGTGCGGCAAAAACTTGATCGATATACTTCAATGAGTACCAGAAACTAAGGATTAGACATCTACATTGGTTAGCCAATGGTGATCATTTCGTATGGTGTCAATTAACTTCTCCTTATGGAAATACTAGGCACATGATACTCACTTCTCACATGTGCTGAAATATTCAACATCGTACACTTTGTGTCTCCTATGTGACTGACTGAATAATACCAAAAATGATAACCCTACTTACATAATGCTACAGCTGGGCTGGTTACGAACGGCTACTGTTCCTCTCAGGCTTGATATTTCACTGAGCCGCGAAACTCAGAAGGAAAAAATAGGCCTTAAACTGGAAAGAAGACACTATGTTTGACAGAACATGTCATTTATTTACAGTTTTCCTAAGCATATAAAGCCACTAGGTTACAAGTTGGATACTTATTTTGATTGGTTAGCTGTAGGATAAAATTGTTAAATAAGGTTTCATCTACTTACACAGGTTATAATCCAAAACTTCTGCCTTAATGGCTAATGATTTAAAATGCTAATTTTAATTTAGACCGCATCTTATCAGTATCTTTCTTAAAAAGAATCAATCTCAATAGCAGGCGAAATATCAATGGTGAAGAAATTTGGTCTCCTCAGCTTAAAGTACACAGAAAAGTAGCATTTGTATTGCGTTTGATTTCATCAAAAGTGATCATAGACTTGTGAGATAATTGTTAGACTTGAAATAAAATCATCATACTTTAGTTATTATTATTACTTTTAGGGGAGAATGCACTTCCGGTCAGAGATAAAAAATTAAAATTGATGCTAATGAGTGGTCCATCTATAAATTATTTGAAAATTCAAGGATTATTAGGCATATTATTTAGCGTTAATGGTGGCAACATCTGATGCTTAGTGAGTAGAGAAGATTTTATAGCTCAGAATGAGGATGATAATTATGTGATATTCTCTGACTTTTGAGGTTTGTTCTTTCAGGTTTCGTCATCTGGCTTAGTCACTTTATCCGTATTTACTTCATATAGAATCGTACCGTTAAATCTAAAACAGTGATTGTTAGACCATAGCCAAAGCAACGCTGAAAAGACTTAAAGTCCACAACAAAATAGTGAGGTTTATTGTATAGACGATGGTACAGGTAAGGATCATAACTGAAATAATTACAACCTTCAGCTGTGGCATCTCCTTAGGGGCAGAATTACTAAATCAGTTACAAAGAAGAAAGGGCAATGACCAGCTTAGCAGTTTATCGATTACATGCAGTCAAATTCAGGAGCTCAGCATTCAAACAAGCAAACTGGCTAAATAGCCAAGATTATTCAGTAGAAAAATTAATCAGCGAGATGAATTCAGCCTATCAAAATAAAGGTCATGTCTAGGAAGGGGTGAAGATATAAAAACGAGTAAAAATCGCAAAAAGGGTAGATTAACCAAAAGGTGTCACAGAGAAGATAATTATCGTTTCGATGACTCATTTCCACATCTGCTGATTCGTTAACATATAAGTAAAATGATAGTGTCACGGACAAGCGTACGGTTAAATGTCAAACTTAATCGATAGGTATAAAAATAAATGAATAAACTAGTAAATAAAATGCAATGATAACACAAACAGAGGTTCAGAGTGTCTGTTTAAGTTCAGGATGAACGGGCCAGTTGCACATTTTTCTTGGAATAGACAATTTAGTATTGAAGCTGTGAATTGCCAAGACTTCGAGTGTACATAAATAAATAACCCTTAACCTTTTTCAACGACTTAGTTGAATTTTGCAGATAACTTTGAATGAGATTTCCAGAGAAGCATACGAGTTATTCGTCAATGGATCTATAGATGATTTTTTGCCCATCTTTCAATAAGCAAGCTGAGTAATGTTCATGAGCGTGTTTTCAAGAACGTGTATAGTTCGGCCGACGTACTCAGGTCCATAGGAGCAATTGAACTTGTAAAGCCATATCTATGAGGTTAGTGTTTTAACTCACTGACGAATCAGCTGTTAACATGACAGCACGTTAGGGAAGTCTGTAGAATAGAATGTTTTACTTAGGAACTTTGATAAACAGCTGACGAGATATGTCTTCGGTAATATCACCATTTATTGTCTGGGCATTGAAAGGTTTTTCCTTGGAGCTGATTTAATCTATTCCATAATCTTTTTTCTCTCCTATTTCTTATAAATTTCGATGAGTAGCCATTCTTGAATTGTACTTTTTGAAGGGTTTCTAATTCTTGAATAAGTTTATCATCATTTGTACATCTTTCGTGTTCTTGATGCGAGTGAGTGAAAGAGGAAGTATCAGTCGAAAGGAGAGTGAGCTGATGGGTTATAGGAGTGCATAGCAAATACAACTTGTTGGTGTCTGAAGATTGATTCAAAGATGACATAAATACATGATATATTCAACACTTGATATTCAAAACTTCAGTTCCATTCAATGATGCGATGCAGACTAACTTTGTTACGAGCCTTAGTAATTTGGTTGATCATCCATCTGTTCTGACAGTTTAAAATAACTTGAAAGTATTCTATGATAATTGATATCTTGCTTTACTCATATTCGTTTAAGATGAAAATAACCATCAAAATGACCAGAAGACTTTATTATAGCCTGTTGTAATTGTAAAATGACATAACAGCAAGAGAATTTACGCATCAACAAGTCGGTCACTGAACAAAAAGAAGACAGTGTCAAATTTTTGTATGATAGTTTATTAATTTCCTCATACCTTCATTCCTATGAATTACAAGACTATAGTTCACAATAAGTGACAGATAACTGAGTAAACTGCATTGCTTATATAACTGTAACTTTTGAAGGGTAAAAATATGCTCAAATTTTGCCTTGGTGAATGACAGCCCGTTGAACATTGTTACAATATGGTGTCATAGGTGAGTGCTAGAGAGGATAATAAACTTGAAAGAAACAAGCAACCAATACTGTCTAGTTTTCAGTGATTAACTAGCCGATTTCATTCAGTCTATGAAAAATAAGCTGAAGTATATAACCAGTGTCTTAATGTAGCTCTTCGGACATAAAAAGTTTTTGGAAGATGGCAATATGCCAGCCCTATTTCTAAGTATTTCATGACTCTTTCTAACATATCCAACTTGGTTTTCCTACACTTTTTAAAATAATCTTATCCCTAGATATGGAAGACGGCAAGATGTATAGTATTGTCTTCACTGCTTTTATATAACATGAAAACCTTTTGATCTTGGAGAACTTAAGCACGTTTCATCCTTGTGCATGTCTTACGTCATAATTCTCATCAAGCTGGGAAATGTGATATTTTTGGAAAAGACATTTTAAAACTATGAAGTGTACTTTAAAGCAATCTACGTTCAACCATTAGCTCATAAGTTTGAATCCCACTTTACTTAGTCGGACTGCACAGTCAGGGAATAACAAGTTCTTACAAAACAGCCTTAGTTCATTGTGTTACGAGCAAACTTGTATACATCCACCGAATTATATATATTTATCTATGGATTGAATTAACTATTCACTTCAAAACGCTGTATGCTGAGATACACTAGAAAAATGATACATTCTTCTAACACAAATGTGGTGGAAAGTAGGACGACGAAACTTTACAAATGGGTAATTATACTGCTTGTTTACTCGCCTATATCAACAAAATATTTCCTGTTAGATGTCAGTGTGACTGATTTTCCGTTATTGATTAGACTTAATTAATTGGCCATTATTGGCATGTAGACTCTGGTTAGCATGCCTTGGTATTGCCGGTAATTCCAGTTATCACATCCAAATATAACCGTTGTACACCTAGTGACTGTCATAACTCATTAGCCTACTGCATAACGTTATAAAATGTGAACCGATACATTCAGAGTTCAGCTTTAGTTGGTAAAAGGTAGGTATATCCAGTCGATGAATCTCAGATAGGTAGGAATGTGAATTCCTAATTTTACTACTCACTACTGACCTTAGTTACTACCAAATTTTCATGTTTATTAGAGGCACCAGTTTAATCAGAGAAAAGTTAGAGTTAGGAATTTCGCTCAATCATTTGACAGTTTCATGAAATCATACTTATTTGTATTCAAGAATTTAAGCCTTTGCGTACATAAATTCTAGTTTACGGAGTAAGATATCCAAAGTGGTTGGAAGATAATTCGTTGAAAATCAAACAATTCTTTGGTTGTTGTTTGGAGTTCTATGAATAGGTGCGAATGTAAAATATGGACTACTTTATAGAAGGGATCAGTAAATGGATAGCTGAGAAGGCTTCTTACTTCTTCTGGTGTAACCCACTGTTCACAGGTTTTAATTTTCTAATGGTATGAGTAAAATGCTTCCAAGTAGTTTGGCCTGTTTGCAAGTCCCCTTTCAATACATTCTTCATTTATATATATATATATATATATATATATATATATATATATATATATATATATATATATATATATATATATATATATATATATATGAAATGCATTAACCAACTACCTGACTGAAGTATTGATCCTTCCAGTTATTTTGATACTAAATGTTCGCTATCAATCCTTTTGTCAGCAAAAGCTTCCGTGGATTTTACTAGCGACGAAATATATTTTTCTGATTGAATCGAGTTCCAGAAAGTCCATCTGCTTCTGGTCATGCCTTCTCATATGAATAATGTTTACTTAGTAAGATTTAATAAGCAACGTTTGACTGTAAACAGTGATCAGTTATCGTAGGCTCTGAAGTTGTCAGACACTTTATGATGATTGTAGCTTAGTGGCAAACGAAACAAATCATCTCCGTATATTCTGTTTGACGTTATATGTTAAGAATCAGTCGGTAGGGGGCTGTTTTCAGAGCATCAGAATGGCGTTTGTTGCCTAACCATCAGGAATGCATATTTGTAAACCTATGGAAAGTATGTTACTCAAGATTGCACCACTTGCTGCTACGGTAGTCAGTAGGAGTCAGCTAAGCTATGCATAACCCTTATACCAGTGAATTTTGCTCACGAAGTGCCCAGATTATAAAACTGACACAACTACACACCTCAGGCTTTCGTATTTACCTCACACTAAACAATGGTCTATAATTTCCAGATATGCTTGTTATTGGTGAAAATATGCATGTATGTTGGCAGTTTATGAAACACTTTGAATGTTCACTTTCCGATTCCCCTTCAAGAATATTTTCCCCTAAACGAATAGATTCTTTACATGTCCTTAATTCAGCATTGTGTTTGGTTGGGTGACATGCTTTTAGCCTAAGAGTCATTTGACATTGTATATGTGGTATTTGTTTGTTTCTCTCACATCTTTGGAGTGTTTTTAGGCTGTGATGAAGCTGACTGTTTCAATATGAGCAACAAGTTCTGATACTCTACGGTTGGTATGTATGGAGAAATGTTATCCAACTGAGGGTTAGGTCCCTGAAGAGCAACCAATCCCATGTTGTCTAGACCTCAACGCTGATAGATTGCCATCAATCATTTTACAGTGTGGCCACCAAGCTAAAAAGCTAACCATCGTGCTGCATTTTGAAGGATGTTAGTTGGTTGGAGGTAGGAAGTTTTTGACTTACGTTTCACGTTTGGTGGCATTTCTCAGCAAGGCGCATCTATAACCTAGATGAAACTAATGTCCCTTGTGAGAACTGAACCCGCTTCAACCAACGTAGCAAACAGCAACGTTATCAGTCAGCTATTCGGGTCGTGACTGATCTCCTATGCGACTGGATTACATTCACCTATCGGTCATTAGAGAACAACCGATCTCATGTCCTCTAGCCCTGAATGCCAACCGAATTCCATCGATCATTTGCAATATGGCCAACAAGCCAAGGGGCTCTCTGTCGTGCTGAACTTTGTTAGATATTAGTTAGCTGGAGGTTAGATAATTCATTATTTCTCAATTTCAGTGTAAGAAAAGTAGTCACTATAATAAACCGAATTCCTCTCCATCAGTTTTACTTTACCCTGGGAATCAAAAGGTCAAATAAAACTTGAATAAAACAAGAATTTTCTATACAGACGATAAACCTCGGGCAAAATTTATCTCCCTTTTCGAGGTATACATGAAGTCAGCAATGTAACAACATGTGACAGATAGTGTAAAAATATTGATAGCTTCTGCTGAAACGAGGATGCCGAAAGGCGGAATCAGGAAAGAAATTCGACTAAAAATGATAACATAACTGGTATGATAAATGATATCGTCTGTGCCTGTGGCACTGGATGATGTGAGTTCCAGTTTCTAAGGGAACAACTGCTCTCTGAAGGAGAAAAATACACCTTCATGACAAGTACCAACAAGATGAATTTCATGGTTGATAATTCAAGATGTACCTACTTCTTCGTGATGGATATTGTTACCAATAAGACTCGAAGATCACGTAAACTATGCCCGTATTACAATAAGTGGCTATTGTAACTCTGTGACCCAGTGGATAACGCTGTAGCATTTGAAGCTATCGTTTCCGGGTTCGAGTCCTTATGGGAACAACATCCCTCGCTGAAATGCAGGTACATCCACCTTGTGAGTCCCAAAGAGGATGAAACGTGCACACTGGATCCCACTGCTAGGCACCATCCATCATAAATAAAATATCTATCTTTACAACATACCTTTACTAAAACTAGTCAGAATCGCAATATTATTCAAGTGACCTTATCCAAACGAATGAAACTGTGATTAAATATAGGCAGAAGCTTTAACCAAAAGCGAGTGTAGGTTTAATCGTATTCTGTGGATAATTTTCAATTCTTGTCAAGTTTGTGACCAATAATATTGGATACCAAACAGTATTAATGGTGAACTGTTATCGCTTGGAGAACCACTGGAAACCTAAGAGCATTGTTGAGTTATTTTGTCCTAGTTTGAATCTCCTCTGTAGTGAACATCTTTCACTTCGCTAAAGATCAATTCTAGGAACATCAATTCTTGCGGCGAGCAAGTTACCATTCAGCCATTTGGATGCGATATAATGATCTGTACTTTCCTACTTATTTCTACTCACTATATGCTATTATAACCAGCCTTCAATGTCATAGGGAAAACATTCCTCTTCACACCTGGCCTTTTAACTTCAAAGGTTATGATTTTTCATTAGAACTTCGGGAAATACATAGCAAAGGAAGTTCTTTTACCGGTTATCCAGCTGATTTGAGTTTATGATCTCTATTGCCTCAAAGATCAATGAATCTCACCAGACTGCTCATTAGTCAGTCACTTACCTCACTGGAGAGCAATTATACCCAACTGACGAGTCCCAAGTTAGAAAGAAAGCGTGTCTTGGATTCCACTGCTAGTCACTATCTATAATTACTATTATGATGAAATTACTGTCAAAATCAAATCATCCATGCAAGAGCCCATATGCCAGTTGTGACAGATAAATTTGATCCAACCAACGACTGGAAATTAGACATAATTACATCACAACTATCAACACCTAACTTGGATCATATCATTTGAAGACTAATTAAGTTTCTAAAGAAGATTACCTGGACTAAAACAACAGTTCATCTTAAACACCTGTCAATGGGTAATGCTTCCTCTCAAAAGTCAAATAATCCTGATGTTAAACTAACAAATATATGAAATGAATTTTTCTTTTTTCATAGCACCCACTCAATAAACCATGTTTTTCTTTTCTCTTGTAAAAAGGGTACTGCAGTTGCACAATTGGCAAAGCTTATTCCAAATGTTACTTTAATTGGTACTGCATCCAAGGATAAGCATGAAAAATTGGCTGGGATGTATGATGTTTTAATTGAACCGGATCAAGATTGTGTTGCTGAAATTAAAAAGTTAGTGTAACTTACATGATGTAGTTGGTAATCGATATTTGTATACTTGTATTTCTTTCATTCAGTAGATGAAGTTATAAATTCTAATTTTGCTTTTGTTTTCGATATAATTATCACCGTTGGAAACATTGACTACTTATGACTTAGGTTTGCGTTTTTGGTATGATGAAGCAAATATTTTGTTTCTGATTAGTTTATTTAAATTTGATGCAAAATACAGACTTGGAACTAAACAAGCCGGACGAACCTCCAAACCTAACTACTATGCATTGCTTGAGATGATGTTTCCCGAAGTTCTGATAAAAAGTCATGACAGGTAAGGTGGACGAAGTCCAACGTGAGAGCAGTTACTTAGCGATGACACTGCATGGAGGTCATGCAATACTGCTACCTGACAGAAGTTGTGAAATATGGACCATTGGATTCCGTCCCAGTGGCTCAGTGGTAACTTGCTGAGCGTGGAAACTGAAGGTTCTAAGTTCGTTCGCTGAAGATTGGGTTCGTGGCTGTACACTGCTGAGGATTCTGAGACTAAGCGGCTGTCCAGTACTCTCAGGTTTTAACTAGGTTGAAACCAGAAACATGCCAAACAAGATTCATCGGAAGACATATGACGGAATTTTATAAACTTTGGGATTAAAATTTGATCTCATGAAGTTGAATAAGTTGAGCATTGGGAAAACCAATTATAAGAGAAGTACTGTAGTACTACACCAAATTATTTTTCTTATACCTTCACATCCATTCACACGTGCCCGCACATTCACCAGTTCACTTTGAACTCAGGGACTATAACTGATAGCGACGACAATTATTTTTATATTTTTATTGTATGAGTAGCGTGATCTGATTTGTTGCCACCTACTACTACCTAGACATGCGGGTAACTTGTAAAGTGTTTATTCTGTGTAGAAGAGGCTTCCGCGAGGTCACAAAAGGTCAGAAATTTATTTTCGTATCTCATCAAGATTTTACAAATGTATCTCTTACATAATTTATGATTGAAACAGAAGGCAAATGGAAAATAAAAAAGTGTGGAGCAATGAAAGAAGAGACACGGTCTAATCAGAGAGGTTCCACAAAGTGTTCATTTATTATTTTTGTCCAGCTTAAAAATAACAGAAGAAGCATGTAACCTGAAGCATAATCGTTTTTTTTTCGATTTCTATATGTGATAGTGTTTCAACCCAAAGTGGCGTAAGTAACATCATCTAGTAGTACAATACACTTGACCTTCATTCTATAAGGGTAAACCACCTGTTTGATTCTTTAAACAAATCCAGGAGTCAGGAAACATAAGAAAATATAATAACAAATGAATAGATTTCATGAAAAATAGGTAAACCAATGGAAATGTTATTTCAAATTTACATCTATCCTAGAGGCAAATAAACTGATGTGTTTTGAATTGATACCTGCAAAATATATATAACCTTGACACTGTCACATGATTTTAACATTCTTGGCACTGAAGAACCTTAAAATTCCTTCACTTTACCTTTTCTGAAGCTGATAGATGCAAGTGAAAGAAGTGCTTCCTGATCCATCACGAAATATATTATAGATCATTCATACGATTGGTACAAAGACAACTTTAACCGTATTGCATTGACGTAGTCAATAACAAATACTTAAATTTATCGAAGCCATTGGCACGGATTAATTAAAATACTGTTTATGCATTTAAAAGCGTATATATATATATAGCCGAACTACATGTCCACGACGCATCAATAAGTATATAACGAAATACCTGAATTCGCACACATAATACACAATACATAATCTAAATTAACACTGAACTAATTTCCAGCTATGAACCTTATGGAGTCGATAAGAAGCCAAAATAAAGCTGTTGAGTTAAGCTATATAGTAATACTCTAAAGGAAGTCCTCAGTAAAGTGTCTTTTAAAATAAATGAAATAATCAAAATAGTCTCATTAGGTAATGAAAAGTAGTCAAAGACGATTCAGAGAAGAAAAGTTTTTTTTCGACGAATCATTTTCAAAAGCTGTAAATCGTAATCATAGTTAAAACAAAATATAAATATCCACCAATGACAAATGGATCAAATCAAGGTCATCAGAAGTTGCTTATAGGATTATGGTAAATAAACAAGAAATGAAAAAGAAACTTTATTAGAGAGATCAAGACCAAGGCAAAACTAGAGTTTGAATGTATCTTTTTTGAACACAAATGTAATGCTGGATTCCCAGAGCTCTTGCTGCGTTGAGGTGGCGAATACACACTCACCTCGAAATGGCTACCTTCACTTTATAAATGACTTTGAAAGAAAACTCTTATAGGGCACAGTGACCAGATATAACCAAGCGTTCAAGAATCGAGCTGTTGATGGCTTTACAATGTCGTTTAGGCAGCCAAGCAGAACGTGTTTCGGAGATGCGCTTGGTTAGACAGAACGCGCTTTGTGCGGCCTATATAGCTAACTCCACAAAAATGTGTGAATTGGTAAGCGCACATGCAAGCGGCTTAAAGCGGCAGTTTATTCTTTACATACTCTCAAATCATTTGTTGACTAGGGAAAACACCCCTAAGCTGAGCGGAAATGGTCTTCTTCAGTACCTCCCCTATATATCTTCACTGAATTCAATATTCATAAATATTGTCTTTTCGGGAACGTAGAAGCTTCTCCTTTGAGATTCTTAAACTTCATGTTCCTCTCAACTAATCTTGACAAATAACCATTCTGAATTAACACACTTCAAAGCATTTCAGCTCTCATTACTGCATTCTCCGTACAAATTCTTTTAATTCTTGTGCATAGTGAATGAATAAGATTTCTTTTCCTGACTAGTGGAACTCAGGTTTGAAAAAGTATACATCGACGATTTGAGGTTTGTTTACTATAAATCGATCTCCTTAGGGAACCATCATCACTTCTTATTCATAGAACGTAAAGCAAGTGAAATTCTGCGTTATTTTCAGCTACCATGGTGACTAATATGGCTGCTAGTGTTTGTTTGAGATTAGTATTTTTCATTTCCTCAAGCCGTTATAAGAGAATCCCTCCTCATTCATCCAACTCAAAAACACAGTTCCAAGATATACATAGTGTTTTTAGTGCGTATGAGCAATGTGTAAAACATTTGGCAGTAGGTAGGGAATTCAGAACACATTTCTTAACATAATAATCTAATTCAGTGTTCTAAACCTCCTCTTTAACAAAAACGTGTGTAGTTGTCGCATTTCTGTTTCTCAGACAATTGACTCTCTTCAAATTTTTTAGCAAAGCTAGAACAATCAGTTTAGCAGAATGCAATGAATCCTTCATATTTTGCTAAACTTGTTCTACATTTTTCTGAAATGTTTCTCTCTTGGTGATTCTAGGTTGAAGTTCACTAATAAGGAACAGTGTAACATATTTGCTTGAAGTAAAGCAAATGCAACGAAGTCTGGATATCCGAAAATGAATTTTTAGTGAAATCTGAGCATTGATAGAGTAGTGTGTGCGTGTTTGCACCTATCTTAACTCAGTAGCTAAGCAGATAGGACTGTGGAGTGGTTGCGGTCGATTTCGAGTTCCAGAGCTAGTAGAACACCACCACTTATTGGGATGCACGTACACTTGGCTAATGAGTCGGAAATAGGAGATGCACTTTCAGAATTTCACTGTTATCCACCATCCATTTTTACAGTGCATATTACTAACCAAGTTATTAACTTTCTCTAAATTTCACACTACTCTTATTGGAACTATGCTTTGTTGTCGACGATTCATAGGCAGGCATAGAATATATTCATCTTAGCAAATTTATCATATGTTTATTATCTCACGACACATTCACTTCCCTTATCTAGTGCTCTTCATTTACTCCAACACAGCTGATTCTGCAGCAATACTGTTAAATAATCACTGAACAAACCCAGACAATGACTTTAAAATTATTTACCAAACCCCCGAAGCCTCCCACATTTTCTTCGTTTTCAACTCCTCAAAAGAGAGGAGGCTTGAGGTATTCATGAAATAATCTATGATCAAAAATTAGCCGGCAGACTTGTTGAATTCATTGTAGAAGTAATACTTTGAATATTTTTTATTGACTGACCGTTACTTATCTTCGTTTTACAGCATGTTTGAAGATGAAATGGGTTTTAGACCAAGCATTTCATTTTTACTGGATTTAGCTACTCAGTTTATGACTCACGAATCATGGGTTGGAAAACCATACCAGCTCCTGAGGTCTGGGCAGACAGTAGAATGACTAGCCCCCACACAATAAGCGTGATCCACTGCCTGCTGTCCTAATATAGATTTCTTTCACTTCATATGATTAACTGAAGCATTTTTTCTTGTGCAGCTTATTTTCAGCCGAAAGTGCCAAATACATAACAAATAGCGATGGTGGGTGGATATGTGTTCAGTTTTTGGCTGAATTTTTGAAGTTACCTGAAGAAGATTTATATTTGCGCTGATAAGGCCACAGGATACTACTACTAGTAGCAGTTCGTATAGAATAAAACGGAATTTCTAAAACTGACCGGACTTCAGATAGCCAAATTAGATAGTCGATGTCTAACCAATAGTTGCAGGCATACCATTAATAATCATTGGCCGTCAGGTAGTTGATGTAGCTCATAGCTTAACGCCTGAAACTTCAAACAGTTGCTGAATTTTCTTCTTGAAAAGAAACGTTTTGAAGCGGATAATATTTACACCATTTGTCTTAATTATTAAAAGTAATTTAGAAGAAAATGACTGCTTTCCTCATGAAGTGCCAATCAGAATAATGTAGAAATTATACCCAGATTAGTATAGTTAGATATTAAGATGCTCAGCCCATTAAAGATAATGTCCTCGCTGTGATAACTTACAGTCTTTAGATTAGTACTTGATGGCGTAGGGAGCACACACTGCCCAAGGGTCTCATACCATGACGGAATACCTGTCCGGTGCTTCCAGGCTTTCAACGGTTCTCCAAATGATGTCATTACTTGAAGAATACCACCTTGAGGCTAGTAAACCTCAACGGAACTCCAAG